GAAAGGCTTTTGAGCTACCATTAACGCTTTTGTAACTTTTTCAGTTCACAGGCCATTAAAATTATATGCCAATATATCCTGCAATCAAATTTTCCTGTTCGCTTTGTTATGCCAATATCTGCTAACTGAAAAATCAACCCTTTACTTGTGCTCTTTCAGCGTTTGTATGTGCGTAAAATCAATATAATTCAAAAACTGCTAATTAATTTTCCATCTCGCGCCCTCGTTTTGTATCCCAGCGGCAAATCGAACATAATGACACGATTTATTAACAGGACACACAATGGCCAAAGTTCTAGCGCAGACGACGCTTACATATATAGAGCTCTATTATTAAATAATGTGCCGGCTGCGCTGCTGCGCGCCGGCGGATTCCTGAGTCGATTATTAAAGCACAATTTTTGTAATACTCCTTGTAATGCGAATGGCGCGCATACGTACGTAGAGTTTATAACTGCTGCGGAACTCTAGCTGTGTGCGCCAGACTATAAAAGCATAAATGGCTTTGCAACCGCCGCTGCTCTCTGTATATACGTATACGGTGTTATTGTGTGAACACGCGGACGTCCTTCAAGGGTGGTTCTCTCTCTTAATTAAGGAGTTTGGTCGCGTACTCCATCGGCGTCAAAACAAGGGAGCACGCAGACATTAAATTTACTGATGCTGCGGGAACATTAAGCAGATACATGGCAACAAAGCACATTTAGCTTCATTTAAATATGAGCTCCAAACGACAAAACTTTTTCATTACGACCGCGTTCTAAAATTAATTTAAATAAAACCAAATCTCAGGCGTACTTTCCCCGCCTTAAAAAAAAAAATATTGACAAGACTTTTATGACGATAATTGATGATTCACAAAAACTAAAATGTTATAACTTGATCCTATCGTTATGGATTAAATCAATGTTGTTGTTGAAACAAAAGCTGCTGGAAGATAATAATTATTTTAATAATATACAAAATTGCTTTAAAAATTACAAAAACTAAAATTATGTATAAAAGTTGCATGGACGTTAAACAACATAATAAAATTAAAAACTATATGTAAAATATAAATTAGAAGTATGTAAATTATAGTTACAAACTTATATAAATTTAAAGAGAAGATTTGAAAAAAAAAGAAAAATTTAGAAAAGGTCAATCAGTCGTCAAAATCTAATAGTTATAATTTTTAAATTTTGAACCAAATTTAAAATTATATTTTTGTAAGTCACTGCCAGGATTTCTGGATCTTAAAAGCAGAACCAGTTTCTCTTTCAAAATGATTTTTAAATTACATTGATTACTCTCATTTGTTCCAATCGAAAGAAATAGCTAATTGGCTATTTACTCCTCTGCGAGCATTCGTGCTGTGTATAAACAACCGCAGCAGTGACTTTTCATTGAGAAGAGTGAGGTCACTGCGGCAGCAAATACGCACCGCGATAATAAAATTTGCGTAATTAATAAGCGAAGATCCTGTCGGCGGAACCCATAAAATCGCGACCATATCACATGCACGCGGGGATCGTTCGTTTGAATGCGCTCACGTGCCGCAAATGAAATTAAATGTACTGTGTGTGCACCCGTCGGGTGTCCCGCGTGTTTTGCAGTGTCGGTGGATTCTCGTGAGCTGTAGTCAAAGTCACCCACCACTGTGGTGTGTTTCGATGCTGTCACATTCTGTGTGCTTGCATAATATGGAAAACTGGGACAAAAACGATTTTCGCTTCGCATTCCGTGCGCGCATGGAATAAAACCGAGAAAGCATGTTCGATTTGATAATGTTCACAATAATATAGCCTTTTAAGTCAAAATATACATACTTTATACTGCGGGGAGAGGGATAAGAAGTGAAATTAAATCAAGCGCGATCAATAGAAAATAAAAATAAAGGGAAGATAATTTGACATAATTTATAAACTTATGAAGATATGAAACAAAAATGTATTAGAAATTTGTAAAACTTACTTAAGAAAAATTTATTTAAAAAAATCATTGAAATTGACAATTAATTTTTTTGATTCTGCCTTTAAATAATGCTTAGCCGCAAATTTTTTAGATTTATTTTAGAACAAAATTTTGGTGAGTACCTCAAAAGATTTTGATTTCTGTTCTCTGATATTTATTTTTAAATGAAGTACAAGAAAATGAAAGAAATAAAATATAATTTAATTTTTGAGTTGGAGTTCCATTGAAAAAGTTCAAGACTGTTATTTTCACAACACGAAATCTCTATAATTATACCGATATTTGTGTGGTCGATCAGAATTGCTTTCAACGAAATTCTTTGCTAAATTTATTTTTATCATAACACCATTATAAATATATCCGATAATTGCATTTTTAGAAGTTTTCTTTTTTCTCTGCTATGCAGGATATTAATTCAGGTGAGTCTCTTTCTGTATCTCTACCGCATGTCATTACAACTCAACTATTCTTTTCTCTTCCCGACCGTGTGTCCTTAACTTTTTTTCAACCCCTCTTGAACAGAATCTCATTACAAAAGAAGGTTGTTCATCTTCATAAGCAACCGACACAACTAAAATAGGTCAACCCCCACGATTATTTACAATCCAGTAGTAGCTAGACCTCTCACAGCACAAAGACCACGCGACCAGGACGACATGCACCGCAGTGTACTCCATTAAAACACATCCCCATACTGTCAGGGGCAAAATCTCAAGGCAGCAATAATAATATTCGGTCCGCCTTGCTTTATTTGAATATCGAGTCACGCCACGACGCTGTGTTTGATCGCCGGCCAGATACTTCCGTGCATTACATTTTTATTTTTAACAATCCCAAGACGAGATGTTTTTTTCCATGGTTGTGTCGAGAGGGAGTATTAAAATTACACACAAATATACACACGTACGGCGGCGGGCGAGGACGGCGCAGACTCTTCGGCAGCCAGGATCGATCTCTCACCCTCCACTTTTCGGCCCCAACGGTACATAACGCGGCAGGTAGACATTCGACTCACAATCAGTATGGGTGTCTGTGCACTGCACTTCAATGAAGGATATTACATAAAAAAATTACCCATTCAGCAGCAGCGGCGAGGCGCACGTTGCCCAGCACAGTGAGCAAGCAGCCGCCGGTCGGCGTGATGGGCCTGAATTTTTTACGGCTGCTGCTTGATATTCCCTGATTATGCGAGAGCGCATATTTCCTTTTTATGTTTGTTTTATCGCCGTGTGCTTGCGGTGTGGAAAATAAATTGCCATTTCTCGGGCGTCTCGTAATGTGCATGCGTAATTTACGAGAACGATAAGACTTTGTATGGTGCCTTAATGAACTTTCGTCTGATCAAGATTTTGACGACTCTTTGAGTTGATTTTCTTTATTTTCACTCCTAAAGCGAGATTTATTCAATGAACTGCTCTATTGTGCCCCTTGCTTCCCGCGTAATGGGGCAACTTGAGCATTGGAAAGCCATCTATGGATACGGTGGAGAAAAAGAAAAGTTCAGAGCGCCATAATTAAATCGTACACTCAAAAGAATTAATGCAGATGAAACTGGCAAAACGAACATTTTTATTTTTAAGGTAGTTCTGATAAAAACAGATAAATTAAATATTAATTTTTTTTATTAATCCTACGCTCTTAAAATTTGTCCCATGAAGGCTGTAGGATATTTAATAATGCTGGCAAGTTGATTTATGAGCATTGAGATTGATTCAAAATTTTCAATGCATATTATAGCACATCTATTATTTTTATAAAATTCAGCCTCTCTAAAAAGTTCCTGAGCTTTTTCCGCGCTGACCCGATACAAAATGAACACTTTCAACCCATCGAAAGTTAAAAAATTCTCTAACGTATCATTGAGATTTTCAAAAGGAACAAAAATGATATGCCTGTTTGAAGTCTTCTTTACAAATTCCAGCTTTGGGTCTCCGGGTTGAAGAACTTCTTGAATGGCAGTGATCGACGCTGCCCTCCACGCCAAACTCCTTGACAACTCTTGCATTATCTCGGCCCATTTATCTCTGTTGCAATTGCACATGTTTAAAATGCTCAGGTGACATTCCAGAGCTGCTAAGTAAGTTTTAGGTTTACAAAATAGAATAAAAGCTTGGTATGATACCGGATAGAGTTCCTTCACATGAGTGGAGGTCTCTGGGTATTGTGACTTTCCACAAATCTTCTGGTCCAGGAATCAGCTTAGCCCTGATGTTGCAGTGCTCAGAGACAAGTTGAAGACACTCAGTCCCACAAAGCTCTTCATCAACAGATATCTGGTTAAAAAAAATTAGATTTCAAAAAAATAATGTTAAATATGTTTGTACTTTTTCATAGGCCTCTTTAAGAATTTTGATTTGAAAAGCCTGGGGCGTTTCGCTGTTGAGGTAGTGAGCCCGAACGAGAGTATTCTTCAGAAGGCCATTCCCATCAGCTTGTACCACTGTTGAGATCAAAGGTCGTGTCGGGCCGGCAGCGCCATACACCTCTGCAGCTTGAACAAGTTGCTTCAGGGTCTCCTCAGGTATGATAGGACGCACAGCATCATGAACCAATACAATTTCACAGTCAACTTAAAAGATTTAAAATTAGACAAATTTTAATACAAACTAATTAAAATTTTACCAGGCAGGAGTTTCAAAGCAGCTTTGATCGAAGCGTGTCTAGTGGGTCCTCCTTTTGTAATGCTTATCTTTGTTGAGTGCGTATTCGAAACAAGTTTCTCCATTTTTGAAATATCGTCGGCTGCCAGGATGACGTAGGCCACCCATTCGATCGAAATCAGTTTCTCCACAGCATATAAAAATATAGGCCTTCCCTATTGACAACTTTTATAGCTTAATTAACATATAAAATGAGTAATTGTACCAAAATGTCTATGTATTGCTTTGGGGTTGCTCCTCCTAGCCTCTCTCCACTGCCAGCTGCAGGAAGAATAATTCCTACTCTTGCACCCCCCTAAATAGGTGATACAAATTTTAAAAAATTGGGAAGTTTGTCAATTCCAGGCTAGGTTATTTTTTTGAACATACTTGAGAAAACATCATAAATAGTAAATTTGATAAAATTTATTGACAAAATGTAGGCACTTTTAAAAATTACAGAATATTTCCATGGAATAATAATCGAAATGAATAAATTTGTGAACCGCAGGGCACACTACCCACGGTTTAAATCAACACAACCAATAATTTTTTTGAGAATTGATTAGTATCGTCAGCATCAGGAACGTTTTACAAAATTATATGAGCAGCTTTGGAGCTGCTTTTAGAGGTATATTCGGTTTAAAAAAATGGCACTAGAATGGAGGTTTGGTGTTGCCCCATAGTCAAATTCCTTCCTCATTGCACCGTCGCAGCCTCAAGCTGAAATTGGAAAAGACGTTCGAAATTGCTTCAGACGAGAATGACATTTGGGTGCCATCGTCGAAATTGACTAGCACCGTTTCTGCCAACACCCCTTCCTTACCAGGTTTTTTCTTTGTCTTCGTCTGTTTCTTGGTGCCAGTGCTGCGGCGTTTCCTTATGATTATTTGCTCCTCTTCATTTTCAGATTCCTTATCCTCCACCTCTAAGGTTACTTTTATCATTGCTGCCTGCAGAGTCTCCTCGTCGACACCAATTTTGTGATCAGTGTACCAATATTTGTGGATAAGCTCAGCATTTGGTCCAGGGAATTCAGTCAAGCAATAGTGGCAAATTTTGGGCAAGTGTTCCTCTAAGTGCTCTTTCATCTCACTCTCCTCGTTGAAGACGCTGTCACAATTTTCAAAGAAGCAAGAGAAGGTCCTTTTAGAAGTCTCAACCTCTTCGGGTTCATTTAGCTCAGGAGGGCCTGCTTCATCAGCATCACCATGCACTGACGATGTATCAGCTTCCAGCAGAGATTTTCCCAAGGATGTCTTGCTACTTGGTTTCAGCACATTTGTAGAAACTGATTTCTTGGAAAGGACATCTTTAGATGAGGAATTAGTGGGTTTGTTAGATTCTGAAATAAAAAATTAAAAAATTACAAGTTTGAAGTACTTTTTAGTCAAGCTAAATTTTTGTAAATAATGAAGTGTAAAAAAACTTCTTAACACAATATAAAAAGCTAAATACTTTCACTTATTACACATGTTTCTCAAAAATTAATAAGGTTGAATTACCAGTGGCTTCTTTTTCCTTGCTTGTTTTGGTGTCATCAGTTTCTAGATCTATCAGCTCAGAGCCGACGAGTGGCAGTACTATGCCCCTATCTCCGTCATTTATTAACGGGAACAGCTCATTTTCCATCTTCAGATTTTCCAGACTCCGGCACAAGTGTTGTTCCATGGAAGGGTCTCCGTGCTTGTACCGCATGCCACACAGGAGGCAAATGACCATGGATATGATTCTCTCTTCCGCCACCAGCCTGGATATTTGGTGAACATCCACAACGTGATGGATCATCTGCTGATGGTCGTTGCTGTGGTCATGGCAACTATCGCAAATGCTGATGGGCACAAGGGCCGAGTACAAACCCTTGTGCTTCACCAGCATGTGCATGCGAAAGTCTTTTAAGGAGAAGGATATTTTGCATTGGAAGCACTTGATGGACACTGTGCGGTAATAACGGAAATCCTTGTTGGGATGAACCTTTTCCACGTGATCAGTCAGCTTGTTGAAGCGAGAGGTGTAGAAGACATATGCATTCCGGCCATTTGTTACATTCTTCTTGGTGCCACAGAAGTAGCAAATGTAGCGAGGAGAGACACCGAAGTCGCCTCCTCCGGATTTCAGGTCACTTTCATCAGTGTTTGGCTCCTGTAAAAATTAAAAAATTTCAAGAGGCTTTTTTAATTCTGATGGACGCACCACCAACCTGAGAAGGGTTTGATGAGAGATTGATGGACAAACCAACACCGAAAATTTGTCGAAACCTCTTTATATGATAACCCCCTCTTGCAATCTGATTCATTGTAAATTACTTTTAACCTTAAAGGTTTGTTACTTTATAATCAAAATAACCCCATTAGGCCCCTTGATAATGGTTAAAAATAAATCAATGATCAATGACAATTGACAATGCTTTTGCAGACAGTAGTTGAATCAAATTCAACAATGCTAAAAATAATTATTATGTTAAGTATCAAGGAATATCAAGAGAAAAAAACGAAGCCCTAAACCACCTTCAACCAAGGACAATACATAATTCTGTATCTAAACCGTTTTAAACATTTAGCACATGTGTAAAATTAGTTATCTTTCATTCCTGATATTATCCGGAGAAGGGCGATTGTAAAATGCATATGTAAATGTAAAATGATCGATGTAAGAATATAAGGCAGAGAGATTCAACTAAAATTCACCTTTTTCACAATGATGTTCTCAATTGCTTGATCGTCCATTTCCTGCTTCTGGTTTTATTTGGTTTCCAGATCAATTCTGACTGCTTTTGTTTACAGACATCCGTCCAGATGAAATATGGCTAGAGATTCTTTGTTGATTTGCCTTTCGCCTCGCAATAGCTCTACAAAAACGTAAGTTGTTGCTCTTTTTCTCTGCCGAAAGCGTCTTTTGTTTACCTTTTTTTCAGTGTTAGATGCTATACATAGAGGATTGTTAATAACAAAGCAATTGAAATTTAAAATTTCTTACGCTAAGAAGTGGGGCTAAATTGTTGACGCAATCCTTAAATCAACGCGATTAAGTTTTGTGATGCTCTCAAGCGTCCAAGTCCTAGTTTCTGTCAACGGGCAAAACTTTATTTAAAATAAAGATAAAGACGCGCCCAGGAAAGGAGAGGGGCGGACACAGAAGAAATGTGTCTGTTTTTGTATTATGATAAAAAAAAATTGACCCAATACTTGCTGCTCCTGTAAAAGCCTTAGAGTTCAAGGATGTTAATCTTTTTGACCAGTCACCAGTCCACTCTGGCTTAATCAAATAACTGAAAAACTTGAAACCGTGAGGCAGGCAAAGTGGAAAACGTCAAATGAAAAAATTCGCCATGCGGGTCTTGTTCAGTCTTGTTGTGCTGTGCGAGTCATGCGAGTGTGCGCCTGAGCAGGTCGGTCCTTGCAACCTCAATACAGTGTTGCCTTGTCTTATCTGGTGAAAATAAATCTGACCACCCACCCGCACCCCCTGTTTCCTCTCCCCCAATTGAAATTCTTGCTTTTACAGAGTTGAAATGAAACAACTGGAAACAACTGGTCAATGCCCTGTGCCAGTGTATCTGTCGACTTTAGGTGCCTCAAAATGTAAAATTATCAAGGATCGTTTGTACTATAATAATTTATAAATGAAAGATATCCTTGATAGATTTTTTTACCATTAAATTATGTTAAAAATAGCTTAAAAAAGCGATTAAATAATTTTCTTGTCATTAAACTTGAATAATATAAGGTAATCTTACAAGAGGCGCGACCTATACACCACTCTCTCAGAATAAGGTTGGTATCCCGTTTTATGTCACGCCTGCTGTAGTGGTTTTATGTCGCGCCTACTGTAGTGGTTTTATGTCGCGCCTGCTATAGTGGTTGATAAAGAAAACCGGTATTTATACCTCACAATCACCGGGACTGCAGGAAAGAATAAGGGCCTTTGGGATGGGTTCAGAAGGGGAAGACAATCTTAACTGATTGCAAAAGACGTGACCTACCACCAAAGTACGGGGAAGGGGGTGGTTTTTATATGTCGCGCCTCTTGTAATGGTTCACTACAACAGGCGCGACATATGCACGCAACGCCTGTGATAGGTCGCGCCTCTTGTAATCGACCACTACAACAGGCGCGACATATACAATTAATAATGTTTAAAAATAAAAAACGAAAACAGCGCAATTGTATGCACACCACGAACCAGACCACCCCACAAACCGGCAACTCGGAGGTGGGCAACCCCCCAAGATTAATTTTTGCAGAAGCCGCGAGCGAGGGGTGGAGGCGCAGCGAGGTCGAGGACGTGGGGAAGGCCGTGCGGAGGGCGAGGACAAAAGGGCGGCTGTGTTCGTGGGGGGGCTCCGGGGCTCCTGCGGAGCCCCCCCACGATCCCCGCCCTTTTGTCCCGCCCGGAGCCGGCCTTCACCTCGTTCTCGGGCGAGCGCGCCTCCAGCCCGAAGCTCGCAAACCCACAACGGAGTTGCCCACGAAGGGAGTTGTGGGCACCCACACCGTTTGCTTTCAAAACACCCTTTGCAGACAACTCCCTTTGTGGGCAACTCCGTTGTGGGTTTGCGAGCTTCGGGCTGGAGGCGCGCTCGCCTGAGAACGTGGTGAAGGCCGGCTCCGGGCGGGACAAAAGGGCGGGGATCGTGGGGGGGCTCCGCAGGAGCCCCCCCACGAACACAGCCGCCCTTTTGTCCTCGCCCTCCGCACGGCCTTCCCCACGTCCTCGACCTCGCTGCGCCTCCACCCCTCGCTCGCGGCTTCTGCAAAAATTAATCTTGGGGGGTTGCCCACCTCCGAGTTGCCGGTTTGTGGGGTGGTCTGGTTCGTGGTGTGCATACAATTGCGCTGTTTTCGTTTTTTTTTTTAAACATTATTAATTGTATATGTCGCGCCTGTTGTAGTGGTCGATTACAAGAGGCGCGACCTATCACAGGCGTTGCGTGCATATGTCGCGCCTGTTGTAGTGAACCATTACAAGAGGCGCGACATATAAAAACAACCCCCTTCCCCGTACTTTGGTGGTAGGTCACGTCTTTTGCAATCAGGTAAGATTGTCTTCCCCTTCTGAACCCATCCCAAAGGCCCTTATTCTTTCCTGCAGTCCCGGTGATTGTGAGGTATAAATACCGGTTTTCTTTATCAACCACTACAGCAGGCGCGACATAAAACCACTACAGTAGGCGCGACATAAAACCACTTCAGTAGGCGCGACATAAAACCACTACAGCAGGCGCGACATACCAACCTGATTTTTAAATACTGGTGTATAGGTCGCGCCTCTTGTAAGATTACCTAATATAACTTGTTTTTGAAATCAGTCAGCAACAATAATAAATAAACCATATTAGTTGGAAATTGAAAAATTATTTTACAAACCTAAATAAAAATAAATTTATTATACCAAAGGGAAGAAAATATTAACATAAATGTTTTAGGATTTTTCATACAATTATTGAAAATTGTGTCATATTTATTTTATTTTACTTAGAATCAAGTCTGTCAGTCTGTCATATAAAATTATACAATAATTGTAGCAGACTGGTGACTGGTGGCACAAATGTTTAATTCTCTACTCAAATTTATCAGGCGGTTTCATTACGTTGAAGATAATTATTTAGCTAGATCAAAAATAACAAACAAAAAAATGTCACAATACCTTACATTTATCAGTGTCACCCATTTATCTTGCATTAAATTTCACTTTCATACAATTAAGACCGGAAAAATATCAAACAACTTTACATACATAGATTCAAACAAAGATATTCAAAATAATCTGATGTAGTTCAATCAATTCTATAAATTATTTTCCGCAGGCAAGTCTATTTTCAAAAAATTTCATGGATAATATTTCACGTTGATCCGTTGCTCAAGTTTTTGCTCTCAACACTCATTTCTTGCACAACACGAGCCAGAACGTCGGGGTTGGCCCCTTGCTCGATCAGCTTCACGCAGGTTGCCAGCATTTCAGGCTCCATGCCTGTGTGCAGGATCTCTGCAATCTCCCGGATGACCCTGAAGGCCTCTCTGATGTCCGCGATGCTCTTTTGCTTGTTGTCGTTTTGGCTCATTATTTCACCTTTCAGTCCTGCATACATAAAATGAAATTTCCATCCAACATGTTAATTTTTTAATGAATTTTTTACCTCACTAATTAGGGCGAGAACAGAAAAATCAGCTTTGCATTGTCAAGTTAAAAGAAAAGAAAATAGATTTTGGTCTTCGGCTTTTTTTATTCTCTCTGTTTTGTTTTGGAATCACAAACAAAAACAAATGAAAGTCAGTCGCCTGCGCCAGAAACGTTTGGAGTGTTATTAAAGGAGTTAAATTTTTTTACAGTTTTCGTGAATAACTTTTCTTATTTTTTAAATAAACTTTAATATTACCAACTTAATTACATTTTAATTCCATAAATAAACTTTATGTTCTATATTTTTGTGATTTTCAGCAATTTTCAGTTGTCGACTTGTCGAGTTCAGCGCAATAGGTGATACTCCTACCAACAACTCCATTTACACTCCCGATCAATCACCTGACTACTGAAGATTCGCGTTTTCTCCTCTGGTCTTGCATTTCTGCCCATATTTTGAGGATTTTTTGAAATGGCCATTCACGCAGCTCGAGGAAAATTAGTGTCCGTGATTGGAGATGAGGTTTGCTATAAATTATTTCAAAAAAATTTCCGGAACTCATGATGATTTTCCCACAAAGGACACCTGCGTTGGCTTCCTCTTAGGCGGTGTTGGTGAAATCAACAAAAATCGTCAGCCAAATTTCTTAGTAGTTGATAAGAGTGAGTTCAAACGTTTTATCTGTTTTGTTACAAAATTACAACTTGATGCCTTCACTCAATTACAAATAGTTTTTTATCCGTGTTTATTAGTGTCTAAAAGTAAATGACTGAAATGACTTTTTGTAACCTTTTTTTTCTAGACACCAGTGTGAGTGAGATTGAGGAATGTTTCAAGACATTCGTCAAACGTGATGACATTGACATTATCCTCATAAACCAGAATGTGAGTATGGGAGTTAGAAATTTACGCAAATGATATTGAAACAATTTATGAATTTTAAAAAGTAAAAAAAAAAAAATGAGAAGTTTTCATTTTACAATTTTTGGCCTGCATTAATTCTAATGAAATATATCTCTGAACTTAGGTGGCGGAGCTGATTCGCCACTGCATTGACAGCCACACACAACCCATTCCAGCTGTCCTTGAGATTCCTTCGAAGGACCATCCTTATGATGCCAGCAAGGACTCAATTCTTCGTCGTGCTAAGGGCATGTTCAACCCTGACGAAGTTCATTAAGATTCAATCATTATTTTCAACAAAATTATCTTCAAAATTAATATTCATTGTTGAAACTATTAAATTAATTTAAAATGTGATTTCTAATTGAATTGAGGAAATAATAGCTACTTTTGGTTGTTGGTGAAGCGGCTAGTTAGTGAAATGTATTATAGTTTCCAAAATTGTTAAAATGCATGTAAATAGTTGTAAATGTATTCTACTGGTACTACATCAATATTAATGAACAAAAATCGATTATCTCATAAGACAAAGGAAAAATGATGAAATACATTCCTGTTAAAAACAAATTGAAATTCTATTGCTGTATTTACAAATTAAGACACCTAAAGTTAATGCGACAGTAATATTCTGCTTAGCATTGTTTTATGTTCTCTTTTGTCAGATGAAAGATGAAATTATCAAATTTTAAAGAGCCCGCTATTTGCTTGAACTGGTGTTAGGACTGGCAAAAATTAAGGGGGCGTGCCAGTGTGCTCTCCACTTCTCCAGCAGGTACTCACTACCAAGCTCACTACATACTGTCAATTTCTGTTATAACAGATCGAGCACCTTCATAAAATTTTGATATTATACATTATGATCAGAGATAGATTAGATAATAATCAGTGCATGTAACGCCCCATGCAACTCGCAAATGATACAGGTAAATCAAATTTCAATTTAAAATAAACTCGAAAAATTTTAATAAAAAAAAGAGATCAGACATAATATTAACTTTTCGTTAAAAAAAATATAAAAAAAAATCTATTTTTAGGACTGTGTAGAGTGAAAAATGGAATTTCTACTTGGTGGGGTGGCAGCCGTCATCTCCAATGTGGTGTGCAACCCCCTGGATGTTGTCAAAATCCGGATGCAGCTGCAGGGCGAGTTGCTTGCCAGGGGTGAATACACGGTGCACTACAAGAACGTTTTCCACGCATTCTACACCATAGGCAAGACTGACGGAATATTAGCCCTGCAGCGAGGACTTGTCTCCTCTTCAGCCCACCAGTTCATTTTGAATGCCATCAGACTTGGCGCTTTCCACTATGCAGAAGACCGAGGTTGGACGACAGACGAAACAGGCAATCGAACTTCTCTACCCAAAAGTGTTCTAATATCTTCAGTTGCTGGAGGCATAGGAGCTGTTGCTGGCAGCCCCTTTTACTTGGTAAAATAATAATTTAAAAAATCAATTGAAATATAAAATAATCAATTTTTTTGTTTAAATTCAGGTCAAAACTCAAATGCAGTCTTATTCAAACAGCCAAATTGCAGTGGGCCATCAACACAAGCATTTGGGACTGTTTTCTGCCTTCAAACATATTTACGGAGAGCATGGCTTAAAGGGCTTGTGGCGCGGCACCAACAGTGCAGTACCAAGGATGGCTGTAGCTTCTGCGGCTCAATTGACGTCTTATGATCTTTTTAAGAGATACTTCAATGAAACCAAGGTATTTTGCATGATTCAAAATTAAATGTTCTGACAGGAATCTATCGGATCCATTCTAGATTTTGTCCGATGACCACAAAATAAACTCGTTCGTCTCTAGTGTACTCAGCAGTTTGGTAACCGTTGTTGTAAAAACGCCATTTGATGTTGTTTCAACCAGAATTTATAATCAAGGTAACATATTTTTTGAAGTAATGTGGTATGTCTAAAATAGAACTTTAATTTAATAGGAGTGGACGCCAGTGGAAAAGGACTCCTATATTCTGGAGTGGTGGATTGCTTTGTGAAGACAGTTGGAAAAGAAGGATTTTTCGGACTCTACAAAGGTGTTGGCGCTGCTTATTTGCGACTCGGCCCTCACATCATCATCAGTCTAGTTGTGTGGGACTGGCTTAGATTATTATATGACCCTAGCAAATAGCAGCAGTTGACAAAATTTATTAATATTTCTGACAATTGGTGCAAACACCTGCTGTGATTTAAATTTAAAGCAGTTATTTTAATATCTTACTATTTGATTGGTTATCAATTGTAGAAATAAGTAGAATAAGTTAGTGCTTACATAGGGAGAATTGGAGAATAAAGAGTATAATGACAACTAGGGCCTATGACAAGTAGTTGACAAAAATGAAAAAAAAATTTTGCTGCGTTTAAAATTTAAAGAAGTATAATTATAATCTTCAATAAGTGCCATTTACAATTGTTATTGTTCAAAGATGTCCACCAATAAAGGCTAGTCTGGTTAGGTATTTTTGCAAATAAGAGCTGGGCTTTGGAAAATTACTGCATTTTATTTAAGTACAGAATATAAATTATTCAATACACTTTTGCGTACTTTACAACTGCTTATTTATAAAAACAAAAGTTATTAACAAGGCTTCCGTTTCTCCTTTGCAGCACCAAATGGTCCCAAATTAAGAAAAAAAATCACAACTATACCACTATTCAATTCAACTAATATAATTTTTCACTCTCAGGTGGCCAATTGGTGCGCAGGGAAATGAAAATACAAAGACTATACTTGCGTTTGATCTATCACTAAAAAGTTAACGGCAAGGCTGAGGTACATAGCATTAAAATTCTTTGATTCAAAATCATTCGCAAAATGCCTGTACAATAGGCAGCATTATTAGTGTGGTCCATGTATGAAAATAATTGAATTTGTCTCTCAGGTGTACTTTGCGTATTGTCAATTTTCTCAATTCGCTGGATTGAATAAAAAATTACAAAAAGAGTAAAATCTGATTAATGATGAGCTAAAAATTTTAATTCGTAAAAAATTGATTCAAAACATTCAAGTAGAACAGCTTCAGAAGCATGATGACTATTTTTCCCAGAGAAACTAAACGATAGTAATGATTTTGATCAAGGTTATTAAAATAAATGCTCTCACCGCGCCCTCCGGAATGTTATACCAACAAAATGAAAAACTATCACGCTACAAGTTCAATGAATTTCCTCGTAGCTATATTTACAGAGATATTCTTCAAATAATTTAAGGATGTACTGATATCACAGCGCTGGGTTCAAGGCCAGCAAAGTCTTCTAAAAAATTAATGGGAATAAAAGTTCGGGGAGCCAACGTCAGCCGACAACTTCTGGTAATTGACTGCCGGGCTTCAAAGTCTTTTGTCTAGATTCGTTCGATCTGTAACATCAGTCAATCTGTAAGTTATTTTGGGTCATATTTTTCAGAAATTTGGAAGCAAAATAATAAGATGTTAAAATGCTACTTGCATTGTTAGTAGGCACGTATCCAAATATGTTAAAATTGTTTCTTGACAGCACATTTTAGAGCAGGCGTTTACCTAAAAATGGACAAACATTTGCTTGTACAAATAAAGAGACAAAAGGAGTTTACTAACATCATAACTGTGTGTTGTTGAAGATACTTAGATTGTAATGAAATGTTCTACTCAATAATTTATGTACTAAAAACTTATATAATTGTGATAATAAAAGTTCTCGAATTATTTATGATGTTGAGAGACATAATGGTCTACAATAGAACCAAAACCAAAGGATTTTAAAATTACAAATCATCAAATAATATAAATTATGGATTAATTGAAACACAAAATGCAAAAAATAAGAAGCAAATGAAGCAAAATATGTGTAGTGTTAAAAAAATCAAACGACACAAACACACAATAGGCAACACTTGCTTTTAAATCAGTACTTGAAAATTTCAAATTCTGTAAAAGTTGTCCTCATCCACCAGAAAGCAATCCTTGCAAATCAGCAGGTAGTTATGAAGCCATTAGGCACACAAATTAGCCAGGAAGCAAATTTACAGGAAAGTTTCCCAAGATTTTTGTACTGTGTGTCGCTTCAAGTCCAGAATGTGGTTAATCAAAAGCAATCACTTTCACTTGAACCCAAACAACAACCAAAAGCGAGTGCCGCCTACCTTAGAACTGCTGAGCTTGACGAATTACTTGACCATGCCACCAAGAATTCCTCACCTCTACGGATGTTCCTGTGCTCGACAAGTGCTTTGGTCACATCGTTCGGGGCCATGCACGTCTTCAACACTTTGATTACAAACCTATACGCAATAACAAAAATGATATATTTTAGTATGGAAAAATGGATTGGCATACCTTGGCAAAAGGGCCAGTACTGAGGCTAGAATTGTGGAGAACCAATAAACACTGTTTCCCAGGGTTTGGTGGACTACCCAGTAGGTGCTTGGCAAGCCGAAGCAGTTGACACAGAAAGAGTTGTATATAAAAGCAAATGTGTAAAAACCCCCAATTGAGGCGGCCATTGCTAATATGTGAATGATGGTCTGCAATTTATACAAATTAGAACATATTTTAATAAATTGAATCTGATGGAAGCATACCCATGATTTAATTTCAACAGCCACATGAAGTAAATTGACAAACATGCAGGTTGATGTGATTGCTGTTCCGAACTCCCATATGCCAACTGTTGTGTCTTGGTACGCCTAGATAGTTATTAATTTAAGGTAATGCAAGTTGATCAATATTTTTTTGAACTTACAAATAGCGTTAAAAAGAACATGATCAAAGACTGGTATATAGAGTCTGCCATCGTGAGCCAAAAAGAAGCTGGTTTGTAGACGGATCCAAGCCGACCTTGTTTGTAGAGCCGAGGCTTCGACAACAGAAGTTCTGCTGGAGCGTCTTGATCGTAGACTCCTATAAAAGATATTCAGGTTCCACATTCGTACCTTTTAAGTCTAGCGTTATGATATATTACCAATTGCGATTGGCGGAAGAGAGGTGAAGACAAGATTGTAAAGCATTAGGTACATTTGGTCCATCATCACTGTGCCTGAAAAACCGCAATACAGCTGGTACCAGAAGATAAGGAACACAAAGGTCTGAAAGGAGCATAACATTGAAGTAAAAATAAATTTTGAAATTTTAAAACATACAGCATTTTTGTACAGGAAGTACAGCACCATCCTGGCTAGTCTGTCGTAACACCAGTGGCCATGGACTAAAAGGAAGCGCTCAAGATACTTGAATCTAGAAAGGGCAAAGTCTGAAGCCATCACGGCCTGCATGCCCTCTTGACCTGAAATTCCGACACCAATGTCTGCTGTCTGAATCATGGAGACGTCGTTGGCTCCATCACCTGAATAGCAATTAATCAAATGTTATTTCCATTTGTGCTCCATTAAGCATAATATACCTATGGCAAGGGTCCTCATTTTGAGAACCTCTTTGACGACTTTTACAATGTAGGCCTTTTGCAACGGAGTTGCTCGGCAGCACAGAACTGAACTGCAAAACCTTGTAAGCGTGAGAAAAGGCTTTTTCAGATTTGATCTTTGATCCAAAATGTACCTGGAAAAATAATTTTTTTTAAAAAAAATCAATCGAAAAAGTAGAGAAACTTACGTCAAAGTCTTGCCGTCAACAACAAGCGCTCTTTTGGGGAAATGTGGAGGCAAATCATCAATCGATGCATAGGGGTTTGAAGACGGACCCGACCCTCTGGGCAGTTCTCGCTCAATATCCTCCAAATAGGCAGTTATGGTGCTTTCAGCTGCGTCCCTTGATCTCGCTGATATTTTTAGGAGCTCCATTTGAGGCGAAAAGAGTTTTGCTGAGTAGGCAATGTTGATGGCCGTCTCTTGCTTATCACCTGTCAACACCCAAATCACAATGCCAGCCTCCAGGAGTGCCGCAATGGTCTCTGGCACGCCATCCTGAAGCCTGTCTTCAATGCCAGTTGCGCCTGAGTAAAATAATAAGTACTGAACAATTTAACAACAAAAGGGCTTATTTACCAAGAAGAATAAGATTCGTCTCCAGCCGACAGAACGACTCTCTGACTCTGCGTTCTCGATCATGCATCATTTCTGCGTCTTTGTGTTGAATGAGCCACGCTTCGAATTCAGCATCAGTGAGGTTCCTCTTGGCCATGACTAACACACGAAGGCCCTGCCTTGCGTATGAATTCAAATGCTGCTGGGTGTTGAAGATAAACTGCTGCATTGCTGGATCATCTGGATGGAAAAATTTATCATTTGAACTTCAGGACAAAAAGCCTACAACATACCTGATGGGGCCAATTGACACAAGATTGTTGAATCAGCGCCTTTGGTGTACAGAGTTAGCTGTTTGCTGACTGGATGTCTGACGACCACGGACATTGACTTTCTGGACGAGTCGAAAGGCAAAATTTGAACCACCTCATACTCAACTATGCCCTCACCAGGCACGGAAATCAGCGCAGTGTTCCCTACTCTCTTGAGTAGTCTGCAGTTGTAAGTGTAAGCAGCATCAACAAGCGCCAGCTCATCGGGACTTTCTGCCTCGTAAATGGGCTTTTTCTCTCCTGACGGCGATGGAGTCACAGCTGGCGAGTGGTTGTGTTTGTTCGACCTTCCCACGCGGAGAAAATTGGTCAGCCTCTTGACTGGCTTTGGTGAAGGGGTGCCTAAGGGCGTGCTTTCACTCGAAGAACAAATTGGGGATAAAGAGGATTGGCCTGTCAAGTCCAAAATCCTAGGCCTGATGGTGCTTGTTGGCGAGGGGGTCACAGAGCGCGACTCGTTCAGTCGGGAATACTTGTCAACAACTGAGTTTGTTTTTGAATGGGACAGGCTTGACACTTGGCTCTGAACTTCAATGTTTATCACACTAGGGGACTCGATTACACCACTCGCGTTCATCTGCTCAAATAATTTTCATGAGTATCCGACTTTTTCTATAAAATTGAGGGACTTACACTGTCATGATGAGGGTGTTTTGCTACAACTACCGTATTGCACAAAGCTAAAAGAACAAAAAACTCTTGAACTCTCTGCTCGTGAGTTGACTTGAGAGTTCTGGTGGTATGTGCACTGTCGATAGAAAGTCTCATTCCTCTCTCTAGCGCCTGGATTTCCTCCTGCAGTCTCATATTTGGGTGAATTGGAGTTGTCACTCCAGGCCTTAAATTCTGCAGAAAATATGCATAAACAATCATCCAAACAATTATTTTATTAAGGAGTCCTAACCTGTAATTCGGCTATTGGCGGATGGTTGTAATCAATACCATCAATGGTGCATCTTCGGAAAATCATTTTGTTTTCAGTTAAGGTGCCTGTTTTATCAGAAAATATGTATTGCACCTAAAATGAAAAGAGGCATTAAAATGATTCTGGATAACTTTGGCCTTAATTACTTGACCCAATTCCTCCGTGATATTCAAAGCTCTGCACTCAACACGCTTTTTGCGTTCGGCATCGTAGAGATAAGGATCGTTGTGTATGTGATAGACTTGAAGAATTTTTGTCATCTCAATTGTAACATACAGCGAAAGTGGGATCATAACCTGTAAAAATTCAAGAAGAATGAAAATTTAATGTTTTATTTCGTGACCCCGACCTGGAGGATAATGACGTAGGTCCAAAAAGTGAGGACTGCTTCGTATGCCGGGGAGAAGTATTCAGTAATGAATAGAGGCCAATAGGTTGATGAGGTGACTGATGACAGCCAAAATCTACAACCTATTGCCCCAATGATACAAAGGACAACCAGGATGACCACACACCAAACAACATCTCGGTTCATCGCACGCTCTAACTGAGATCTTTTGTATCTTGGCCCTCCGTTGTTCAACATGGCTTTCGTTTCATGACCTGCAGTTAAAATCGGTGTGAAGGTCAAGGGCAAATGAATAATTCACAGCGTGCGCTTAATTTACCAGCATAAACGACGATGCCCTCTACAAAGTCTGTGTTTTTCAAGACACACTCTCGTAAAAGGAGATTGTCTGTGCCAATGGGCACACGTTCTCCTGACTCGTGGACAACAGTGCCGTGGAAGCGGTAGATTTTGGTAGTCGGTGGATCAACTTCGATGTGGCTGCGGAATTGGCTTGCTTCAAATGCATCTTGCTGCAAGTAGATAATTATGAGAAATAGGGGAAAAATGCAAAAGATTTACAAAAAGAATGATTTGTTTGCAAATTCTTGAAGGCCAGATTAATGCTCAAATGTTGGTTGAGAGTGAATAATTTTTATCTCAACAGAACCTTCCGTATTGTCTCAAGAATGACATGATTCACATGATTGTGAATAAAAAAGTAAGGAAAATTCTAGCCATATTGGAAACATGATTTTTTTATAATTTCTACGGATTTTATTTTTGTTTGCTTTTTAATTTTTTTGATTCATACTTTTGTTTCAAATCCTCTCACGACCGAGCGTTGTTTCAGGTTGGTTTCGCCGTCCAGATTGCAAGTGTCTATGTAGCAAACCCCATGTTCCTCTGATGATCTCAGCAGCAAAACGTCAGCAGGAATCAACTCGTTGTTGGATAAGTGCACAAGGTCGCCAGCCCTTAAATTCTTCCAGAGAGTCTTGACGTACCGCTCTTGAGCGCTGTGAACAAGATCAATCAACTTGTTGAGTAGATGCATAAAAATAGCGCTTACAATTATAATTTCTATCTTTAAGTTTACAATAGAAAGGATTTATTTAAAATTTTCATTACATAACATCAATTTTTCCTATAAGCAATTTATTTGTTCATGTATCATAGATGAGCGTTATCAGAGAGTTGTTTCTGATGTCAAAATGTGATCAACAGCAAATAATAAACACAGATAAACGTTCAATTCTGACGTTTGTCTTATGCTAAAAAATGCGCACAGAAATTATCAGCGTTTTATCTCCGGTGTATAATCACTTTGTCCACGCAAATAGACCGCTGGATGGAGGGAATATGCGCAAAAAGATCCTCTCTGGGAAATTATTGAAATGTGGGCATTGCGTGCTATGCGTTTCTGATGAGGCAATTTAATTGTGCAGGAATCGAAATATTATTATTTCGTTTGCTTTTGCCGGATCGTAGTGTCAAAGCAGAAATGTGTCACGCGAGCAGGTGTTTGCTGCTCGCCATGGAAACAAATCGTTGTAGAAATCGCTCACCCACATAATGGGAAAAAATTTGGAGCAACCTTTACCACAAAAGGTGGCTATTAATAATTACACTTTCATTCTGATCATGGGCGGCGGCAGCTGCGAAATGAAAGAAAGAAATAAATAAAGGGCCGGCGGCGGCTGAGCAGCGAGAGCAAACAATCCTTCTTTTATTATTGACTTAAATATCTGCGGCGGGTCAACTCAGCCAAATTGCCGCACCTTGTTGACACATGAATATTGAATGGAGCGCTCCTGGAGATTTCTATTGACTACAAAAGGAGAGAAGCAAAAGCTCTCAAACTGCAAGAGCAAAAAATGCGGAAAGAACATTTACAGATAATATTTAAATTTCAATTTTTTTTGGAAATTTTAGTGAAACTTCACAAAATTTCAGCTTAATTGCATTGAATACAGTATAATTATAAGCAAATCAATTGACCTCATATAAATGTTAACAACTAGGCCTACTCAATTTCACTGATTGTTGCTTCAAGTTTTATGCAATTGTGATGTAATCCATTAAATTATATTCTTTTGAAAATATCGACTATATTATTAAATATTTGAATTTGTAATAATTTCCTGATTATTATTGTTGTCTATTTGTCCAAACTGTTACATCACATTTACGGTTTACAACTCGCCGATGTCTACTAAAATGCCTGACATAAAAAAAAACTCGGCCGCCGCAAATAATGTAGATAAATAAAAATAATTAAAACTCTTTGACATCTCAATCAAATAATCGTGGGAAGTCAAATAATTATTTCTACATACTCTTATCTAAAATTAGATTACGCTAACTTGTGAGAAGTAATCCAGCAAATTTTGCAAGATTGTTAAAAGTTAAGCTGTCTGCGAGGGAAAAAAACAGTTGTTGCTCTACGTGTTATCTCTTCTGAGGAACGGTGTTGTGAAAATTATCTGGCTCGTCGGAAAGTGTTGGTGGCATTGCTTGGCCCCCCGTTTTCCATCTATTCCATCAACGCCGTGACTCGCACCCACTTTTTTTTTTTTATCAAGGAGCGACTTTCAATGATTTCATCGAGATTCGCGATCATCAGCCAGTATATTTAATTGAAATTTCCAAGCAAGGATTGTCGACCTACGCGCATGAATAAATGATGAACTCAATTTGTGACCCTGGACGACAAAGTGAATCATGTGCGCGAGCGACAAGTGCGCGCAGCAATTTTCCTCAGCTACTGACACGCAATCATTAATATTGAAGAACAATTTGGCGAGGAATCACGTAACAATAATCTTGGAACGAGTCGAGCGCGATTGCGTGCTTATTAGTGAACAGATTTGCTCTCTCTATATAGGAAATATTTCAAGTTTAATCCGTTGCAGTGTAACAGAAATATTTCTGCCAAATTTTCCACCAAGTAAAAAAAAACACACTTAAATAAGTTAAATATTAAACGATTTTTATGATTTTACAAGTCTCCAATAACTGGTCTAACATTTTAAGAGAAATTTTTAAAAGAAATGCACTAATTAAATTTTATTTATTTTTATTTTGCAGTCAAAACGTGACTAACTATTTATTATTAAAATATTGCTCACTTTTAAAGTTTTGCATGAGATGAAATATACAACTTTAAGGAAATTATATAAATTTAAAGTCAATTTTTTAAGTCACTTAATGTTTAAGGTTACCCTGTCAATCGTAAAAATATTTTATACAAATTTTTAAATTAATTTTTGCCACAAAAAAGTTGAGCTCTCAATTTTTAGCTTCTGTCTGTACCTATCTTTTTTTTTAAATTTAAAGCTACATTTTAAATTTAGGTTTATTTTAGTTTCTTTTTAAAAATCTAGATTGGCATAATAGAATTTTCTTAAATCAAACAGTAATTTTTCTATGCACTTTCTTCACAGAACAAAGCGGGGTTTCCCCCAAGCCAACTTTATCAGTGACGTATTTGAATCTGCAGAGAAATGTTTTCAGCGCAGTGCTTCTTCTCATTTCCTGGCTGATAAAATGAAATGGGTGTTGCAACTGAGGAAACCGCAAAGCCTTACCATAAACCGACAAAGAATTCAATATTCAAAACAATAATAAAGAAAGGAGAACGTAAACTTGAAAGAAATTTTAAAGTTAGAGTTGTGGTTTCTCATTTCATTTCCCCCTTATTATCGTTCACGTGCAAATTCGGGTGCGGCCTTGGTTTGCGTGTGTGTATTTTCACGTTTTCCAGCAAATAATGCGATTACTTGTATATTTTTTGTGCGTGTTTGTGTGTGCTTTGGTTGTGCACGCATCACTTCAAGTTCGGCCACCGCGAATAAATTGAGACGGAAGGGAAGTGAATGCAAAAAGGTTCATTCTGCGCGACGGAGCCGAAGGTTTCGTATTTCTTCCGTTGGCTGATTCCGCCGCCAACACACAAAAGACACACAAGTCGACAAAAATTATATATGTGTGCAATACGTCAAGAGAGAAAAACCAGAGAGAGGATAATGTCAGCCGCGCGCGTGCAACTCCGTCGGCGCGATAAAACTCTTTGAGAGCAATAAAACAAAAAAGGGGCATGCGAATGTATGAAGGTTCAGGCTTTTTCCGGGGGAAGTCATAAATTTTGTTTGCCAAAGGAGGGCAAAGCTCAAACTAATGGGAAAAGCAGTAAAATCAAACTTTTACCGCTTGCGCAAAACTGAACCATCCAAATTGCAATATTTCAGGGCTTAAAATGAAAATGAATGAGCTGATAAATGAATTGTGTTAAAATATTGATGTTGATTGGAGAAACATGTAGAGAGATAAAACCATTGAGCAAAAAAGTTGCTGTTCATTTAATTATACGCCTATAGTCTTTAAAATTGTAAACAATGGCAATGAAGGCAATTTGAGTCGGCCCTGTCTCAGGTGGTTTGGCCCTGAGACCTTCAATTGCGGGACAGTATGCTCATTGTTTCGTTTGATATCAAATTACCCAAAGTAAAAAAAAAATCAATTCAAACATAAAAACTAGAAAATAAAATGACAAAAATATAAACCCGAAATAAAATTCTTTTCGTTTCAAAGATAAATCAGTGCGGAGATATCAAAGTGCCGCTTGGACTAATATTTCCACTTTTGGCAAAAGGTGTGTAAAAAAAGATAACATTTACCTGTTGTAAACACGGCAGGTGGAGTTGTTGATGCGTTTGTCCGAGTTGTGTCGGCGCCTGTCCTCAAAGGCGTCCTTGATGGCCGTGACCCCGAGCACGAAAGCGACCGGGATCATGGCGATCTCCTTGCCGAACGCGTTGATGGCCGGGAACCAGTTGAGGAGCACAATGAACAAAAAGTAAAGATTGGCCACACGGTGGAACTGCTCGAATAAGTTCTTGGGCAGGAAGGACAGCATCGTGTACTTGGTGGTGCGCACCTCGTTGCCCGGAAACACGTGGTTGGGGTGCTGCTTGGGCGGCGTGCCCTCGGGCACCGTGTGGTTTGGCACCACCACTCGCACCTTGCGCGTCGCTTCATCTTCCGGACGGCGCCGCCAGAAGAACAACTGCAAAAAATAAAACGGTTTTTTATTCGAGTTTTATTCTCATATGCAGACGACCGGTGCCAAAACTGACACTTGTTAAATTGAGGAATTTTGGCCCTGGGCCAGAGTCTGCAGACGTCTGCTAGCCAAATGGAGCTCTCAAACTCTAATCTAATGAGATTTGAATGATCACGAGACTAGCAAGTGGAAATAAAAAGGCAGACGGAATTCGAAAGACACCGCTTTTTCAAGCAAACTAATCCCCTGTGTACAATTTTGTGGGTTTTAAAGAATATTAATAGAAGCATAATGGTTTATGATATGCATGGAAAATTAAAATGGGAATTCAATAAATTTATACATGTGTACATGAGTAAATTATATTTTTTTAATTATTCATATTTAAAATTATTTACTTCATCAAGCTTAAGTGAAGTTTAACAAAAAAACAAAATGACTTTCCACTCAAAACTTCATTATTTTTTTTGTTATTATCTAAAATATTTTGAAAACAAATATTAAACCCTAAATTATTAGAAACTGATTCAAATCTATAGGTAAAGAATTCTATAATAATTATTTCCAATTTCACAATCTTCATAATTATTTTTTTTCTGTTTGAAACCCGGGGATGTTTTATTTATTCCAGAAATGGTCTACACACCTTATCCGTCCATTTAGGAGGCGGTTGGTTCCTCAGGGTGTAGATGGACTCGCTGCGCGACGCCTGTCTCGAGTGTCCAGGTTTGAAGTGAACCGAGTCGGCCCTGGGACGTGGAGGCGGCGGTTCGTCCCTGTGTCCCGGCGGCAAAATAAACTCGGTTCGAGAGCCGACTCGGTTGTGGCCGCGGGACAGACCGACCGAGCCTGGCTCGTTGGTGCCAATCTGGCCGTGCGAGAAGGCCCGCTGGTGACCCTTCTTCAGGGCCGACGGACGCGACGTGATGGAGCCCGTCGAGCCCATGTCCTCGTGAGGCGAGGTCGACGTCCGCGCCTGCAGGCCGGAGGGCATCGCGGCCGCTCCGTGGCTCGCACTGCGCGTGTGGCCGCGCAGGGCGGCCGTCCGGGTGTCCGGAAACATGTAGCAGCGCTCGGCGTCTGGTGCTTGGTGGTCAGCGCTCCCTGGCATCCTGATTCGCCCCCTGCCTGCTTCAGCTGCAAATCCAAAATTAGGTAAATTTTTTTGTACAAAAATTAAATAAATTTATTTAGTTTGAGGAAAAAATTTCAGACGACCCTGAGAATTATCTCGCGGAAAGAAAACAAAGGCTGCGATTGCGAGATAGAGAAAGGGTGGCCGGATTGTCCTGCTTCTTTCCTCTTTGCTCGATTTGTTTTTGATTGTTTTCCTCTTTTGCCCGGTGGTGGTCTGAAAATTAATGCTGGACCGAGATTTTTCTTACCATGCGAATCATTCCGCCTCACGGGACGAAGCGGACTGTGGACACTTGCATTTTCGCCACTGGCCGAATTCCCTGGTGGTACTGTTGTTTGTGTGTCCTTGCTTGTTATCGATGTGATCGTCGTTCGTGGACGAGGAGGTGGTGAGGTGGCCTGGAAATCACTTCACTTGCCCGATTGACTGACTCAAGGATCTTTCGGACTGACTCAAAACGGCACTGCGCTTCAAGAGCCACCTGGCGCGTGACCGCCAAACGACGAGCGTAAAAAAAGCATCGATCGCAGAAAGCCCGGCACTCGCGGACTCCACGTGCAATATTCATGATGTATGATATTATACGATTCCAGCTTCGTTGCGATTTTTTTCTTTATTTTAAATAAAATAATTTATATTGATGCAATATTAAACAGATTATGCCACTTTTAATTTGTATTTAAGATTTTATGAGAGGTATATAATGCAGTTTTTCTTCTTATTTTAGTAAAAAATTTAAGTTACTTTTATTTTTAAATGCAATTTCAAAGAAATTTGACTGGAAAAAATTTATTTTTGAAGAGACTTAAATGGTTCTTTGTATGAAAAATTCAGCAATATTTTGAATTTTGAAAATATCTGCTGCTTCTTTAATCTAATCGCAAAGCAATTTAGTATGGAGTGTACGTGCTCGCCGCCATATTATGCGGATGTGCAATGGATGCCTCTCGCGATAAGATAAAAATTCACTCTTTACAAAGCTCTAAAAATCGAGTTGACAGCTATTAAACTAACTGGTTTGTATTATTTATTTTGGTTTGTTTTTCCACAACTTTTATTCATTTCTTTGATTTAATTACACCTTTTAATTCTTAACAAGCAGACAGGCCGTGTTTTTTTCTTCATGGAGAAAAAAGAGCCGGATTGGCGGACGAAGCATGTTTCGTTATCGGATCAACTTTGGTACATGTACCAAAACAAAATTCACACGGACATAACAATTTACGCAAGTAACGGATACAAAAGCCAGGTGCGCGAGGTTGCGCAGGGAAAATGAAGAAATACTAAATATGAAATATTCTTTAAGACCTATTACTGTCACAAGATGATATTGTTGCGGCTCAGCCCAGTATTCGAAAAGCTTATAAATGGGCTGCCGCAAAACACCGACATCCTCAATATGTCAGCCCTGCGGCCTGACCTGTTCTCCCTACTAATCAAGTGGGTGGAAGAAAATTAGGAAGAAAATATATATAATAAAAAAAAATAAATATATTGTTGCTATTGCTTTCAGATTCGCCTACACCGATCAGATAAAACTAAAATCGATTGCTGATGCCGCAGAATTATTCAATTTGAGCAAACTGTATGACGTTCAGAGGCTGAAAACGTTTTGTCTACGTTACGTTGAGGACAATGTCAACTCCAGTAGCGTTTGGGACGTTCTGAACTTCTTGACCGAGCTTAACAAGAAAGAGAAATCAAATATGATCAAAAAGATTGATGTGGTAAGAAAAAGTGATTATTAATAATTGTGAAAAAATTTAATTACAAGTTTATTTAATAAGTTTATTATTCTCAAGTCACAAACAATTTTTTTATCACATTGCATGCATATAACCAGGACATTTACTGTGCCTTACCATTTTGACAGTGGATTTTTTGCCTAATCCTTTAAACTTTTTAATGCAGGCCACTTTTAAATCATAAGCCGAGATTTCAGAAATATATTTTTTAAATCTATCTAGATTAAATATAAATAACTTTAAAAAAAAACATTCCGAAACATTACAAATGAATTCCAAAAACCTTTGTAGAGTAATTTGTAAATTAAAGAACAAAAGTAAAATAATATTAAATAAATTATTATGCTACCTGGCCGACAGACACGTACAGCAAGTTGCATACTTTTGACTTCTCCGTGTGTGATTATCCTATAGCATATTACAATAATACATTATAATTATATAAAATGGCACACGTGTGTTAAATGTATAACTAAACATATTATTTTTAAAAGGTGTTGGTCGGACAAACGGGTGCTTGTCTGGAGTCTGACGGATTCCTTGAGTGCAAGCAGTCGTCGCTGTTGCATCTCCTAAAAATGGATTGCCTGACTCTTGACTCGGAGCTGCCCATTTTATACGCCGCGCTGCGTTGGTTGCAACGCTGGAATTTTGGTGCCAAATTGACTCCAGAGAAATCCAAAGAACTCCTGGGTCCCTGTCTCGCCCACATTCGGTTTCTCAGTCTGTCCGCGCAAGAGTTTTCAGACAACGTCACCAGCTCTGGTCTTTTGTCCGATTCGGAAAATCTTTCAACCTTAATCAGCATTACCACCAATGACGACACCAAAGCACCCGAGTGGATGAACAAAAACAGGAGCATTAGGACAATGTCTCAGCAAGATCCAAAAGAGCAGCCATCGACCTCTCTGGCTGACGGTGCATTTCCAAATAAGGGACCAAAGAGCAGGGTTTTTAAGAAACAGACACCTCAAGCCAAGCCTAGACCTTTTGGGAACCAAAAATTTGCAAAAAAATCTTTTAGCAAGTCCTGTGAAAATTTGGAAGTTCCGCAGTTGACAATTAAATTCAGAAAATTTGACTCTGTCAAAGCTGAGGGCAAATGGAATATATCCACGGCGCAGTTTGCGTTTGACCGAGACATTTTCATTGGTGCCGTTCTGATGTCGCTTGTCACTGAATCAGCTAAAGGACCTGCAACGGACCACCTGCGTGTAAGAATTTCCGAGTGGAAAGGACCGCAACTGGCAGTCGCTGACTTCAGCAAAATCAGCCTTCCGTCAAAATCAATTCTGAATATGCCCGTGGGTCTGAAAGGAGGCACCGATTATGTTGCTGTCATCTACACGCTGCCCACGTTCCCGCTAGTTGGCGTAAAAAGAATGGAAATAGACTGTAACGATGGTTCACTTAAAATATGTTTGTAATTTAAACGAAAGTGTATCATTATTCTTTTGCTCTAATAAAGAAATACAACATGCAAAAAAACTCAAAAAGCGCATTTTGTTTTTCAATTTAAAATAATTTGTATAAGCGGATTTTTTTAATGCATAATAGCCTTAATTCTCTAATCTCTACAGATCCATCCAGTTTTAATTTGTTCCCATTTTTGCAATTCTTACAAAATGAAAGAGTGAAAAAAATTATTATAACGAAGACCAGTATCCCGATCAGCTTCATTTGTAATAATTAAATAATACAATTCAGTCACTTGACCCCAACCAAAGTCAATTATCGGCTTAAACCTGCTTAATCAAGATTGTGGTTTAAGTGCCCACGCCGCACTTCCTCTGATTTCGACTGGTAGCAGCACATGACGGAACTTAACGAGGAAGTAAACACATATCATAAAAAAATAGTAAAAACCTAGTTAAAAATTCTATATTTAGGAGACTTTTTATTGAAAAAAAAAAATAATAATAATAATAATAAATCAAAACTTATGCTACCTGGCTGACTGAAACGTACCGCGGATTGCAAAGTACTCACTTTTAGTATTTACGCTGCACTGCTGCACGGACACATATTTCAAAGGTTTAAAAAAACAGGCTATAGTCTGTAATTGCAATTATTCTTTGCGTGCAAGCAGTCGTTTCTGTATCATTTCCTAAATATTAATTGTCTCTGTCTCTTGACTCAGAGACTGCCGAATTTTGTACGCGACATTGGTATAGCAACTTTGGGATTTTGGTGCCATAAAATATGTCAACCTCAGAAAAAAACTAATAAGCTCCTGGGTCCCTGTCTCTGCCAAATTCGCTATCTCAATCTGTCGGCCAATGTGTCCAAAATTATTTCATTAGCTTTGACAAAATTTTCAGTCTTCATCGATATAAAAACCAGTGAGTCAATGACGATGACCACAACACCAGAGGGTAAAAAAACAGGAGCATCACCTTCAACAGTTTTTAATAATTTGAAGTGAAAAGTTCTATAAATTATAGTCTATATTTGTTAAAATTTCTTATTTATTAAATTTACAACCAATGCTTTGATAATGTTAATTTCAATCGCGGATCAGAATTATAAGAATATAAAATATTACTCATAAAAATAATTAAAAAGTTGATTAAATTATACAAATTTAGCCAATTTTGTCGTAGGCCAAAATTATGAAATTATTTTAACAAACAATTGAGATCTTAACTTTGTAATGATTACTATTCCATAATATTTAAAAAAAAATTCATCATTTAATTCATTTACTTAAAAAGACGTTTCGTCTTGCCTCAGATTTTTTAGGGGCACTGCAGCGGATGGATCATCATTTGTCACTGACATATCAGAGGTGGCGGACGCTTTTGAGTGGAAAGAACGTTGCTCCGTGCCGCTGATGTCATGACTCGCGTACTTTGGCAAATAACGGCGTAAGAGCGAATTTCGGACTTTGACGTTGGTGACGACGCAGAAGATAAAAATCAAAACTCCCCTGGAACAGTTGATGATGTCAAACGGCACCCACAACCACTTGGGCTTGCTGTGGGCCGCCCACGAAATCACCTCCATCAACCACGTGCCACCCATCAGCAAAAACAGCTTCACGTACAAGGCCAGCCTGCAATTTCCGTTTAATCGAGAAATGCTTTATAAATTAAGAGGATAGAAGAAAAAACAGGAAACCCGCACCTTTGCCTGTCTTCCAGCCCAGAACCCTTTCCTCCGTGCGTCATGCTATCGCCTCTCTTCAGAACCGCTGCTTCGTTCTTCATCTTGGTGATTTTCACCAGGGTCACGATAAAGTACATGGTGTTTAAAAAGAGCAGAAATAGAACAGGGCCTTGGAAAAAGAAAAATTCCTGATGGTGTGCTGTGAATTTAAAAAAATTAAAGTTTAAAATATGAAGTATAATGCAATATTGGCCATAAAACTCACATCGGAACCAGCAACTTTTAAAGCCAATACCGGGATAGAAATAGGACGTGTGGCTGACAGTGTGATCAAGTATAACAACTAGCATCAAGGCAATCAAAGGGTTGATCGTGGAATACAGCGCGTACATGCGAAACTTTTTTTTGTGCGTCTGTTGTAAAGAGCCAGTCATTTTCTTGAAATTACTATTTAAATTAAAACCGATTAATACAAGGTGTTGGCAGAATGTAATTTTTTCAATACCCAAAGGTCATGAAAATGTCAAAGCACATTGTATTTAGCCAATAGAATGAGCTGAGTAGGAAGTAAAAAGCAATGTAGGCTACAAAAAGGAAAGTTAAACAGACACATTCTTTATATTGTAAATATTAAAGTTAACTTACCAAACGTTTTACAGACAATAATGTGATTATCGGTTCCTGACAAATACGTTACTGTAAGGCCAATGTAAGCCATCATTAGGGTAAATGATTGGCACGCGATACTTTTTCCGTGAAGATTTTTCATTTCCGGTGTGACGATGAATGCAAGTAAAGTGAGAAAAAGGAAAATTACGGAGCAGATCATGAAGACTGGGTAAAGGTAAAAATGAAATTCCATTGCTCCCTCTTGTTTGCCCAAACCAGTATCGTTAAAAAAGCATTGCAAAACAAGAAGTTTCCCGTCTTCCTGCAATTAAAGTTGTTTTAATTATCAAATGTAAGGAAATACAACTTTAACGTAAATACATCAGTCAGAATGCAGTACTCTTCGATGCGATAAACAGATTTCATTTCATCATCACTCAGATGAGTAAAATGAAGAGATCCGTTTGCTAAAATCACGTGCTTATCGCTTTCCTCCTCATCTGGATCCAAAGGAAAGGCCTCATCACATTCACCTCCTTCTATCACATTAAAGTGCTCATGCAAATTCACAGTTTTTAATTTGTCTCCATGAAATATGTCGATATTGTATTTTTCCTCTGGTAGCGTTATGTTTTTTTTCATCACATCAGCCACTTTGGGCACGAAGTCTGTAATTTAGGGTTGAAATTTATTATAATGAAAAAAAAAACTGTTTGGAAATACCTTCATGGCAAAGCCTAATGCAAGATTTTCTGTCACACGGGCATCCATAGTAATCGCCGCCCTCCTTCCAGAATTCGTTTTTTAAGAAAACCGTGTCATTTTGCACCAAAGCTCCATCTCGAAACTCTACAGGTCCATCCAGTTTCAATCTATTCCCATTTTTGCAAGTTTTGCAAAATGAAAGCTGGACTAGAATTATCAGAACGAAGACTGGTCTTCCGAACAGCTTCATGTTTAATAACTGTTTTATTGAGTCACTTGACCCCTTAGCAATATTTTCTTATCTGATATAGGAAATAAGGAAACCAGCTTGCGGCATGAAAACATCCGTACTTCTCGATAATGGAAAAAAGTTTTTGCTTTGAATTTTGAAAACTTTATGTAGCATTGACCTTTCAGAGTTCTATGATCGTGTATTTAATACTCTGTTAATTCTTTTATGACATTTTTGTGCCGTAAAAGCTGTTAAAAATTAAAACCTCTTAATATAGAGACAAAGTGGCAATTGTGGCGAGAGCGCCTGCATAGATCGTGTATAGGCAACCTGTGCGGCTACATATATGTTTTTGTGTGATAATTTTATTGTTATTTATGACGTATCAAATAGTACATTATTTTTTATTAAGTTTTAATGAACATAATGGTTTAAGCTCTAATAATAATCAATAAAATATTATATTAATGAAATATTAATGAAAATTATAAAAATAAAACGTTGCGAAAAATATGAATAGCTAAATTTAATTTTAATAATTTTTTGGACATTTTCGCAGTTAGATATTACACTGTAAAATTGAGTGAATACTTAAATAAAAAATATTATTCAACAAATTTTAAATACTCTCATGAAATATAAAACATAACATAACAAATTTAATTTATCAATTTATCATACAAGACAGCGCTAACACCCATGGGTCGACAGTGTGCTCGCGATTACGACTATACAAATGTTGCGCTCGCGCTCTGCTTGAAAAATATTGTTTTTCTCTAATAAAAATTGATTTTTGAAAAAAGTATATAAACGTAAAACTTAAATGTGAAAATTGTAATAATCAAGAAATACTGAGCTGAAAGGACAAATTATAAAATGTATGTAATTATTTTGTTGTTGGAATTTTTGCCCAATTCACAAAGTTTAATTATTTTATGTGTGCCCACAATGAGCGCAGATCGCAGAGTGCAAAGAGCGCGCTCTGGCTATGTATGATGCTGAATCAACAGTATTTGTTTTTGTTTTAAATAAACATCAAATCGTGTTTCAGATTGAAAAAAATTTAACTTTATTGAATACGTATGATTGAATAACTTCATATTAATAAAATTCTTGCAAATAATTTACAAAAATGAATTAAGATTTAATTTCGGTTATGATTTATGATCAGTGTTATACATGACATTGAAAAACTCATGCAATTTATTTAAATTAAAATGACGATTCATCATGCCTGAGATTTTTGAGAGGCACTGCAGCGGCTGGGTCATCATTTGTCACTGACATATTAATATCAGAAGTGGCGGACGCTTTAGAGTGGAAAGAACGTTGCCCTGTACTATTGATGTCGGCACTTGCGTACTTTGGCAAATAACGACGTAAGAGCGAATTTCGGACTTTGACGTTGGTGACGACGCAGAAGACAAAAATCAAAACTCCCCTGGAACAGTTGATTATGTCAAACGGCACCCACAACCATTCAGGCTTGCTGTGGGCCGCCCACGAAATCACCTCCATCACCCACGTGCCACCCATCAACAAAAACAGCTTCAAGTACAAGGCCAGCCTGGAATTTCCATTTAATTGAGAAATGGTAAATATCTCAAAGGAGATATATAAGAAAAACAGGAAACCCACACCTTTGCCTGTCTTCCAGCCTGGAACCCTTTCCCCTGTGCGTCATGCTATCGCCTTTCTTTAGAACCGCTGTTTCGTTCTTCATCTTTGTAATTTTTACCAAGGCTACAAAAATGAAAACGGTGTTTAAAATGAGCAGAAGTAGAACAGGTCCTTGGAAGAATAAAAATTCCTGATGGTGTGCTGCAATTTTTAAATTGAATAAAAAAAAATTAATATTAATGCACCTTAGTAGCGGTCATCAAACTCACATCGAAACCAACAACTCTTAAAGCCGATACCAGGCCAGAAATAAGATTTTTCGCTGACAGTATGGTCAAGTATAATGACTAGGAGCACAGCAATCAGAGGGTTGATTGTGGAGTAAAGCGCGTACATGCGAAACTTTTTTTTATGCGTCTGCTGTAAAGAGCCGGTCATTTTCTTGAAATTTCTGATATAAATCAATTTATTTCGAGTGTAAAAAAAAATTAAATTTTAATACCCAAAAGTCCAGAAAATGTCATAGCACATCGTATTTAGCCAAAAGAATGAGCTGAGTAGGAAGTAAAAAGCAATATAGGCTATGAAATAAAAGTAAAACAGATATTATATTAATTATCTATATATAATATGTTGTTACAATTAATTTACCAAACATTTTACAGACCACAATATGGTTATCGGTTCCAGATAAATACGTTACTGTAAGGCCAATGAAAGCCATCATTAGAGTAAATGATTGGCACGCGATACTTTTTCCATGAAGATTTTTCATTTCGGGTGTGACGATGAATGCAAGTAAAGTGAGAAAAAGGAAAATTACGGACCCGATCATGAAAACTGGGTAAAGGTAAAACTTAAATCCATTTGTTTCAGTATAGAAGCATTGCAAAACGCGAAGTTTCCCATCTTCCTGCAATTAAAAGTTTTAAAATTCAAATGTTGGGAAAGAATATTCTACATAATACATCATTGAGAATGCAATATTCTTCAAAGCCATAAACAGATTTCAATTCTTTATCACTCAGATTAGAGAAATGTAGAGATCCGTTTGCTAAAACCACATGCTTATCGCTTTCCTCCTCCTCTGGTTCCAATAGTATGGCCTCATCACATTCACCTCCTTCTATTACATTAAAGTGCTCATGCAAATGTACAGTTTTTAATTCGCCTCCATGAAATACATCAATTTTGTATTTTTTCTTGGGTAGCGTCATAATATTACTGAACGCAGCAGCCACTTTTGCCACCAAATCTATACATTATTTAATCGTATATTTATCGAGATTGTTTTGGAATTAAATAATATAGGAATCACCTTTATGGCAAAGTCTTATGCAAGATTTGCTTTCGCACGGGCATCCATAGTATTCGTCTCCCTCCTTCCAAAACTCGTTTTTCAGGAAAACCGTGTCATTTTGCACCAAAGCTCCATCTCGAAACTCTACAGGTCCATCCAGTTTCAATTTATTCCCATGTTTGCAAGTTTTACAAAATGAAAGAGGGACTAAAATTATTAGATCAAAGATCAGTCTTCTAAACTTCATTTTTAATTATGAAGTGATGGTATTCAGTGAATTCAGTTGAAAGTCACTTGCCCCAGCCATCATTTCTTATCTGATATAGGAAGTAAGGAAACCAGCTTGCGGCATAAAGCGTCCGTGCTTCTTGATAATGACAAAAATAATTTCTTTTGCATTTTGAAAGTTACAAAACTTTATTTTACATTTAATGCGCTGTTAAAAATCGTATTGGAACTATTTATTATATTTTGACACTCATGACAAAGCTTAATGCAAGATCTCCTGTCGGACAGGCATCCTTAGTACACGTTGCCCTTCTTCCAGAATTTGTTTTTTCTGGAGAACCATGTCATTTTGCACCAAAGCTCCAACTTGAATCTCTAAAGGTCCCTCTAGTTTCAGTTGAATGCCATTTTTGCAAACGAGAGTGACTCTATAACATCTATGCGTTTTGATAATTACAACAATTTTGACTTGTTAGTGTTTTCACTGTTTTCTGAATCGTGTAATGCACAATTAAAATTTTTTTGGCAAAGTAGTTTTTACTTTAAGCAGTTATAAGTTACAAACCGTTAAAATGACAAAAAGAAACGATTTCTGTGAGAGCGCCTGCAAAGATGGCATTTATACAACCTGTGCGGCACAGTGTCTTCTTTATAAATATCTAAACATAATAGGGCGGAATATATCCAATAGGACGTAAAAAATTATTACAATTCTTAAGTAAATTTTTTATAAAGATTATTGTTTAGTGTAGTTTTGTTCTGTAGTGGGGAGTTTCAAAGCTTTCTACATATATGTATAGTCGGTGAAGTAAAACATTACACATTATAATAATCAACAAATTTAACAACATAACAAACAATAATAAATTATTCATACATTGACCAAGCTCACGCCCATGGGGCAACAAGTGCGCTCGCGATCACCTTACTTATAATTATACAAATCTATATCAATCACTCACGCTCCGTGCCAAAAATAAATTCTTCTAAAATAAAAGTCGAACTTCGGTGAATTTTTATAGCAGCTTTGAGCTGCTGTAGAATTAATAACCAAGATTACATCAATAAAAAAAATTCTAGCAACAGATCCATTTCAGCGCAATTACCAAGCTAAACAAGGATATAGTTGACGCCTACAAAAAGGACCAAATCTGATCGCTTTGCTGATATTTCTCTGCTGACCAAAATTTAAATTTAATAACTTTCAAGATAACAGTGACCACAGGAAGCATGGAAATATTTTAATTAAATTATCATTGATAGCAATTAGCATGGTATATTAAAAAAAGAGGCCAGATGGAAAATGTGCTATAAAAAACCAGAAATTTATGTTTATACTGAAAAATTTATTTTGAATAACGGAATTCATCAGCCACATAAGTAGAACGACACTCTCATCAAATGGTCGTGCTGCTCTATGCATCTGTTTCCTCCTTCGAATCTTCACCAACCTCACCAGCCAAAGCTTTCCCTGCCTTCTTCTTCTTTTTCTTGGCAGATTTAGGGTTTGCTGATTGATTTAGAAGAGACTGAAAATTTATAAATTCCTCTTATGAATTTATCGTTCTCAATAATTAGCTCTATAATAATTTGATTCAAAAAAATGATTTTTCCTTCAAATTTTAAAGCCATTATTCCTAAACGAAATATTTAAATGACAAATTTTAAAATCAATTTGAATGCTTCTAAAAAATGAGTAAATAATTCAATGTATCAGCAGTAAAAAGAATTGAATTACGAGTGTCTGCTTGCTCTCCAGCAGAAAGTGACAAGACATAAGGATAGAGGTCTCACTTTCGCAACAAGAACAGTGCTTTCAAGTTTAATTTCCTCCTGCTGAAGACCCATGATGTCATCACCACAAACAAGGCAAGCCGAGTTGTGGCTGAGCAGGGTTCGTTTTAACAGGAGTGGCCGAAATCAGTCTGAGAGACAAATAAACATTGATTCCTACCTTAATCTCTGGATCTTCAACACTAAGCTCAGACTGGTAAAATTCAGGCTCGAAGTTAAAACCAGTGATGCGGTGAGGACCATTGGGCATGAGGAGAACCGTAAACTTAAAATGAGCTACTAACTCATCTGCGAACAAACACATTAAAATGTGAGAGGAATTCAAATGTTCTATTGAAATTCTATAATATTATAATATTTTTATCAGATGGTGATGCATGTGAATGAGTAATTTTCATTTGGATCAATTGAGATGTTCAATCATCATTCAATAATAATTAAATTCAACATTTATATTAAAGGAGACTCACTTGGTTTCTCATAGAGAACCTGGAAGGGATCGATCAGCTTGTGGCTTAGGCACTCAACAACACCCATTCGTGCCTTGCCCTCTTCCTGCAGCAGCCTTAAGTTGAAGGGCATGGTTCCATACTTGTTGGAAATTTCCGCATAGAACATGCGAGACGCCTTCAGCTTCAGCTGATAGGTTTCTTCTGTTCTCTTGAAGATAGAGACTCTAGCATCACCTTCGCGTCCCTGAAAACAAAACATTAAAAAAACCATTAGTTTTAAATTGTTAGAAATAATAAGAAGCATTTAATTTATTTAAATTCAATTTACTGGGACAAAAGATTGATATGGAAACATACCACTCCTTCCCCTGTGCTGATAAGCACATCCATGGCGTAGACCTCGTTGGGCCCGATTTCAAACTTCTCGTGCTCCTTCCTCTGAGCATCGTTCGGATTTTGAATAATTGTCTTCTCACCGTCGATTTTGAATTGCTTCAGCTGGTGACTAAGCATGCCTTCGATGGGCTTGCACTTGTATGCCTCGGCCACCTTTTGCACTGCCTCTGTTATCGCATATGTCTGGAACAGAAGATCTCAATTTACTTTGAGGAAAAATTTAATTTTTCAGAAGAATAATGAAACAACATCAGTTGGTAGTGCATGTAAGATTTTTCACATAGAATCAATGGCGATGGTTTTTCATCATTTAAATATCAAATAGAAATAATAATAGCAGAGTTTTAGACATACCTCATTTCCAGGCTTAAGTAGTCGAAGGGCCGCTTGGGATGCAAGGTGGGCAGCCAGCATTACATTCGCCTTTTTGCCGGTGACCTTTCTTTCATTGCTTGCTCCAACAACCAGAGAGTGGGCAACCACTGCAATGAAACCATCAACATGGGCTCCCAAGTCACTGAAATATAATTATTTTGTCATAAAAATTATTTTAGCTTGGAAATATATATATTTTTTAATTAAATGGAAAACTAATTAATTTAAATTAAGTGTATTAGCGTATGAATGGAAAGAGATTTTCAATGAATGCAAAATGATTAATTGTACGCCTATTCTCTGGCAGGTCATGATGAGACATAAGGATAGAGGTCTCATGACCGCAGTGAGAAAAGTGCAAATTAATTTCCTTCCATAAGCACAACCCATGCTGTCAACACTTCGAACAAGGCAAGCCGAGTCGGAGCTAAGCAGGGCACGAGAGTGCTGGAAGTGACTAGACTACTTTCAAATTTAGAGAAACAAATGAAAAAAAGGCTCTAAATTTACATTTTGACCAGGTCCTCATCCTTAATAAGATAATCGGGCTCGCTGGCAACTGGAGAATAGTGGCAAATGCAGTTATTGATGGATATGCACGTAGGGAAGGCAATTCCTGCAAAACAATTGTTAATTATAGAATTGCAAATTCAATTAATTTAAATATTAAACCACCTTTCTTGAGTTCTTTCTCCTTTTTAAATACTTTGCTCGTTTCTTCTAAAATTTGTTTGTCTCCCCACTCGCAGATTTCTCTCACGGATGCGCCGACCACGCACTTGTCGACCAATTGCTTCAAAATTCCTGTAACACGAGCAAGAATAATTATTTATTTCATTGCGAGGATTAAAGCCCCCGAAAGGATCGTACTTCATTGCAAAAGGGCTCGTTTTCAGAGGAGATTCAGAGCTCACCACGCGTGCAAACGGGGCCAAAACTTTCGCTCAACAGAAGCAGATCAAAGTGTCCACTTTTCCAAACGTCGACCGGCCCGTAGGCAAACTTGGCCAAAAATTCAATAAAACAAGAGTTAAATTGAGTTTTGCGAGGGGACTTGATGGTCAAATTATGCAAAATGCCGACGATGCACGGTGCACATGGGTCACCGGCCATGCCACCATGCCCGCCATATGGCCAGGCGGCGTCGTGGCATTTTTCGATCCCCTGTAGGACTCTGCATTTGGAACCCCTGTCCCCGAAAAATGTACCAAATAAAAGAGCGTAAATTAACTCACGATTAACGATGTCTCCTGCCATTTTATACTTGGTGACCACCAAGTCCTCGGCGATTGTTTTTTCGCCCTCATCTTTGTCCGCCATCCTTGATAATCAAACCGAACGAAACAACGAAATGGTCACGTGATCACAGCGCTCGCGCGGGAAAACAAGCACACGCGGGAGGCGAGTTTGAAACTTTGGCTAACAATACAGTCCTGTGTGCTCTCAAAATTAAATTTAGAGCTACTAAGATTAAAATCTCATTTGTTAACTTTTGCTTGGAATGCAATTTAATGCTTAAAGGCCGCAACCTTGTTGGAAAAGTGCACACATTTATTAACTTCCTAAGGACATCCAAGATTTACTAATAAAATTGTTTACAAATAAGCAAATAAAAACTTCATTTTTCTGCTGCAGTTTTTATTCCGATGACTTTTTAAATTCAATTTAATTTTTGCTTCCTGAAACATTAACTGAGTAAACGCATTTGGTCACTAGTGAAGGAACATTATTAGCTCATAGAGAATTAGATTGGTTACCAGACAATACAAGATGCATTTTTGAAGACGGGAGAGGTTCTTTGTTAAGCAGTGCTTGAGTACTTTAATTCTACATATGAATCTGCAAACTGGTCCAGGTCTAACAACATTGTATCAGCCAGTTGGCAATAACTTGATGGGATGGTAACTAGGTTAGAGTCTACCAAGGACAGTTAGCTGTTTAACTATAGTTTTGCAGAGAAAAGCTGCAGTTTATCCGTCTTGTATAGGCAATCCACGTCTCAAAAACGAGGCAAAATTATTGAAAAGAATTCTCTTGTCAGGTTGAACTGATAATATAACAAAACTAAGGCGTGTTTTGCATTCTGTACAAAACATTTACATAAAAAGACACACCTTAATGAAGCAATAAATTAATAAAAATAATTTCACAATTCTTTTCATGGAGTTGCAAATAAAATATCGACCGATATTGCACAGAAACGGCTGTAAAAGGCATCCAAGTTTATCCCAATCATTCATAAATTACTATAAGAGATGACCATTTTTAAAGACTGATTTATTTATTATTTAAACTGGCTGTGGCAATCATCTTATGGGATTTGGACTTGAGGATAGGGATGAGGCCAAACTGCTCAATCCGCTTCCTTGGCCAGCACTCATGGTTACTTTGTCTACTTCCTCTTCTACTTGATTAAACTTGAGCTCTTGCAGTGTGTTGGCAAACTTGCTCCATTCATCTGCTCGTGGCATAGCCAATTGCTAAAATTGACGCATCTGTCAATTTCCGATCAATATGCAAGATTGAAAGTTCCTTACCTCCCCAACATCATAGACCCAAATCTTTCCGTGGTCATCACCGACAGTCACGTGCAGTCCTGATTGAGTCCAAGAAACTTTGTTCAGGGCAGGAGCACCATCAACAATGACACTGGCCATTGGCGCCTCAGTTTCCTGATTCAAATTCCACAAGTCGAGCTTTCCGGAGCCATCGACAGCTGCAAACAACGCAGGATGCACGGGCGACCAGGCCACGTCGTAAACATAATCACCATTGTCCTCCAGGGAATAAAGAGGCTTATTTTCCTAAAAACACAGCAAAATTGTTGACCATTTGTTATATATTATAAATATAAAATATACCTTTACACTCCACAGTTTGATGGTCCAGTCAAAGGACGACGATAGGAAAAGATGCGAAAAGTCAATTGGTCCGGGCACATTGTGAGTGTGGATGCCAGTTACTGGACCCTGGTGCCCTTCATAGGTTTCTATCACGCCTGCTCTTGAGCCGTGTCTACATGCTGTAAAAAATAAAAGATTGAGCTAAAGGGCAATCTGGTGATATTCTGACGTAAACTAACCTGTACAAATGGCACCTTCTTCACAGCCAACTACAAAATTGTTGACGTCGTTGTTGGGAAAAGCCAGGCTTTTGATGGCCATGGCTTTACCTTGTTTGTTTTGCAACTCCATCGTCTCCTGGGGCGCTGAAAGGTTATCCAAACTCCAGGAGCAAAGACGGCCGTCGGTGGAGATAGAAATGAGATTGTGTGCATTTGGCGTCCCAACCACGTTCAAACAGTACACAGGATGCTAAAATTGTTATTATTTTAATGACCATGCTTATTCACAAAGTAAAACTATGCTCACTGTATGGGCGGCTGCCGAAAGGGGAGTCCGCTGAATAGGTGTTCGTTTGTGCACTCTATTGTCCCATAAAACTATTTGGCCCGAGTAGGTGCCTCCCAAAATTAAATTAGGGTGAAATCTAAGAAAAAAATCAAATGAGATGAGCTTTAACATAATATCTCATCATTTTACCTGGCAAAGATGGAGGACATAACAGGAGATTGGCAATGGAAAATGTACTCGGGGGTTGTCTTTTTGAACTTGGTGTTCCAAACCAAGCACACGCCGTCTGGATCGTGCGGGCTGTCTTCGTTGATGTGATAGCTGGCGAGTAGCAGCTCTGGATAGTGAGGTGACCAGTCAAGTGATGTGACACAGCGACTCTTCGACCAGCGCTCATCCACAAACACCCGGTTCAGGGACAAACGGGCCCGAGATTTTTCATCACTTTGAATTTAAAATCAGTATAATTAAAATTTATAAAAAAAGGGGAAATACCTTCCATCGTCTCCATCCAGCAGGCCACTGTAATCAATGCAGACATCAACCTGCTCAGACAAAGCCCTCTCCATAATTCTTCCAGCATGCTCAATAAAACGCCGAAAGTCTTCGGATAAAATGATCATCTGCTTCTGCTCCTCGCTGAGCTCTTTGACTGCATTTTAAAGCAAAATTAAAATCACTAGCCATTTTTTTCCCTTAAACTAACCTTCTTTTTCATGCTCGTGCTTAGCTGCTTCAGTCTCAACAGCTGTGATTGCTGGCTGAACTTCTTTGACCTGTGGCAGGCCGTGGGGCAGAATGCCGGGTGGCAACTTGCTCTGAAAGAGTCCGCCTCCGTCCAAGTGCGGTGGCAGCGAATGGTCCTCGTCCTCAGCTTGGCGATCATCGAAAGTCAAAACTGTGGTGAATAAGCTGGCCCCCTCACAACTCAGTTGGGTGCTTCCACCCACACACATGCACAGTTCCAGGCACCCCCCAAAAACAATAGCTTATCCGACTCTACTTCTAAAAAGGACACATGCATAACTCAAAAAGATAATCGCTCAAATGATAACGCAGTTCCAACTTACAGCACACATAAATAATTTAGTGTTTTGAACCGTACTAAAGATTTACTTTACAGAGAGACTAGCATGCAAACTCAAGAAAAAGCATGGAACTCAAGAGAAATAATTGGATATAATTTACCTAATAGAAAGTAATATCGGTAATAACTATAGTAATCTACAAAAATGAAGAATAAAATAATTTAATTTGCACTTTCTTGCTGGCATCAAGGTGGAAATAAAATTTTCAATTTACTATTAAAAATTTTCTGTACATAAATAATCGGGTGCTTCTTTTCTTTTTGACATAGAGTGGAGACCTACCTGTGAATTCATCCTCCCACTCTAAAGCTGGGTTTAGATTGTATTCGTCTGCGGCGCAGCATGGGAAAGAGATAGAAAGAGTCTTAACTTCATTTAAAATTTTAAAAATTGAATCAGTCTATTTACAATTGTATTTAAATAAAAATCTTTAGCAAACCACCAAAATTTGTAGCTTTACTTAGTTAGTGTTAAGGATGAGCACTGGATCAACATAATTATTATATTGTTCAAGTCTTGAATGCTTGATCCAGCCTCCTCTGACCCAAAAGCAAATTTCGGCGTTTTGCTCAAAGCTATAAAATTAATACAGTGATGCTAAGCTCATTATCATGATTAAAACCACAGCTATTAATTTTATTTAAAAGTTAATTCCATGTTATGCATGCTTTAATAATTAAATAAGTTGACATGAATTATTCTAGCAGATGCAAAAGTAAACGTGCGCAATGAATAACATGCAAACAAACTTGAACAAGGCGATTCTCTACCAACTCCCTTTTTCCAAATGAAAACAGGAAAAACGTCAGCCATGCTCCAAGGGTCTCCAAGGAGGGGTTTCATGCGGAATTGGGTAAATGAGTGGTTAATTGTGTTGAAACATAACAAACGCAAACACAAGAAAGAAGTAACACAATACCTCACATGAAAAGAAAATTTTTAATAAAACGAAATCAGATAACAAAAATTAACTGATCCTTGATATAAAAATTATGTAACATAAATGGAATGTGCGTTAATTTCGGACTTGAGCGACTATCTTGTTTTTTTTTTCATAATGAAAAAATAGGGAATTGCTCAATAAGAGCAAAACGTTGAGAAAGATTGTGTAAAATTAAGAAAATAATCAGGTTGGCCAAAAACAAGGAAGGTTTATTCCTTGAATTAAAAACACCGATTGGATTGGAGGCAACAAAAGTAAAATAAAAATTTGAATTCCCAACTTACCGTAATAGTCGAATGCATGAGCTGAGGGTAGGGGAAATGGAAAAAAGAGAGCGTTTTACTAAAGTGTATCACAATCATCAAGTCAAGTTGATATTTTAACTTGATCTATCTAAATAGCACATCGGAACAAAATTAAAGAACCACAAAAGGTGTATTGTCATAAAAAGTAAATCTACATGCTGACAACACTGAAAATGCTCAATGAAAATAATGGAATTCATAAAATTATTGACTGTTGTTTTCGAAGGAACTCACATATACGGCTGCAGCTTACATCTAAGGTAGAACCTAAAGAATAAAAAGAAACAAAGTTGGTTTCTATGAAACTGAGAAATAGAATTGAAACCTAACAAGTAATTTTGCTGATAGACTAAAAAAAATAGTTACTAGATCTACCGACTAAATCACTAAACAGAAGAGAGTGCAAGGATGTAACAAACCTCTAAGTTTTTCTACTATATATCTGCAACTATTTTTCAATAAAACCGAACAAATTATGAAGTTCTGATAGGGAGTGAAAAGTGAGTTTAGCAAGTGAAGCCCCCTTAGGTACCAAATTTCAAGGAAAAGTATCAACAAGACTGCAGTAAGTCTGGCTGGGCTCAAGTTACTTGATTTTACTTGTATTATCTGATCACTTAAGGATTTATTTTAATATAACGACTGACTATGAATGTTCATTTTCTCTAGTTGTGCATGTGAAGTGCAGGAATTTTATTGATAAAACAATGTAATGAAGTTGAGCGATTACTAACCTTTGCGAGGCCTCCACCAATCTTCAAAGTATCCTTTGAGGGAAGAAGAGGAAGAACATGGGGAGAGGGATCCTTTTATTTAGTAGGCATAAACATTTGAAAAACAAAGGCGACAAATGTCAGCACTAGCGCTAACCTACACTCACAATTCTGCTTTATTTGATTTCACTCCCGTCGACGAAATGATTGTCAAATAGAAGTGACAAAATGAGTTTTATGATTCCATGCACATTTTGTTACTTGAAATCGCAATTTAGACGTGAAAATTTGTATTTTCATATATGAAATCGGTTTGCATGTGAGGCATTTTGTGTTATTCAAAAGATGATAGGCCAATTCAAGAAAATTGCAACGTCCGAATGTGCGTACCAGCCAGAAGAAAAGGAAAGGAACAGAAATGAGAGAGATCTAAAAACTGCAACCAAGCAAAATTATCACGGTAATACTCATAAATTATATGTGGTTCAAAAAAACAACAAATCAAGAATTTTACAAAATCCAACATAACTTGTATGGTATAAAAAAACAAATAAGGATGGAAATGAAAAACCAACTAAGATTTGGAACTAAATTAAGCTGGAAGCACTGACGGAATTACTTGTTTTCAAAAGACCTCAGTGCTTATTCAAAATTTAATTTTCTTCTTCTAAATAGTCAAAGTACTATTCAAAGGCATGATTGAAACCCCCGTAGCATAATTCAGATGCTTACCGTCTCTTTCAGGACCTGTACCGGCGGTTTGTGTTTGTTTGCTGTAGACTACTAATTCTGAAGGTGGGATATTGGTCAGTTGGACCGGTACCACACTTAGCTGTGTGAGTTTGTTTTTCCTAAAATAAAACAAACCAATTGATATTGATCTTTAATAGGTATGAAGAAAAAACCTAGCTGCCTTAAGTTGAGCGGCGGATAGAGCTGCATTTGGCTGAATGCTGTTTTCAGGGGTGCTGCCAGTGTGTCCATTGTCAGGCATAGAAGAGAGGCTGGACAGAGACGAGAGGACGTCTGACACAGGCGCCACTCCCAATGAGCTGAGCATGTCGTCCAGCTCTTTCTTCTGGTCCATGCTGGCCGCGCCCTGCGTCGCCACTCGCAAAGTTGCATCTTCAAGCTGCAAAAAAAATATATGTTAAAAAAGTGACACCTTTGCACAAGATTATGTTTGCACTTTTAGTTACGTGTTAATTTAAATAATATAATATTATTGAGCAAAATTCATTACAAGACAAAATATATTAAATTATTAGTTAAAATTATGACTAAATCCTCAAAAGATTTCAATTATCTTACATCATTATCATGTATCTGTCTACACATTTTCAAGTATTTGATAATTTTTTGTTTTCATCCTGCACTCCTAAGGTACTTAAGATTTTTTTTATCCTTATCTAAAAAAAATGTCAACAATTCATGAGTTTGCAGCGTCAAATCATCAGTCCGTGACATTAGAGGACATTTTGAACATATATCTAATAAAATACGAAAAATGCGGAGCTTCAGATGATTCATGCCGGGTGCACTTGAAGCGAACAAAGCCGAAAGTGTGCGTTTCCGTGCTGTGCAAATCGATGGCATCGCTTGCCGGCCGGCGTCCCCAACTGGGCAGCCGCCTGGGGTCAACGTTCCCCGACTGCACCGCCCAACTCTTCAACAGGCAAAGTAACTGCTGGGGCCTGGTGTCTGCAATCGTTTGCTAAACGTTTTCATCGCCTCATCAGCATAATTGCGCGAATACAAGCGCCGATTTCTGAGAACGAGATTCCCGAGCGTTTCGAGTGCAAGGGACTGGAGAGAACAAAAGGTGCCCTGGGAACAAGGGTTCCGCTTGACTAACCTCTTTGGCCGCTCGTTCAGACTCTTTGGCCGCCTTCAGGCGCCGCAACTCAATGAGTTTGGCCTGTTTTCGGGCCTTTTCGGCCTTCCACTTGTCGCTCGAGAACATATCATTCGCACCATGTGACAGAGCGGCCGACTGCAGCGCTTCCAGCCAGGTGCGAAACTCAACTCCGCCTGCGCACCCAAGGTCATTAACGTCGCTTTCGCACAACTCCACCGAAGGCCAGTTCGCCGGCCACCTTCCGTCGAAACCCTCTCGTTCCCATTGATTGATTTTATTTTCTAAATTAATTAATTTTTTTAAGAAAAATATGGAGATTCACGCCTCACGCGATGAATTTCTTATCTTAAATTACAGGCAGCTGATTATCATAACACCTTAATTTATGGGCCTGTCTTTTTTACGACTTTGGAAACGCACTGAGCTTCGGATTTTCACGCTACGGTGCTTACACGTGAAGTTAAATGCGGCTCAATTAGCCGAGGAACACAAAGTTGAGCTCTAGCTTATAAAATCTCACTTGCTAATTTTCTTAAAAAATTTATGTAGAAAAATTGTGAAACCAAAAAAGAACAGGCATTTTGCAAATGAGGATATTTGTTAAGCAAAAGTTTTGTCCACTATCAATTATATTGGTTTTCTCTTTTATTCTAACTTTTAAATTTGGTGTAGAACTGTAGATGTTTTTTTTTTAACTTTTCTCAAAACTAGCAGTTACAATTTATAAAATCTTTTAATTAAATTAAAATACTTATCAAAATAAAAATTGGTTGTTTATTGAAAATTTGATTTCAAACAGATTTTACGTAAGTTAATTAAATCATCAATTTTAATAATCGTAATTAAAGTACTCTACTTAAATAACAGTAGATCCACAATTTCATGACACGGGGGACATGGCCAAAGGATCAAATCAATAAAGTCTAGTGAGGCGTTTTTATATTGCGATTATATCAACCGTCGGCAGAGAAGCCTTTCATTACACTGTGCCCTTTAAGGCAGAGTTTCGACAAAAAAGGGTTTGCCGGATAAGCTAAGCAGTCCATCCAAAAAAGAAAGCACCTACCACTAACAATTTAAGCTTAATGAACCGGATTAAGTATGCACTGATTTTGAAACAGAAAAAATCTAGTTTGTAATCGAGAAACTTACGCAAAGCTTTTCTTGTTTGTGATACGCTCGCTGAAGAAAATTAAAACTTGCTGGAAACTCCCTACTTTGCAACTTCAGGTTGTGGTTTTAAATTTCAAAGGCACCAAGATTTCATAAAAAAGCGGTTAACAATTAATAACTAAAAAAAATGGTACATTTTTAATGCCTAGGAGTGGCGGAATACAGGCGAACACAAAGGAGGAAATTAAAATAGTAGACGTAATCTTGATCACGCACTGTCACGCACCAACAAAATCTGAACCAATCACACAGGTAACAATTAGGGTAAGCAGTGGATTAAATGAGCCTAACCGAGGAAAATATGATATGGCTTACAATTTTTACAGCAACAATGTTCTTATCCAGATACATAAATTTTGAATTAATTTTACTTTCATACTTACATTATAGAATTGCATATTCTTAAACCATTGCAGGGTCGTTCCCTGACGAGATTTTAAATATCAGTCAGTGGAATGGTAACTCTTATATATTATAGACAAAAAAAATTTGCAAACAAAAAAGTGCAGTTGAATGGGACAACTCGAGAAATACTTCAGTGCGCCCAGCAGTCGCCCACACAAATTGAAATGCCATTTTCTTGAGTCATGCGCCATCAAATAAAAGGCCACTAATCCACTGATCCAACCCACTGGATGCCAAAAGTTAATCCTTGTGGTTTTTGAGAGGTTTCGTCCGGCGCATGCAAAAGGAAATGCACGAAAACACAGTCGCTTTGCATGAAAAGCCCGAGTTTGACAGATGACAGGTGCGAAATTTCGAACAAACAAAAACTCACTTTTGGGATCAAGGGCGTCCCTGAATTTGTTAAGACATTGAATTTACCTCTTTCTGCTCCTTTTCACGGCGCCGTCGTTCCTTCTCCTCCCTGATGGCCTGCAGTTTGGCCTTTTTCCTTTCCAATTCTGCTTTGCGGTCCGCCATCGTGGCCGCTCCTAGAAGACAACGGGGGCAACGCCCCTGACCTTTAGAGAGGACTTCAAAGCAAGAGGCCGTCCCTTTCGCAGGCGCCGGTGACTCGAGCAGTACCTGAAGTTGCAGTTCTTGTCAGAGATTTCCTCTGCCGGTCGGTCAGACGCGAAAACGCTCACCAAAATCAATAAAGCACCACCATTGACCACTGCAGACGATTCAAAGGACCGATCATAAGCGACGCTCAATTGTTTTTGTTTTTTGATTTGTGTCTTCGCCGCCTGGCAGCGTTGCCATTAGCCGTGATGGCACTTTCAAATGGTTTAAGCGCGATTAACTTGTGACGGTGTACGTACCACAATTTTAATCAGTCTAATTACCGCTAATTACTTTAATTAAATTGGTTTTGCAGAATTTAATTATTTATGTTCTCTATGCAAGTACTCAAACATATATAAATACACCAAATATACTAGTTGTTGACAATTTAAAGTCGATTTAATTTGTAACAAATTTATCTTCTTTTATTGGTTGTTCGTTTCAATACAGATCGATGACTTGAAAAAAATTACAATAGTTAATAACCTTCTTAAGTAGCAATCTAGTTTATCAAATTGAGCTGATGATCAAAGGAACAATTTTATTAGAATGAATTTAGATAAATTTGCAGAATATACATAATATATTTACATCAAGTACCTTCAATGTAACTTAACTTTGAGGAGGGAAAAACTGTCATTATGAGATTGAAGTATGTTAATTACATTTTTGGTTTTCAATTTTGTCATATATGGCTCTACACTCCCACATATTTTGGCTTTTTAAAAAATTAGACAAGAATTTACCAATAGAAAAAAGACAGCATAGTTATAATCAAACTGTATGTTTGGAATTCATTGTGTTTGCTTCCATCGGATTCCATATTGAATTTTGATACAAACTTAAAGAGAAAATTATTACATTCCAAGCACTGTAAAAAAGCAGCTCAACGTTGCAAATTTATGACAAGTTTTGTTTGTCTACTAAATCGTTGTGAGAATGAGCTTCTTTTGATTGGCGGAATTTGTCGAAACAGCAAAGTGTTTAAATATGCAAGATGCTTTAAGAGGCATAATACTTGTAAATTATACACCATTTAAGAGTAACTTTTAATTATTTATCTTCAGTCACTCGGCAAGTATAAATATTGGAACTGATTTGTGAACGGAAAAAAATGGCATCTGCAGATATTTGCAGTGCCCAGCACTTTGAACATTGGCGAGATGATTGTAGGTGTTCGCCTCAGTAAACAGTCTGGAACTACATGTCCTCCAAGTCTGAGAACTCAAGTGGTTCGACATTCTGGTCCCCAGCAGCTGAAGCATATTCAGGCACAGGTTGAGTAGGAACAGCCTGTTCACCCCACTTAGCCTTCAGCTTCTCAAAAATAGGGGGCAGTCTCTGAGACAGCAAATTGTACACAAACTTTCCTCTTCTTTCTCCAAAGGGGTCCTGTACGAAATTCAGTTTAAAAAGTCGAAGACATTTTATTTATAATAAAACTGACCTGCATGGCAATATTGGTCATGTGGACGTTCTTCTCAGCAAGGGCTATGTAACTGTCATAGTAGTTCAGGAAAGTCTGCTCCATGACATCCTGCAACTGCTTCGGGATGTTGAGAAAGAATTCATTCTCCACCATACCAATCACTGCAACTCTCAGAGTCTCATGCCTGATGATTTCATTGTACTTCACGTTGTCTCCTTTGTTTCTCTCCTAAAATAAAATATTTTACAATAAATATCAGATTTAAATTTTTGTTTTATGTTTGCACTTGGCTATATAACTTATATTATTTATATTATTTTCAATTTGTAAAAACTCCTAAGCTTTTAAATTATAAAAAAAATGCTAATTTAAGTTATTAACCCTTTCAAATCCTGGCTCATTGTGATAAGGATTTTCACAAAGCAGACTTTGGATGGAGACGAGGACACTTTCAAGACTTTGAGCAGGACTCCACGCAGGTCCTTGCCATGTTCCAAGGATACTGAGGCAAACCTTGCCACTGCAGTAAAGATTGGGGTTGAAGCGCACCGAGCCTCCACCAGTCGTCATGAACTTGACCTTTGGTGGCTCAATTGGGTAGTTGGGAGGAAAGCGTATCACAAAGTAGAAGAGGCCACCCTCGTAAGGGGTGCCGTCGGTGCCTGTGATGACAGCGTGCACCATGGTCATGTCCACTTCATCAGTCACCACAAAAATTCCGGGCGGAGGATCTTTGTAGATGGACATGATGTCCCTGCAAATGAAACATTATTTCAGCTCTGAAAAACTAATTGCAGATGGTTGTACACAAACCTTTTCACTCTTATCATGCACTGCTGAGACACTTGGACATTGTTCAGGGTGGCTGGGTCCCAGGCATTGCTTTGGCCAAGGTAGGCCGTGGCTTGTGTTTCCATTTTCAAATGACTTTGCTAGAGAAATATTTTCTTCCTGCTGCAAGGGTAAGCGCAGTATGTGTAGAAGAATTCCAGCCAAGCCTGCCTAAAAGTGAAGTGAATGATTTTCATCGTTAAAAAAACAATGCTGTCGATTACAAATTCTGAAAATTCAAAACTTTTTCAAAATTTTATCGTTAAACTATGATAAAACTAACAATCAAATTGCAAGTATTTAAAAATTAATTTGCGAATTTTCATTTTCCCCTTGAGACATAACACAAGAGAAGTCAGCCTCAACCGCGGCTCATTATAACGAATTAAATTTGAAATAAACTCCATTATTAAATTCTTTAAATATGAGACGCCACGAAAAATAGAGAGTTTCCACATAACACCTACCAAAATCCTGAAAATTCTTTTGATATGCAGCAAAAGACAAGTGTTTGTTGACTGTTGAATTCGTTGTTCGTTTTTCAGACGTCCTGTCACCTGTAGCAATTCTGTTATGTTGGCTCACTGTTTACACACGAACCTTGACACGAACCCGCACGAACCGAAGAAAACTTCTTGCGAAGAAACGTCGTATATTAATATTACCAACTGAAGAATGTTATTCATGAATTTTGGCATTTATTGCAACCGATGACCAATGAGCGCTGTCCACAAAAAATCATATTATTTTATTATTATGAATTATTGTACCGTTTTACCGGCAGGACTTATGTGCCGTGGTCGCAACCCATAGAGTCAATTGTACTTAACTGATTCACTCAAATCCCACCGAGAAATTATGTAATATCGATTTATATATTCGACAGGAATTTATTTTTACCTTTTACATTCTTACTGAAAAAAGAAAAAAAAGCTTTTTATCTAAAAACTAATATGAGTCTGCGAAAAAATTTTTATATTTAGTTTACGATTAAATTTTTAATTTTCATAACTTGGAAAAAAATGAAATTTACATCATTATAGCAGTACATTAATGCTCTTGTGCAGTAACAGATGCAACTTTTTGCAAGAAACGTGTTTGAATTTTACAATTTATTTATTGAGTAAAAATCAAATTAAATGATTAATGTAATAGCAGCACATAAAGAAATTTCCATACAAATTATTTCATATCTTCTAAAACTTCAAACATATTGTATAACATTTTAATTATTTTAATCAATTCAAAATTCAAATAATAAATTCCATTCCTATAGATGTATCGAGTTACACATAATTAGATTTTATTATATTTTTTAAATGAAAATATTTTATTTCGTGCTTTATTATTTTTACTATAAAATGCGTTTTTTTTTAATAACTTAGAAGAATAATAAATAATTATAATAAACAATATAGATTATTTATAAACAATATATTAAATTTATTTTATAAATGTAGAAAGAAAAAATATTAATCTGTTGGATGACGGAAAGCAAGTCTTCGACAATGATAATAATTTTTTTGAACAGAAATTCATTGATCTTAAATCAATTTTTTCATTTTTTAGAAATTCAATAATAATAGACAATCAAAGGTCCGCAAAGGTCGGAAATTTATTTCAATTCTTATTATTGTTAAGGTCTGGTAAATGTAAGCTTTCTAAGTTTCTTATGATTGTGAGCCTTATTTAAATAAGCCACCGCCGTTTATATTATGAAAATATATGTCTCCCATGAAATGTTTTCTGATAAGCGTATATCTGCCAAATAAATCATCAGGTTGTTTTGATAAATAATTTTTCGATAAATGATGAGCAATATTTTCTGATATCTTTTTCCTGTCAAAATAAGGGGTTTCCAGGAATACAAGCCTGAATCCACGGTTGGAATATTTTAATTTGGAATTATTCCTCCTAGTTTGATTCTAAAACGGAGACGTCGGAGACAGAGGCGAAATGGGTGAAATCTTTCGAATGAGAGAAAGAAGAGAATAATAATAATTTAAATTAGCGTCCAGTTGTTCGATGCATTAGTAAGCAAACGCGTGCCGCGAGCGTAATTACGCCGTCTTCTCTCAACAATCGCAAAGAAAAGCAAGGAGCCACAGTGGCGTCAACTCGCACGGAAAAGCAAACGGGTCTGCGGCTCTCGTTTTATTTAGTTCCGCAGGCGCGCAAGTGATTTGAATCAACAATGAGCTGAAGGCACAGAAATTTTGTTCCCAGTCAAGATTGCTCAGCATTTAAAATTCAATGTGCTCTTTTTTCACTTCATATCTCAACACAAGCAATTTGCAGTTGATTAATGAAAGAAAAGTTGGCTGTGGCGAGAAATGTCCGAGGGATGAAAGGGGACTGATTGTGAGCCATAAATTTGCAGCTCTTGGCTTAAAAGGTCATAAAAGCTCCCAGCAGCAGCCCAAAGAATAAATCATCAGCCTCTCGATAATACAGTGTCGCGCAGCAAGAGATGCACTCGTAAAAGTTGGTCGTGCGAGGCTACTTTCAGGGTTGTCAGATTCCATCCAACTTGGCACCCAACTAGGAAAGGAAATAATTATTTTAATTGCCATTTTGTCTGCTGGCATAGGTGTTGGGAAAGATTTACTATCCAGCCTCATTATTTATTAACAAAAGCAAGTTATAAATATTATCGATTTTTTTGGAACCAAAGGCAGCGCTCTTTAATTTTGATTTCTAGCCTTTTAATTGAGTCGTAAAAAGGACTAATAACGGGCATGGGATTTTCGACCTCTCCGCTTTGTGCCGCTCTTGATCTTCAAACGGATAGAGAAAGAGGCGCTCTACAAGTGCATTTAGGGCAGCTGTGCATGGGAACTGGGGAGTTATGGTCAAAATCATTATTGATGCACTCCGATTAAATGCCCGGCTTGTTTGATCGTAAAAAGTGCATAGGCGCTTTTTATTGCCCACAGTGAATTTTTTCCTTCTTAATTTCATAATATAGAACTGTGCACGTACTCCGTTAATTTTTTTAAATTTTCTAAATTTGTAAAATTTGCTGAAGTTTATTTGATTAAATTCTGTTTATTGTGCTGATTGAGTGCGATAAAAAAGAAACATCTGCTGGTAATCCCAAATAAAAATAAGTTAATAAACGAAAGAACAAAAGAGAATTAATTATTTCGATACTTGCATTAAGCAGATACCAGACTCAAAAACCTTCACTGCGAACTTATTCAACAAAAGATCCTCACCAAAAAACCAATGGGTTTTAATGGTGCGCTTAATGGTTGATAATAACTCAATAATTGAATAAACGACAGTGTTTTTTTGGCCCAGCCTTCATGGGAAAGAAATCTTTTTCCAATTCTTTGAACTGTATTGTACACGCAAACCAACCAACTTACCATCGGAGAGCAAAAAGACTTTGCATAAATATTAGCGAGTCACACCTGCCTCAGAACCACCCATCTAAATATCTGGTAAATTCAATAGAACCCAGAAAGTGCGGTGTCATCGGGAGTGAAAGGGCATCTTCAAATCACAATCACATTAGCGATGGCCATGCAGCTGCCGAAATTGCAGAAAACATCATTACAGCAAGTTCAATAATAAAATAAAAATTAAATGATTTTTCTTTATTAAATGAAAAGACGTGGCTCCTCCGCAACGAAATACCTTCTTTTGAGTGTCAATTTTCCAACTTGAATGAAAAATACAAAATAAACTTATTTGATTTGATTGCCAATTTGCAAATTTTAATGAAAAGGCAAGGATGAGTTTTTATTCATTCTATCTGGCGCTGCAGTAAAAGTCAAAGACGTGCCGCGATTGTACATGGCAAAAGCGCAGCGTGCGAAAGCCTGCGTGAAGAAAAGAGCGACCCAGATGCGGCCGCCTTTGGGCCGCCAGGGAAGCGCTCGGCGGCCGGCCGCCCTCGTGAGGTGCCGCTGGCGGCGCTCGATCTCTTTTGCGGCACGCGATCCTCAAAGTGGCTCGGGCTCGCGGTGAGTCAGTTAGTTGCGCGGAGGCCGCCGCCGTTGTCAGACATGCAGTGAAATGCGACTATTGTTGCTGCTGTGAGTGCGTGGCCGCCGGTGGCCGTCAAAACTGGCCACCATCAATCACACTCATCTCGCTCTTTCTTTGTTGCAGGTGCGTACTTAGCTGCGCGGCGGCCACTGAGGATGAGCGGCCGAACTACCCCAGTTCGGTGAGTTCAAATTTCTTTCTAAATTGTTTTGAGATTTTAATTCAATTTTTTATTAAATAAACTGTACTCAATGAAGTTGAGGTGAACATTTTTCACTGTTACAATTGTTTATTACATATTAGTTAGTGTTTTATGTTAAGATAAGATATTTATTGACCAAAAGACAGGTTTAGTAAATAATTTAGATTATGCAAAAATACAAAATTATGTAGATGCATTATGCACACATAAAAAGGGGAAAAATACTATTATTAATAAATAAATTGATTTAGTTTTTTTTAATATTAAAATTTAATCTATACAAGAGATTTAACGGTTTTGTTTATGATTTTTTTTTCTTTTAAAATTACACATATTATTTAATATCAATTCTACGCATGTATTTTACTATATCATTGACCATCAACAATACTTTTTTGATTGTGATCAACATTAAATTTAAAAAAAGAATAATAGGAAAAAAATTGCACCTATGTTATTTGTTACAAAAAGGCAACATTAATAACGACTACAACAAGCAGTTTATTTTTTTTTTTTATTTTTTTATTTTTGCAAATATTTGTATTGTAAATGTAATTTATTGCATTTGTTGTGTTTTGACAGTGTTTTTGCCTCACATTTTTTTCAAGTTTTCTCTAAGAACAAGATAAGAAAAGTTTCTGCACAATAATACAAATCTATTTCAAGCTTGGCTGGAGCGCACAATGAAAATGCATTAGATAAATAATGAGGGGCTGGTACGAAAGATATGCGTTTTATTACATCCGAGTCCTCGCCGCGATTGCCAAAAGGTATAAAACTTTCGTTTTTGTCCGGCTGTTTTTTATGATATTGAATGTGGCCGGCCGGCGATCGGAACACGCACAACTCGCCTTCAACTTTTTTTCATTGTTGTGTTATCAATTGACAAAAACAGTCGTAAATTGTCTCCAACAAAAATTATCTCGATGCAGAATTTGGCGGGCGCGTGTCAAAGTTCACCGCGATATATTCTCGTTGGCGCGGACACATGGAAATTAGTTAAAAATTATCTACGACTACATCTCCATCCATCGCTGCAGAAAGTGACAAGTCATTCGAACTCACCATTAAGTTGTCTCGAGCCTCCGAAAATGAAGGGAAAAGTGTTTATTTTTTTCTCCTCCGCATGAAAAGAATGCGCCTGATGCTGAAGGTAGTGGATATATAATAAAAAGGAAAATGATAAAGCTGGCCATAAAAAGATAAAAAAAAGAGTAATGACATTTGGATTAGCGATTTTCCCTCTCGCCGGATTCTTTTTGTGCGTGCGTCGTTTGTTTTGGGATTACACTCTTCTGAAGGAAACAATGAGTCGGCTTGTTGGATTTTTCAGAGGCGTTAGGTTCAGGTTGTAAAATAATTCCGTCCCCTTTATATCTAAGAACCTGACGCAATATCAAAACATACAAAACAAAACTCCGTCCCATTTGTTAGCCGTGCCGCACAATAGAAAAAGAAAATCTCCAAATTAATTCACATATAAATGCGAGTGCCACAGTGAATTATTTAATGTTATAATCATCTCTCAAAGTTATTCATCTAAGCTCTGTGTTTTCTGATAATGAACCCACACTCGTTCTTCAAATGCAATTAGCAAACATCATATTCTCGAGATAAGTTTTATCTTTGCTTTTTATTCTATATTAATGTGACAATGCTGATGGGTATTAGCAATTTCAGCGCTTGTCTTCTAGACAATACGTTGATTATCTTTAAATCAGTTTCGTTTTTGACACTGCCTGTAGAGATTAAAAACCAGTCAAGATCATTTATCAGATTTGCACATGCAAAAACAATGGCTGGGGAGAAACATGACATTTTAACTCTTTTTTTTCCGACGCGTGTGTATGTTTACAGTTGAGCTTAAGGCAAGTGGTTATTTTCGCCGTTGTTAAAATTCGAGCCACAACATCATAATTTTTCAGCCCCATTAGAGGCCGGGCGAGACATTTTTGGCCCGCGGCTTGCAGCAGTGCGATTCCTATTATAATGGGTGCACATTAGTGCTTATTAAAATAGAGCGGTGCAGGAAAAACAATGACACATTTGATGGATGCTGCTCCTGCTTGGAGAGAAAAAATAATTTCGCTTCTTGCGTAATTACAGCCAGACAAGCATGCAGAATGCTGCCCGAGTTGATCCAATTAAATTGCTGGTTTATCAAATAATATATAGCGCCTGCTGGCATGAATGGAGCACTCTTGTGGCGCTAGATAAAAAACCCACCGAGAGCTCTTTCTCTCTCGCTTGCTCGCTCGCCGTCCATCCGTCCGTCCGTCCAAGAAGCGCCGTTTTAATTTGATGCCCACCCACCAAACGGCGCGCTCTTTTTTGACCGGCAGTCGTACAAATGTTTCAGATTATAATGTGTGTGCCTCTGCCCGAGTATGATGTCAAGTACTCTCTGCCGAGTATATACGCATAAACACATTTAGGAAAAACTCTCGCTGAGGGCGTTTTGTATGTAATGCAAGAATGAAGAATGTCTGTTGCTGCGTAAAATATGTTGTGAGCGGCTTCAAGGGCTTGATTTATGCACGCTTACTCAGAGAGCTGCGCACGAGCCGCTTTCATTGAGTTATTCGAGTTAGTTTAATAAGAGACTAATTTTGATGTCTCGTTGAAATATATTGGGTCACCCAAAAATTATTTCATATTTGATTTTTGGAGCTCAATATAATAATTTTAGTTGGCTCTAATGCAATGAGTAAATTATTTTTTTTCTAATATAGGCTAATGAATACATTGAGAACAAATTCAAATTCTAAAAAAGTAGCCTTTTAAATAGTTTTAGAACATTGATTTTTAATTCGCTGGCGGGGAAGTAATTTTTATCTCTATGTTTAAATTTGGGCAATTTTTTTAATTATAATAGTATGAATTGTGTGAAAAATCCCAAACCAAAAGGATCGATTCTCTCACAGTTACAACTGTGAATTAAAATTAATAAAATTTCCATAATTATCCTCAAGCAAATTGCACAAATAAGCAATTTAAAAAAATCCGATATTTACTTTTAATTACGTAAGTTTTTAAGGGTTTTTACATTTTACAATATAATTATTATTTGGTTAAATATATAATAATGTTACTTATAATTAGCTCATATAAGTTTCTTATAAATAGAAAAATCTTTGACAGAAAGCTACATAAATTTTTATATTTATTAAATTTTCCTTTAAATATACGTCGTGCTCTTAATTAATAATGAATTCCAGCAAACGGCGGTTAGAATTCTCAGAAAGAAGAGGCGATTTTGCACGCAACTCGTGGCAGAACCACATTTGCTGTTTACAAGATTGTTTACATCCTCGCGCAAAGATGTGCTGCAAAAGCGGTCAAGAAACTCTCTTGGAGTAGCGCGCTAGTTTTACATTCAAGTACACGTTTTGCAAAACAAGCATCGACCATAATATGCACGAAGTGAGCACGTATATAATTTTTGACATTAGCATGTGCAAACCGTCATTAAAAGCAGATTTGAGCAGTTGGTGGCGAAAACGAGCAGCATCACCTATAGCAAAAGTGATGGATATTCGCGTCATCCAGCAAAAGTGGTCTCGCTTATAAAATATAATGAATTATATTTATTTTTCCTTGCCCTTCCTGCCGCGACCAATTTGACAAGTCAACGGCCTAGACGGCTGCGAATAAAACAATGAGAGCAATCTTTTTCATATACCGACGAGTTGATTATTAATAATTTTAATGGCCTTTGTGTCTCTCTGAAGTGGATGTAATAATAACAACTATGCATATTGCCGCGTGATTACTCTCTCTCCCAGGTTGATTGTTTTCGAGCTGCGCATTGTGCGGAGAGTGACTTAATATTAATATCCGTTGCTGTCATCAGGCAGAACGCTCTTAATTTATTAGTGTCATTCATATTTATGTGCAGAGCTCCGCTCTCGAGAAATTTGTCATCTCTCCCTGATTTAATTTTCCAAACGAGAAGAATTCAGGGCCGCGGCGTTTAATGAGTTGGGAGATTTCTCAAAACGTCAGCGACGTCAAAACTAATTGCAGTTGCACGTTTCACAGAATGTGGTTTGTTAATGGAGCGCGCCAATCGAGTTGATGGCCGATGAGATGATCACCCACGAGAGCCTTTGATCGCGGGGGGTGTAGATTAATGGTTGGTGCGAAAAATGCTCCACTTTGCGGAGGCGTGTGTGCCTTGTCAGAATTAATCAGTCTAATGCTCAGACATTTAGATGAGATTTCATCTCGTTACAACCAACTCATTCTTCTTTAGGAGACGAGTGTAATTTAATTTAATCCTTTGCTGCCATAAATCACATTTTATATTTTGGATAAATAAATGATGCTATATAGGATGGGGAATAGAATTAAATTCACCAATCGTGTCTGTCGTGCTTCGATTCCAAGCATAAAAAAATTTAGCCTGGCGCTTCTTTGTAAATATGTCTGTTTGAAGTAGTTCGTCAAAAAATATAATATTGAGAGGTAAAAAATAAGAAAAAATATTTTAATGACTATTTTTTTATCTGCATTAAACATTTTTTTTTAAATTTGCATTCAAGAGGTTCTCTGAAAATTGAGTTGATTTATAATCTTGATTCTGCGTCGCATATTCAGTTTTCCCTTGTAATGGATTTATTTAGAACGGCCTTTCTTGTTTCCTCTCGTTCTAATTTACCACGCTTGCGAGACTCATGAAATATACCGACCAGATTGGCCAGCTGAACATTCCCACAAATGTTACTCGCTTGAGCGTTAAATTCGCGTTATTTGCACTGCTGATTCGCTCTCCATCCCATATGACCGAGTGTGTCTGTCTGCTGCTCTCTCTCGCATTTCGCTGAATGTCGAATCTTGCTCTTTAGCCGCGGCGTGCGCTAGACGGAGAAAAAGGTCGGGATCTGGCAAATGTCACTAGAGGAATCGAACTGAAGGCTATTTTCAGTTCGACGATGAAGGTCGCCGACCTCTATTGGGCCTAACGAGATCACGAATTAGCTAATTTACTGTGAGAACGGTTTGGCGGCAATTCAAACGCTGCAAAGTGAAAACACGACGCTAATTTTTTCTACAACCAGTATAGTACTTTTGTATATATCTTTTTTAAGAAATTAAACAAAATGTTGCGAATTTTTGGTCCTATCTTCTCTAAATTTTCAAAATTTTTTTATGTTTATGTTATCATCTCTTTGCGGGACACAATGATTGTTTTTATACTTATGAGACATGAATAGCACATTTTCGTTAAATGATTATTACATCAGATGTGCTTCTTTCTTGTGAACCATTTTTTTTTTAATTTATACATTTCAAATATATTTTAACAAATCATAATAAACTTGAATGAAATTATATTTTTCTTATTTCAGATCCACGAGATGGTCAAAGCTCATTTGGCGGCAAGCAGGCGTTCACGGACAACCAAAGGCCACTGGGGGCCTTGGTCCGGCTGGACGGAATGTTCCTCAAGTTGCGGGGGCGGTGTCAGGTCGCAGACCAGGCAATGCCTGCCAGGTCCTCTCAAACCCACCACGTGAGTTAGGCATTTTTTTATATTTGCTTCCTCCATTTGTTTCCTTTTCGGCGAATGAGCCGCAGGTGTGTCGAGTGGAATTCTTTCCCGGTTGACGCACGCTGCTCTAAGCCTTAAGCACAATCGGCCGTAGTCGATCGCTGCTTTTCCTACGCACATTTTGCCTATTTCAATTTTGCTAATGTTCAACCCGATCCCATCAGCAGCAGTTGAATTTTAAGTAGGCTTGACCGAGCACAAAACTGCGAGTTGAATGATAATCTTTATTATTGGGACGTAGGTTTTTGATGATTTGTATGCTAATAATTGATCAGAAAATATGCGATCGTGAATGATAATTTTTGCTGGCGTGCAGCCATCATCAAACAAGAAATAAAAATGTTTGTAAAATCTCCTTGATAAGTTTTGATGTTCCATACTTCTGCCTTAAAATTTAGGTTAAAAGTTCAAAGAAACCTAAATCGAAGTGAATAAAATCTTAATTGCTTTCTTTTTGTTTCAAGAGATTGCACTAAATGGACATAAAAGCCTAAAAACCTTTGATGGGTTTTTATTTTACTTTTCCACTCTGCATCTGCACCTGAAGTGCATCTCTTCTCAGTTCTGAGCGCCTCAAGTGTTTTGACAGCGGGGAGATCACATAAACTTTCCACAATAATTTATATTCTTTGGTTCACACAGAGCTTTGATTCAAAACTGACATGATGACGTGCGTTATCAGCAGCTCGTGTGTGGGTTTTTCGTTTTTATCCTTAATGATGGTTTGATGAGTCCGCATCGATCAATAAAATGCAGAGCCCTCTTTCAAGCCGCGTTTAATCCTGATGCGCCGTGTATTGAGCTAAATCTCATTTGTTATTGTTGAATGAGTGGCGATAAAATCGTCAGGATTGATTTTTGATGCGCTGCGCTCTCTCTCATGCTCTCTCACCGATCCACTGTCTACCCTTCCCTAAAGAATCTCTTCCTGTTTCATTATATTTAAATGTTTCTATTGTGGAAACGTACCGCTCAAATATAACAATGGTCCTCGCATATAGAGACGCGCAGTTTTTGTCCTATTGTCAAGAGTTTTCATTGAATTTAGAATATTTGAGGTTGTAATTTAATGGTATGAAACAAAATTTTATCAATCAGAGTTGTCCTATCTCCCAATTTGTGCTAAATTTAGTGCTCCCTAAAAATATTTAATTTGACTTTTTTCACAAGAAAATGAGGACAATGAAAACAAATTTATTTTCAACAATTTACAGAATAATAATTCTTATCTTTATAAATTCATGCACACGTTTGTGAATTTTTGAAGCATTAAAAAAATCTATACTTCAGTAAGTGAAATATCTAACAGCTTTTTGAATTCTTTATTTCTAGTTACTAAAAATCCTCCTTCTGACCATAGGTCCCCGCTGGCAAGATTTTAATTAAAAATTGACACCTCTTCAGGGGCGCGGTTTCGCACTTGTACAACGCAAGAGATTTTTCTTCTTTCATTTCACGGCTGATCTTTCAATAGAAATACAAGAGGCGTTTCATTTTTTGCACATTGAAAAATATGCTTTGCCATTTTTGCTATTTGCACTCCAGGGTGGATTACTAAAAACAGCATTTTTGCATTATTGCGCAGATAAATAAGCTCTTTATCCAAGGAAATGTCTCTTTTTTACATTTTCGCCAAAAGTTTCTACCCATTTGACGCCGGTGGGGAGAAAGATAAATTTATTTGTTTGCGCGCCGCCAAAATTTGCATGCGAGAGCTAACTGGTGCTGGGGGAAGTAGCAATTTTTCGTGCTAAATGACGCGCGCCCCCACAAATTGAATGAGAAATTATAGCGAATTTGCGTGCCTCCCTCGCATTTAATCAAAGCTGAAAATCATTTCAGCAGGGAACTAAGCAACTGCTGACGATGGGAATTACAAGATAGGGAGCAAACAAATCGCACGCACGAAATCTCATCTCTTTATAAATTGGCTTGGCCACAGAACCTTTACCACCCTCTTCTAATTAATGAAATGAGCGTCATGCCACGTTTAATTTGACTTTTTGTTATAGTATATTTAGTTCAATAAGACGATTTTTCTTTTAAATCAATTAATTTCATGCATTTCAATGTAATATTAAACTTAATTAAAGCTTACAGTAACAGTTGTGCATTGACAAAGCATAGCAAGTAATTAAATATTGATGAAAAACTAGTAAACACAAACATGCTTTATTTCACTAAATTTTAACTTTTTAGATATGATAATTTTAAAATTTAACATACAATCGAATTAATATCATGTTGAGATTCAATTATTTTAAAAACAGAGAAGTTGCAAAATATAAATATAGTATATAGTTGATTTGTTCTAATTTTTTTTTTAAAGTTTTATAAATTTTCTTATTCACATAAAATTGTTTTAAAATTCATATTTGTACTCGTGCAACTTCTGTGGGAAGCCTTGTAATGACAGACTGTCTCTTTGGATAATATTAGCTTAATTTGCGTTCCATTTGACCACACAATACATGCCGCACAATTATCGCAAATCGTTATTTTGATTGTTTGCTTTTTGGCAGGGGCCGTCGCCGCAGCAAGCAGCACCACGGCTGTCTGGGCCTGTATCGCCGCTACCACGTGTGCAACACCCAGGTTTGTGCTTTCAACTTAATTGACGCCCACTGACGTCATCGCCGTGTTCCGGGGCGTTGCAATTAATTAATTTCTCCCTGTGTGCAGCAACTCTGTCCCGCCGGCACCGACCTGAGGGAGGCTCAGTGCGCCACCTTCGACCCGCGACCTTTTGGCGGCCGCGTATTTCAATGGAAACCTTTCTTGGACGGTAAGAGAGGCCCACTGCCCCCTGACCCCCTCTTCATCTCTTTTGTGAATTTATAATGTTATTGGATCTTTCAAGAAGCGATTTTGGCCTATGAATGGGAGACAGATTGATGTATTATTAGGAGCGGCCTTGATTTGTGTCGGGCACTGCGAGCGACACACAATGATTGTTGAGACTGCGCTGTTTTGTTTATTTATTTGCTTTTCATCTATGGTGAGCCGTGATCGTATTTAAATAAATACAAATCCCAGCTCTCTGCGTTGATGAATGGATTTGGAAATGGGAGAAGGGATCAATTTAATTTTTGGCACTCAATTTGATTGCAGCTTTCCATTCAACAAATAAAGCAAAGTTTGTCCTTTGATTGGATTAAGGGATTTAAAACCATAATTTTCTTTATAAAAGTAAAAACGTCTAAAAATTTATGAGTAGTGTTTATACAGATTTTCTAATTATGTGGAAAACAAGTTGCTTTTAAATTATAATAAAAGTCAGCTTTTCCAGTTTTAAATCTTTTATGGTCCCTTTTGAGGGAGATCTATAGAACATAATACCCTAACAAATTCGGTTTGATGTCGGTTTTAATGGCCTTGATTTCTATCTTTTTGAAGCCGCGCGTCTTCAATGGGTTGGCAAACTACTGAAACGGGAGCAGCAATGTCTGTAGGCAGATTTTGACACTCTCCTGAGCGCAGAGGTTATTTATTTGTTTTATATTTTGTGTCCATGCGCACCAGCCATCGCAGGATTAGAGATGGAAATATTTTATTACACGGCGGTAAAATCCTCCCAGCAGCTCCCCACGTTATTCATCAGAACGGCGTTTTATTAATTGCTTAATTATATTTATTGCGGCTTATAAATTTTATTGTGGAGAAAAAGTTGCTGCTAGAAGCTAGAAACAGGCATGGCTGTTTCATTCTACTACCGAAGATGACTGAAATTTACAAATTTTACACAGATTATCTTATTAATTATCATTGAAAGACATGGTAATGTTTAAATTTGTGATCTGAAATATCAATTATTAAAATAATTTATAAATCTGATAAATTTTCAATCATTGTAAGTGGTAAATAAAATGACAACAAACACCGAGAATTTTTTTTAAATTGAGGCTCCTGGTGATACTGAATTTGAGAAAGTAAATAAGCTCCTGCAGAAGCTTTTTTATTTTTTAAAGGTTTTATTACTAAGTCAAATGGACTATGCTGAATGGTTCATGTGATATATTCTCATAGTAATTGTCCAACATAGCGATACGCGTGGTTTTTCAAAAGAAAAAAAACCTAGCGAAGTCGGGTCCCGGAGAGGCGGAGAATTGACAAGCGGCGGCGGCTCAATATGATTATCGTTCAAGCCGCGGCACCAGGAATTTCTCACTTTTAACACGATTCGATTATGTACGCTCCTCGCCAACTGTGCTCAAACGTAGTGTCAGTACTCAGTATCACCAGGAACCTAAAATTGATAAAACTTTCTCGGTGAACTACATCAATAAAAATCATCTTGTGGTAATCTCTATTTTTATTTTTTATTTATTTCAACAAGTTCTCTCTCTTTAAATTCTTTAGCGCTACAGACTGATGAGATTGTAATTGTTTTAAACGAATTGTGCAGATTTCATGTCTCCATATTACATACCAAAAATTAATGGCTTGCTTTTAATTGAGACGGTTTATGATTTCCAGCTCCTAATCAGTGCCAGCTGAACTGCCGGGCCGAAGGGCAGCGTTTCTACGCGACCCTCAACCAGAGCGTGGTGGACGGCACCGCCTGCCGGCCGCCGCAGGGGCCGACGGGGCGGCCAGTGGCCACGGAGCGGTGGGTGTGCGTCTCAGGAGAGTGCAAGGTGAGCCGAGCAGCCAATTAATTCGTCAAACACGCCACGGGGTAACGAACAAGCGGGCAAATAAATCTGGCCCTCGCCAGATTACAAGAGAACGCCGGGCGTTGTCATGCAGGGGCGAAAGTGGTAGTTTGATATTGTTTGTTTACACCGACCGTTTTATCTTTTTACCGTGTGGGAAACACTTTTCTTGTCAGCGCGCCGGCTCCATTTTAATAACGCAGCCAATTAATCACTTTCCCCGCAGGGGTTTCATATTCAAAATATTGAGCCTCGCCTCCCTGCTCGTTGTTATTGATAGTGCGTGGCTCCTCTTGCTATGTGAAAAACGAGCCGCCTTAGTTGTCCAGACGCCTCCTCAGTGTGAGCACCAAAAGTTTTTTTGTCCCTCTATATTCTGGCGCTTTTCGCGCGTTTTTTATCATCATGCAGATATTTTTTATGGCTCTTATGCTAATTTTTCCATTCTGTGTAGCCAACGAGTAGACACTTCGGTTGATAAGGCGAATGGTGCACAATGGCTAAAAATGGATGAAAAAGTATACAGAGCTGTGCAGATTTTCCAACTCTATCGGAGAATCTTATTTACGAGAGGAATACAAAAGGAGAGAGGATTATCGCATTTGCACAAAAGGAAAAAATGGAGTGAGACAGGTCATTTGAATACAGAAAGACAACAATAAAAACGTTGTAAAGGCGAAATATATTATCTTTTGCTTTTGAGAAAAGAATAGATTTACACAGAAGCTTGGAAACAGTATGTAATAAAAGAAGGGCTTTGGCGCATTATAAAAATATTATATATTTTCAATGTTTTTATTAATAAAATAAATAAAACTTTTAATTTTAAGGTCTGAATTATTCAAGCGATCCAGATATCATATTATATTTGTTTTTACCAAATTGAGTGGATTTTGTAGAGTGAAAAATTGAGATTTGTTGCACCCCTTTATTTATAGCCCGAATGTAATTAATCGCAAAATCATTCCAGCTTCCACTTTTGTATTTAAGAGACTACCCTAAGTTAAAGAAGTGCCCCTTATTAATACTGGCTTGAATATTTCTCAAATTTTCTAAATATAAAAAAAAAACGTTTAGAAAGAAAACTTATCATTTTATTACAATGCTCATCAAACTTTTTCCTTCTTTGTTAAAGGGTGCAAAAAAGATGATTATTTTCGTCATGACGTAAGCCGCAAAGATAGTTTGAATATCCCACACTTTTTAATTGCCACTTGTGATTGCAAATTTAATAGGAACGTGATAAAGATATGCAATAAATTTGATATTGTACGCCTAAAAAAGTAAGGCCATAAAAATGCATCGAGATTGCACTCCATGCAATTAAGGCTGCAATGAAAAGTTTTTTGGGCCTCCAATTTTTTTTACTGCCTGTGCGCTTGCATCAGCGCCTTCAAAACCCAGATCCTCACACAATATAAAAGTCAAGCGGCTCTCGCAAGAGAAATGTGACGCATCCAGAGGCCCTTTTAAAAAAGAGAGAGAATTCAGTCAATTAGTCATGAAATGTTTAGGGACTGTTATTTTAGCGCCAAACGGCGGCGCGAGAGAATTTTTCGGCATTTCGTATGCGTGCCATCAACGCGAGCAGCACATTTTTCACATGATGTATTTTATCTGCGCCGCATCTCATCAGTTTGTTTTTGAATCTGTCAGTCAATCTGGCCACGGCGGACGCCGCAGATCCGATTCCATTAGTGTTTTCGCTTTCTGTCGCTCTTTTGGCCTGAGTGCTGAGACAATAAATTATGAATTAAGTGCGACCAGAAGTTAATAATGGCCACGGTGGGGCCATGTGATCGGATGTTGAGTCAGATTTTCGCATTTTCGCACGTTTTTCTTCTAAACGCAAAAAAATGTTTAAAAAAATTTGATTTAGAAGATTCTTCATTTGCCGAGATTAAAACCGGATCGCACAGTTTCAAAAGCAATAAATAATTGCGTGTAATTATTTTAAATTACAATGCAGAGATTATAATATATATTCGTGACAGGAGAATGCAGCAGGAGAGAATTTATTCATGCGCGGAGAATAATAATGAAAGTAATTTTGCCTTATTACAATATCAAATGTTAATGCAAAAGTGCATTTGAATTTAATTAAGAAGCGAAAACAAAACGTGTAATTACGCGACGGCATATATTATAAATAATAATTTTCCGGATCAAAACGAACTGTGTGTTTAAAGAGCGCGGCAATTACATGCAATGTTGCACACACATACTCGCGACAGCTCATTCCGTCCGAGGGGCAGAAAACGTTGGCCATAAATCGAGCAGAGTTTAAAAATACGCACACGAATAAACGCAGCTCGCCTTTCAACGCCGGCCAGATAAGAATTTACACGATAAAATTTATTCAGCCGGTTTTAATAAATGTGTTCTCTGTGCATCCTTCGTCGTCCGGCGTCATAAATTGTTTTGGCCGCGAGTCTTGCGCGGGAGAGATTTCCTTCTTGAGATATAATTGAATTATTGTTGCTCGAATAAATCTCAATTGTAGCCCTAAAGTTTAATTGTAAGTGCTCGCTAGCAGTTGAATTTGAATGTGTAAGTCCCAAGATCGAAAAAGAAGAATGCCGGCTGCGTTTCTAATGAAAGGCCCCACAAGTGCGTTGTTTCTGAGAGAGCGACTTAATTTGTGTTTCCCATCAGCAGCCCCACTCGGGCGGCAAGACAACTCATTTTGTCTTAATTACTGATTCTACGCCACATCGGTTGAATGTGACCGTTTTTCTCGCCTCCAATTAATTTGCCCTAAAACCAACTTCCTTGCACTTGTGTAGATTACAGAGGACAATTTTGACAGCTAGCGGCCTGATAAAATATAAAAATACACAAAATATGTATATAATATTATAATTTTTTAATTTCAATCGTTTATTATAAATTATATGTTTTTAATAATTGTATAATGGTATTATTCGCAATTACAAGATTTTTGTTCATAATTTTTTTATGAACTTTCAAAAATATTTATAAGTTTATTTTTTATTTATTTATATAATAAATGTTGAGTACCAACTACCAATACAATTTAATTATTATTCTTTGAGAAATGCATTTTCCAGGGAAAAGGATTTACTATTTAAATTAATTTTTGTATTTATTATTTAGAAAAATTAGGTACAAAATTTAATTTTGGCCTCTTTGCTCTCTCGGTCTGCCGATCTCGTTGAAATGATATAAACAGGTCGGACGTTGAGATTTTTCATTTGAATACACGCGGCGCGGCGTGTTCGTATGATTGAACGTACGCCTCATTAAGCCGCGCGCCGCGCCGGCTTTTGATTTATCCCCGCGGACAGTCGATTTTTCAAAACAAAAATATACCCAGTGATTATTGATGAATTCGACGCGCCTCGGAGAGCGCCGCGTCGAATCCAGTTTCCCACACGGGAAAATTTTTTATAAATTATTGTGTTGTTCAATAATTCTTGTTTATACCCTTTTATCGGGCCCACGGCCGCTGAATCGTTCAAATGCCTTTTAGTTTCTTCCACTGCTCGTGGCGCAAATATTTGCTTTTCCCATGGCCAATTGAGTGACGTGTGCCACCCGAGATGGCATCACTTATTCGCTTCGCGGCTTCTGGATTCTCTCTCAGCAGCAGGCGCGGACTGAGAGCCTCAGATCTTTTAAGCTGCTGGACCAGTTCTCACTCGGAGCTTACTGGCAGTATTCATTTTACTTTTCTTTCAAGCGAGAACACTTTAAGTGTAAAGAGTTGCAAAAAGAGATTGAAGAAGTATTTATAAAGAATTTTAAGCTCATTTGTTTTAACCGGTTTCCATCCGTCCGACAAGAAAGTCTTATTACATTCTTCATTTGTATAATGTATTTAATTCCAAGAAAAAAAGCGATAAGTAATTTTCTTTTCCACTTAATTATTCCAGGAATAAATAAATCTTAAAGGATCTGACAATTCCTTGAAAATTAATATTCACTTAGAGATTCTAATAGAAACGTTTCAATGGGGGTTACATGTTAAAAAATGTTTTTGGTATTTTTTTCCTCAGTGGAAAGATCTACACGGATGTATTATCTTGTTTTTTAAGATTTTCTTGCACTTTGAATAGGAAATATCTCTGAAAAATCTTTTAACTTGATGTTTTTTTAATGTATTTTTTCATAGTTTCGTTATAAGTAAGCCTTATTTTTCTTTATTAGGGCAGTCCGTGCCTGTTTTTTAAAGTTATATGACCTTTGACTCTTAGCTTTTGATTTGCGCTGGCCGATAGATCTTCTTATAAGTCCTCATGCAGCTAGTGAAAGAGTGAATGATGCGAGTGGCACGACCGGCTGGCCACCAAGGCTCAAACAGATTTATGGACGGACGCACGAATCAATCCAATCTTTTTTATTTGTGGAGCCGCGCCGGAGCAGAGTGCTCGCTCGCAGAACATGCTAATTGCGCCCGAGAGAGATAGAGAAGTGAAATCCTACAACTTCCCCACGGAGAGAGAAACCGAGTGCGAGCAAATATCAAATAATGAAAATCAAAAAGTGGCAAGCACAATATAAAAATGCGATTTGATTACGCGCGGCCTTCGAGCGAGCGGTTGTTTATTTAGGAATTATTATTAAATGAAGCTTGAATTGATGTTGCCGCCGCAGAAAGGGATATTTATTAGACAACGCGGCTGGCAGTCCATTATACAATACGACATGTGTGCTGAATTGCCTCTGGGCAGTTCGCTTCTTTCAATTGTTCGCGTAACGTGTGTTCGTTAAATTGAATCTGAAGATCTAGCATCACGCATTGTCTACACTTTTTGCGTCCCTAACAGATTGTGAGTACAAATGTAATTCAAGACCGTACTAGTCAGACTTCAATATTTGTTTTGCATTGCCCCTGTACATTAACACAATTAACAAGTTATTCGCATGTCCATTTCTATCACTAAAAATTCTTGAAATAGATATTTAAGAGTTCAATTTTTGGTTTGTAGCAAACAAGGTACAGAAATTATATGGATATTTAAATTAAAATTTTATATCTATTTTCGTTTAGTCATCTAATATTTATTGAATGAGAGACTTAGTCTTGGTATAAAATTTGCTCTATCCTTCGATAGCCTAATAATACCACTATGGGAATAGTTTCAAACTTTGATTTTTATCAATTTTTATAAGATAATCTAGACAATAATTTCAATCCACAATTAATGCACAAAGTAAATAAGCAAGTTAAAAAAATTAAAAACCATAATAAAATAAAATGAAACTTTTTTCAGTTATGATCTCTATAATAATTCATAATTTCATTAAAATGAACGTATCTAATGCCCACTGATTATGGGTTGGAAACTTTTGTGATTATACTTGACCGCATTATGCTAATAACCTTGTTGTCAGAAACTGTTTCATTTGGGACTTGTTAATATCTTAATGAAGGAAAATTAGCTCCAAATTGCCAAGTCCCGGTGGATAATGTTTACTCTGCAGTCAAGACGTAAATTGTGATTAGGGGCGGGCGTCGATATACGTCATACTTATATCAGGTTCTTTTCTCGCGGCAGCACTTTGGCCAAAGTTCGCATTCTACAAGTCAATTATCGAAACAAAGTAGGAAAGCAGAGAGAGAATGGATGCGGATAGATACATATATCTTATGAAAAACATCGGTTGTCTGGGAGAAAAGTTACAAGTGACATAATTACAGCCTTGCCACACTTAATGATAAGTTTTCCGACTGCCAGCGTTGGAGAGAAAGAGCAGTCAAAACGGCGAGCGGCAATTTTAGATTTTACACGTCCATCTCGTCAGACCAGAAGGCAAATGAGGCGTGCGTAATCTTCTAATCTTGTTTCCAAATAAACGCCGGGCCATATAAAATACTCCTTTGCACCCCGGTCTCAATAATTGTCTGTGCAAATTCGCATTATCCTGCAATGTATTATGCAATTTTTTTATTGGAAACGATCAACCTGTAAAAGGAAACATGACTTTAGAAATTATTTTCCGTTGAACCAAAGAGTTTAAATAAATTTGCAAGCATCCCACTAGTTTGCACGATTCCGCGGGTGAGATTAATTTAGCATATATTTCGGAGCTCTAGCATGTGATTATTATTCTCCCGCTCCTTGAATTATGAATCAGCCTCGATCTGATGCATAATGAGGAAACTCCTTTGATAAGACCCGCATCAAACGCAAACAAGTGTCTAGTGAAAAGTCTCAAGGCGCGAATTATAACACCTCATTTGCACAAGACGCCGAGAGAGGAGAGATCGTAATCGTTAGATGCGCGCGAGAGCAAATAGGCGAAATTGGCAATTACTTTGCCTACTTTTGCCAGCTCGTTATTCTTGAAGGAGTTGAAAAGAAAGATGCGACACTGTGTGCCCCAGGGGATGCAAAATGAGCGGCGGCGGCGAAAAGGAAAAGAAAATTTCCACTATAGTTAAGTATCAAAATAAGAGGATCACACTGCCATCCGCGCTGTCAGGGGCAGGTGTCCGGTCCGTAAATTGAAAATGGAAATGAAACTGCCCAATTAGGAGTCGATTGTGAGTTCTTCGATATATATTCACTTTTCAATTAAAAAGTTACAAAGTCAGCAAATATATGAAGGTCAAAATGATAGAGAGTTCAAGAGCCTAATGTTTTTTATGTCTTTTATTACATTGCAAAAGATTTTTTTGATAATTTAATTTTGAATTATGTACATATTTTCTTTTAATTTTTTGTGTACTGATTTAAATTGGCTACTTCTTATTTTCCTGAGCTGTGTTTTGTATTGATAATTTTAAAAATCTTTTGAAAGGAAATACGCTTATTATTAAGAAAAAAAAACAATTTACAAAAAAAGGATAAAACCTTTTTTTAAATTAATTCAATTAAAATATATGCCTACCAACAATTATATTTTTTGTTTACACAAAAAGCATTCAATTTTGTCTTCAAAATCACTATTTTTTTCAATGTATTTTACTAGTATTTTATTTTTAAACCAAATAGAATCTTTTTGTTAATTGAGTGAATTATTACAAAAGACTTCACCTTAAAACACCCTTTATTCTCGCACAATGCACCGTTTTTGGCCACCGGCAAGCAGAGGTTCTTTCGGTACATGCGCGCGCCGCGCACTTGAAAAGTGCGGACAAATTGCTCCGATTTTGATTGTGAGATAACATCGGTGGGTTTATTGGGCCGGGCCCGTGGGCTAGCCGTGTAGCTTATCGCGGCCATAAAAGCGAGCGAATAATTCGCGCGTTTGCCCGGCTGGGCGGCCGAATCGCGTGGGCGGCCAACGCCCAAGAGTGGCCATCTAGCGACGGGCGCCGGCGCATCACCTGAATGAACCCTCGGGGGCCTCAGTCACTCGCGCAGCATGCACGACAACGCACCGGCCCTCCTCTTCGCCGTCTTGCTCCTCGCGGTGAGTGCGTAAGGCCCTGAAGGCCCACTTTTGCAAATCAGTTACTACTTTTAACAAAAATTTGTAAAAATTAACGCAGGGCAAAAACCTTGATGTAGTTTTATTTTATTTCTTAATTTTTATCTTTCTTAAATTAAAGACACATCTTAAACTTGTTTAATATATTATCTAGATTTATATATCTCGCAGAGTAACTTTTTTTTTAAATTATTTTTCAACCGAATTTTATTCTATTTTATTTTCTTTAAGAATTTAACTCATTGAAAATTTTAGCCTTAAATTAATTATTTGGTGCTTGTAAAATAATGAGGGCTTGTGCATAAGTATGAATTTTCAAAAATATTAAATTAGCATATTAAAAATTTAGCTCTCCTACCAACTTTATGTTTTAGTATTGCTAAAATTTAAACTCTTAAATACTTTCTACTCCTTTATTAATAAATGCAAGCATTCATTCTGTCGTGAGGCGTGTTGCTTGCGGTTTTTTTAATTTATGCCAAAAGTACACTTTCCTTCTAAACACCACTTTTTACCATATTTGCACAACCGGCGTAGTTTAGTTGATATTTTTTTAGTACGTACGTGCTCAAACATTGAGTGTTGACTCTTACATTAGGGCTCTAATTTAATTGAAATTCCTCAAATGCATGCTGAAATTAATGTACAAGGAAAACTTTGCAGTAAAATAGGCAAAAAATAAGGTGACTCATCCCAATGTTGAAAATAAATTTAATTATCCCGACAACAATGTCAACTGATTCACGCGGATTTTCATTCATCCATTTGAGGGGTTCGTTCAAGTCACTGCCCGAAAAAGCAATTCATCTCTCTTCGGTCAATCAAATTGACAATTGCAAGCCCAGGTCGTTATTATTTTGACTTCCTCCTCGAAATAAATTGATGTTGGATGCGACCGACGGAAATCGAATGGGGGGCTGCCGGGGGCCCACTCAAGGAGGCTGTTGCGTGCGGCAGGTGCCAAATGGTACCCGGTTCGACCCCTGACCCTGTCGGCCGCGCCAGCAGACTGCCGGAGGAAAAAGAAGCACATGCAAGAGCGGTGCTAAAATCTGTCGGCTGATTAGCACCAGTTGTTTATGTTTGCTCAGCCTGTGCTCTACCTGCGTGCCCGTCTGAGCAAGGTTTCCACGCGGCGTCAATTAAAGAAATTCAATACTCGGTCGTGGCCATTAATCCGCAAATATATCGGCGGGCTTTATTATTTTTCTCCTTTGTGTGCTTGCGGGAAGAGGCTTAAGAGCCAAATAAATGGCTTTATTTTTAAAACGGAGGAGCTGAATGTTATTTTTTCTTCACTCTTTCACCGTGGCTTATACTTAAAAGCTTTTGTAAAGAATTTAGCCAAGAAGAAAGAAGAGGTCCGGGTATGCGATAATGTAATAAATTGCATTTGCGTGCTTTCAGGTGCACTGCAATTAAACTTTATACATATATTCAAAAGCCAATGATTTATTGAGAGATTTTTTTTTTTAAATTGAATTTAAATTTGAAATGTGCTTCTGAGAACCGATTTGCAACTTGCTCTCAACCAGCGGCTAATGGAGAAGCATCGATTAGATCGCCGCGCGTTCCCCAATCGCTTTTTACGAGAGACTTCATTTTCCTCAATGTCCCAGTTGGCAAATTGGCCTTCCAGAAGTCGCCTTCTGTTGCGGGGGGCTAAACTTTTTACGACGCCTCGCTCTTGAGTTGAAAATAAAAACGCATCTTCTTGAATCATAAAACGCCGTGTGTGCGTATCAAACGAGCTAGATAAGCATATGACCTAAAATTTTGCATACGACGAAAGCGCCTACGTCTTACGCCGAGAATAATTCTGGCGTGTCGCAATATACATTTCATTTGCGCACAGAACATCATGATTTCGCACATTCCATTCAATCTGTATCAAGTGGATGAATTGAGCAATCTTGCGAATGTAAAAGGCATAAAGCACGCCAATACACAGCAGACGTACCAGATTAAGAGGCAGGCGTGCGTTATATAATTTTTTTCCTTTCAGCGATTTCACGCTTCACGCAGCATTACTCTCTTCCTTAATCCTTTCGATCCGCGATAAAAATTAAATTGCTTCTGAGACTTGCAAAAATTATTTCGCAGCGACATACCTGCGAGCGAGCGTAATCGCGCGTGCAGTGGATTATCTTCCTCTAGTTACATATTTTTTTTTCACCGCCTTTATCTCTATCTCGGTGCGAAACAATGCGTCTCTCTGCTGTTTAATCAGCGCGATAAGTGTGTACGTGCAATTAACGCTAATTATTTGTCCACACAGCACGTGGGCTGCGATGGGGTGGTTGGATCTGAGCGGCGGTGGGACGCTTGCGGCGAGTGCGGGGGACGCAACACTTCGTGCCGCATTGTCTCGGGCATCTTCTCGAACCACGCCAATCTGCAGGTCGGCGTTTTGAGCAACATCCTCACCCTGCCGCGCGGCGCCTGCAACATCAGTGCTGTCCAGGCCGCACCTTCCACCAGCCGATTAGGTGAGTCAATGATTTACTTCTTTTTGTTCTCCTCTCAACGGCCACTTTTGGCAGATAGGTTTTATTCTATAAACCTATATAGCACTGAAGTCTAATGGCGTTAGAACTTTTATTTTTACTTGATGGCCATCAATTCTAGAATAAAGTGTTAGTCTTCATTTTATTCTTTGAAAACACAATAACATGCAGATGACATAAATGTTATTTTGTTTTTTATTTTTTTAATTTTAAAAGTTGTTATTCTCATGCAAAATAAGAAATTTATATTTTATTCAATTTTTCAATTTTGTTCTAAGTTCTAAAATTATTTGATTGATTTAATTTTGGAGCATCGTCATGAGAGATCTACAAATACTTCGTAATGTGATTTCAAAGACAACAAATTTCACAAGACATTTTTGAACTTTCATTGATTAAAACGTAAATGTTTCATATGTTGCATTGACCGGCATTGACAATCTTTATTTTATTTATAATTACATAAAAGTTAAAACAGTAAACTAATTAAAATGTTATAAGGATAAATAAAGTGAAAAAAAAGTAAATTATAAAAATTATTTAAAGATTTATAAAAAATAAAATAATATTTAATAACGATATACCGTGGTTTTGCTACAAAAAAATTCATTTCTGGAAAAAACTTCTATGATTTTAAAATTGGTATCGCTTTTAAAGACTAAAATAATTTTATTGGCAAAGAATCTGTTATAAAAATAAATTAGATATTGTCTCACCTACTTTTCTTAAAAAAAAAACAGATCTTCTGTCTCAAGTAGAGCGTCTCAGATATCGGTAACAAGTGATAATAAATTAATATTAATTAACACAACAGTCATAGCAATTTTTTCTATGCATAAAAATTACGGAAAATAATTTTTTTAGTCTTAAGAAGAACCGCCACAGCCCAGCCAATTTCCTTTGAATCTGCCGCCTTCAACCACCATCCCGCAGAAGGAACCAGAGGCGAATTCCTCACAGCCCGAGGCCCTCTTCTGGAGGCAGTTGACCTCGCCCTCCTCTACGGAGGAGGTCCGTTGGGTGTCCGCTACCAGTTCGGCCTGCCGACCAACGAAGTGGTACAGCAGGACGACGCCTCCGCCCTGCGACCGCGACGCAGACCCCGCAAGTTCTCCTGGCACATGGTGGCCGCGTCAGAGTGTTCCAAGTCTTGCGGTGGTGGCGTCCAGGCGGTCAAATTCGTTTGCACGCGCGAGGGAGGCGGCCACGTTCCTGAGAAGAGGTGCAGCCACCTGGAGAGGCCGACGGCCAGAAGCATGAAGTGCAACGTGCGGCCGTGTCCTGCCGAATGGGAGTATGGGCCGTGGGGACCTTGTTCGGCCTCCTGTGGTCCGGGCACTCAGGCGCGAACCGTCGCTTGCAGGCAACACATCTCGGCCACAATGACAAACATGAAGGTAAGAACAATAATTATATAAGATATGAAAGCCATTTTTTTACCTTTATATAACAAAAATAAGGCTTCTCACAAAAATATGGTTTTAGTCACATAAATATGGTTGATAATTTATACACTTTTTTAAATCTGAAAAGTCTTTGACAGTTTAATATTTATTCTGTATCTGGTTCGGCAAGTCTGGAAATGATATGAAAATAAATTTTGCACGTCTTTGTTTATTTTACTAGCAGCGTTTTCTGTGTGTTATGAGCTTCATAAGCGGCCAAAGCGATATTACTCGCCTATCCGTGGGATATAAGTCGTCGTTTCGCTTCGCAGGATGTATGCAAATTTTTGTTAGAGTATATAGGAATTTGCTGAGATGCAGATCAGATTACTGCCATTCAAGTGATAATTTTATTTCATGCGAATTCTATTTATAATATTTTATGACGCAGACTTGCGAGCAGTCTCTTTGATGTTTGAGTTTTTTAGACCTTTCAAAGAGAGCGGGCGGCTAGACTCTCTTTTTCTTTCTTTTCGAACGCGGCCTGGAGAATTGAGGCCGCGCGATATTTACCAATATCTCTTCCTCTGTCCGTCTTTAATCCTACATTTATTGCGTTAAAAATACTCGTTTATTGCCGCGGTTTTGCGAAACGAGAGGATTCGCTCCGTCTCGGCGGGAAACGTAACATAATAAATAAGTGATATCTTCTTATATAAGCCATCAACGTGTCGCCTAAATTATCATTTTTATCTCTAGTGTAAAAGTCCACCATGCCCATTCAAGAATCGATTGGAACCAAAATTCTCTCCAATAGTATGAGAATTTCTGTATCTGTAGTATTTATTGATTAATAAAAATTAGTAATTGCACCCATTAAAATTCTTGATTGGTGTTTTAAAATTTTCAGAGTTGTTAACTTAATTAAAAGTATGGAATAAATAGAACACAATGTAATAATATTTTTCACCAAAATCCAAGTTCAATTTACCCTTCTCTTCATAAATCAGGAGGCGGTAGTAAATCTTTTGGCCTTATTGTAAAATTCTGGCTTTCTATAATTTGTAATTAATATTAAATGCCATTAAATTGTTATTTTAAGTTTAAATTGTCATTATGTGACTCAAATTTATACTTTGGGTTTTAAATTCTCAAAAAAGTTTTTAGTAATTGAAAAATTTCTTTGAAGCATTTTTTAATTTTTCCCTTCATTCTTATTGTTCATCCTTACAGGTCAATGAAGCTGCTTGCCTGGGGCAACGAGAACCTCGCACGCAACCCTGCAACCAGGGCCCCTGCGACGGCCCTCGGTCCACTGACGTCTTCGACGGTCCCTCTGACAGTCCTCAGGGCCACTGGCTGACCACGGTGTGGAGCGAGGGCTGCGCGTGCGGCTCCGGTCTGCAAACGCGTCGCGTCGCCTGCTCCACCCTGACCTGTGACCCTGCCCAAAGACCTTCGGAGACGCGCCCGTGTGCCAGGGCATGTCGCGAGGCCCAGTGGTTCACAGGCCCGTGGAGCCAGTGTTCGGCCCACTGCGGCCCAGGCCGGCAGTCGAGGCCCGTTTTGTGCTTGAAGGCCAAGGCGGCCGTTGACGAGGAGCATTGCGCGGCCCACGACAAGCCACTGGCCGAGAGGGCGTGCGAGGAGCGACCGTGCGGAGGTCAGTGGTTCGCCAGCGAGTGGGGCGCCTGCGAGGAAGATTGCGGGCCTCAGAGTCGGGAGGTCAGGTGTCTGGATGAGGCGGCCAAAGCGGCTGAAGACTGCGCCAACGACGAAAGACCGGCGGCTAGGCGGCCGTGCTCTTCTTGCTCCAAATGTAAGTACAATTGCGCTTTTATCTTTATTTTTATAAAAAATGCAAAAATTGTTTGTAGGATAACTAGGATATTTCACACTTTTGCTTTATTTAAACTTGCAAGAAAATCTCAAAAAGGAGATATTTTACTTTGCCTTATGTATAGCAGAATAAAGATTAAAACGTTGTCTATTATATTGAATTTATATTCATGCTCTATAAGTTGAGCTAAAATGATACAAAGCTAAGCAAATGAGTTCTACATTCCAATCTGATAAATGTGTTTCCTGGCGCTTGACAAGCTAAAAATTAATTCAGCAAAGTTTTTTTGATTCACTTTTACCCCCATGTATGTTCCTAGAAAGCTGAGATGAATCAGCTGTTTGTCACATTCACGCTGCGGTTTCAATAATGTTGTTAGTGCGAGGAGTCACTTCGGTTAACCGCAACGCGGCAAATTAATATCAGGGTCAAAGGGTCTCTGATCTTGCGAAAAAGTGATACTTAACGCTTTCTGGTGAGTATCACGTTTTCGCACAGTATCAAGTTACATGAAAATTGACACAATGTAGTTATAACCCTTGGTGAAAATAACTCGCAGTCAAATTCATACAAGAGCTCCAAGACGTAAAATAATTTCTTTTCTCGTTATAAAACTTTTACATGTTTACGAAATTTGTTTTTGAAACCACAGTGTATTGTTATTCTTAATAAAAATATGCATCTTTTTTTTTCAATTTTAGAATTGAAAATTTAAAAATAGGTAATTATTTATACAGAAGAAATGAGCATTTAACGGATGCGCAATTAATTATTAGTATTATTATTGTTTGAAGAAGTTGACACTGGAGGAGATGATCATGGAAATGAAGAGATCGGGCTTTTCCACTATTATTGTTGTTGTTTTTTGTATTGTTTTTATTATTTTATTTATTAGTGGAGCAGGATATTGTTTTTGCTTTAAAAATAAATAACTATATAGCCCATCGAGAGAAAAAGTAAAATAATTAAATTTAAATTATCAAGTATTATTCATGTCTATTCAGCTGGTTTGATATCGAAAGATTCGTTTTTATTCACTAAAAAAAAAAAATAAATAAATAAAAAAAAAACCCAGGGAGAAGTAACTTAATTTTTTACGTTTTTATTTTGATGCTTTTATTACTGTTTTTAAATGCGTATGTGCAAATTTTGTTGTTGCAGCAGCGCTGGAGCAGAACTTGGTGAGCAGCGATTTGCCTCGCGCCCAGTTGCTGGCACGCTCGGAGCCCGAGGTGGAAAATTGTAAAGACGCGCTGCGCGACTGCGGGCTGGTCTTGCGCGCGCGTCTCTGCGGCAATCGCTACTACCGCACGCGCTGCTGCGTGACCTGCTCGAGGGTGACACCGTGACCTCGTCGCTTACGTCGGACTGACCGAAAATGAAGGACGAGATTGCCTGTGAAAAAGTGTGCGAGAGAGAGTGAGTGAAAGATCCGTCAGTGTCTCCTATTTACGCAGTATAATCACGACGAGTTTAATTTAAAAGTAAAGTTAATGGAAATCTTATTATTATATTTGAACGTACATAGACACACCACATAAAATAATAATAATAATAACGTATTCGTGTAATAAAGCAGACTGATCAGCCTAATTTACAATCTCGCGTCCATTTATTTCGCATTAGCCGCGCTTATCATCGGGGGCCATTACCGATCGAGACTTGCTTAGCTTAAAAGCATCTCACGCGATAAAAGCCCACGCACTTTAATGTACCAGCCAATAAATCCGCACCGATCTGGACAAAAAGCGCCTTTGATTGCTCTCGGCCCCCTTTTAATTTGCACACTTCTTTTTCTGACGTTACACTATTTTGATTGATGAGAGCAGCGACCGAGATTGCGAAAGAATTTCTGCCTTTTATGGTGCTCCAAAAAGGATTCACTTGAGAGTGAAACATAAAATTTTTACTGCCCGCAGTCCAATCGGTGGTCACTCTGATTAAAGTGTGGAGTGGTGTCACCTATTAAAATTATACTTAATGAACGCTTTTCCTCAATAAGAATTCATTAAAATTAAACTCAATCCATAAATTTGAGTCAAATTTAAAACCACTCTATAATCCTTTAAACGAGGCGTAAACGAAACAATGGGACTCTGCTTTTATTTAGGAGTGCCCAAGGGTCATTCTTGCCGCATCTCGGGATCTCTTCATTCACACATAACACGCATTTTATTGTTTTACAAGTGCCATAATTTTCAGCGACACCACTTTGAACCTGCACCGCGCCTTTCAAAGCGAAGAATTTTCGTCACATTGCTCTTTTGAAAGCTTTTCAGCAGCTAGCTTTGTTTTTCTCCTTATCGGCGATCGCCGCCGCCGAAACGACGTTGCTGAAAAGTCTCCATTCTGCCTGTGGAAAATAATTTATCGCCCTCCAGCGGCAGGCATTCTTTCCGACTGCAGTTGCTCGTTTTGTTTTTGCATTGCCTTTGCTCATCCCTTTGTCTTTCTTTCGCCAGTATGAAACATTGCAGACGTTGGTGCTAGCATTTTTCTCTGCAAAGTCTTGACGCGAAATCGATCACGGAGTATTTTTTCGCAGGAGCCGGTTAAGTAATCAAGATCAATCTTCGCAAGTATCTGGCGTCTGATGGTCTTTCCTTAACAAACATCTATCAATCACTTATCACATTTTGACAAAGCTATTAGAACATTAATTGAATACTTGTATTTTGAACTTTTAGGTTAAATAATTGATCAAATATGTACTAAGTGAAAAAAGCACATTATTTTTCCAATTACTTAGTTACAATTTTTTTTTTATTGTATACACACATGCCAGAATGACTTTTTTAACACAAAAATTTATATTAATAGCATTATTGCATTTGTTTAGAATGGCTAAAGTGTTTTTAATTGGCATTGGTTGCCAAAAGATGTAGATTTATCGATATAAATCTTTTCAATAAACATTTTGATTGAATGGAAAAAGGGGGAAAAGTGTCAAGTTTTGTCTATTTTTGGTACATTTAAACCAATGATTCAAAATGATGATTAATCTTCAATGACTTGAAAAGAAGTAGATTTCTGAGAATGAGAACTAAAAAGTTTTCTAAAGAAAGGTTAAAAAAAAAATTAACAAGATAATATTTAATTTTTGCAAAGCGAGTTTTTAACATAATGATGAAGATGCTTTAATCGTAAAATGAATATCTTTTTCAATTTTCAGTGCCTATTTCAACAGAACAGGAACAAAATAAAATAGAATAAAAATATATTATGAAACACTGGTTTTATATTATTATTTTTTATTTGGTCTGTGTCAGGTCTGTACAACCATCAAGTTTATAGGAATTAGGGTCACGCAATGTACCATCCTCTTGAGCCTAATTTGATAAACTAACGCCATAAAAGGCACCGCTTTGATTTGCGTGTCAACTGACCTCATAAAATTTTCTAACAATTTTTATTAACTGACTACATTATTTTCAACACAAATAAATAACTCTTGAAAATGACGCTTATTAATATTTATCATACGAACAAAGGAAACCTCCAAAAACGTATATTTATGTGGTATATTATTACAGAGGAGAATCTTTTGAGCACAATAAATGCATAGCGACATACGATTGGTTTAATTTAACAATTAATCGTCGTACGCGATCTCGTCCACCACTTGGTTGTTCTCCTGCGGCGCTGCGTCTTTTTGACCCTGCTCCAACTCGCCTTTTTCCATCGCCTCGATTTGCTGCACGATCAGCTCCTCGACGTCCACTTGATCTAAATAGTCCTGGATTTTCTGCCTCAAGGGTTCCTCGGCTAAACTGACCAACTGGTACCTGCGAAAATCCATTAACGTTTTATCCAGATAGACATCTCGTTTTATTACGCTGCAATTACATTTTTATTTGCTGGAAATGTGCGATTGAACATTCATATACATTAATCTAATGGATTTGCTCCATTAAATTTTGATCGGATCATAACGGAACAGTCTGAACCAATAAAATTTGCAATTTATTTATTCCATTTGAATTTTAAATTCGCTAATCCCTAGATATCGCACCTGATTATGTTGGGCAGCACGTTGAGCACAAACTCAGCGACGTAGTCAAGCGTCCCTGAGCCGTGGACCCTGGTTTGCAGGTTGCCGACCGTCATCTGCAGCCGTTCGATGCGGGGACGTCTCTGCACATTTAGCGGCTGAAGGAGACTGACCCTGGCTTGCAGGTAATCGGCCCAAAACTCTGCTCGACCTGATCTGGAAAACCAGCCAAGACTTGCGTGCCAATTGCAAGCACCTTTCAATCGCTGAGTTGCAACCTGAATTAAAAAAGAAGATAAAAAAAAAATTAAATATAAAACTGAATAAATTATCACTTCTTTTATAAATTTACCTGCAAAGTTGCATTTGCGGTATGATTCAAGACTTCTATGGATACGTCTCCGACTCTGTAAAACGAAGAGAGACCTGACATGTGCAGGTGAGAAACCGCAAGGGCCGCGCCACCGTAATCCAAACTCTGGTTGCGCACGAGATAAGGGTCAAGGCCTCGTACACGAACTTCGCGACGCATTTCAGCAATGGCCATGTCCAGGGGCGGGATCGAGTTAGGGAAGGTTTGAGGAATTTGACCTATGTTCTGATTGATGACGGCCAGCAGACGCTGATTCACTTCCGAGAGGATGAAAGGCTTGACAGAGTCAAACAGGAAATTTCCAACAGAATTGATGATTCCCTAAAACGAAATTGTTTGTAATTAAATATACCGCAATTATTCTTATATTGTATTCAGAAATCTGAACTTCAATAAAAAAGTTTATTAAAATTTTGTATTGATATTTTTTTTACCTGGAAAATATAAGCAGCTCCGCCGAGATTTTGGAAGTCGAGTTTGATTGACTCGAATTTAATGTCGAGGTGAATTTGTTGCGCCTCAAGATGACCTTGTCGGTCAACTTCAAGCGACGCTACACCCTCAACAAGCACCCCATTCAGTGTGACCGTGAAGGGCCCAGTGCTACGCGAAAACCACCCGCCAATCGTGTACTGACCGGCCATTAACAGGGTGCTAATCTTCACTCCAACCTCAGCTTGCAAAGCCGCTAAGTCAAGTTTAATTCGATGGAAGCGAAACTTTGAAAGTCCGTAAACTTTGACCTGCAAAAGTATAATAAAATTTTGTGTTATTGTTTCTTTTTCTCTTCATTGCGAACCTTTTTAAAGTCCATAGAGGTGACAGTAAATGATCTTTTCATGTCAGGGACGTCTACAGGATCTGGAATTGGGGCCCCTGGAAGGCCAACGGGGTCGTCGCCCTTGTAGTGCTCCACAAGTGCACGCAATTGGGAGGCCACATCTTTTTCTCCTGCCACCTCTGCATCTCTCCGCGCTCTTGCACATCCTAAGCAAAATTAATATATATTACAAATTCTAGAATATTTTGATTTAAAAAAATGTCATTATATTGGAAAAGGAGGAAGAAGGTAATAAAGTTTGAAAAACATGGAAACAGGAATCAAACAAAGCTTCTTTTTTATTTCGCAATATTCAATGTTTGGCCAAAACTTGTATTCTTCCTGTGAGATTGGCAAACCAATCTAATACAACAACAAAATTCTCTTACCTGAATCACACGTCGGCACTGTGGAGGGTGAACACGCGTCCATAAAGGCAAGGAGCCCTAAAAGAGCGACTATCCTAGCGGATGCCATCTCTGAACTGAAAGGCCCTTATCGTGAGGTCAAAGGGCGCCGCGTCACGCGGCCAAACGAACATGTGGGTCATCATTAAGCGACGTAATCGAATCATCCGGGAAGAGATTTTTTTATAGCACGAATGAGAATAAAAATCTTTTGCGCCATTTTTTTATATGTCATACTCCAAATTAGCAAATAAGAAACCTTGATTTATTTGAATAATTTGTAAAAGAGATTTGTCAACAGTTTTTTTTTTTTATATTTCCTAAGACTTTCAAAATTTTTTTAGATTCCATTAAAAATTTATCTCACAAAAAAACCTGATGGCAGATACAAATAATTTAATGATTTTTAATAAATTATATTAGCGTGTCCTAAATAATTTGTAGAAAATTATATTTTAACATGAAAAACAGCTTCAGTAAATATTTTTATTATAATTCTTAAATTAAAATCTAAACACTATGGGTCTTTGTTAGGCGACTGACAGATATATTGCCAGGGCATGAATGTGTTCGCGTCGCCAATACCCTTACTAAAGCGTGAATAGAAAAGCCCCATTCCGAGTTCTGGAGGGTATGCGTTGTTCGGCTCTCCAAATATTAAGGGTAAAGTGTCCATATTAACTGATTTGTTATTGGAGCACCAAAACACAGCATCATCTTTGTAAGCAAATGACGAGATAAACATCATTCTTGCATTTTGGGCCTCACGAAAAGTAACAACTAAAATAGAACAATTTCAAGGAAAAAAATAATTGAACTGATTATTGAGCTACGTACTAGAAAAATAGTTTTGAATAATGTCATCTATTTCCTTGTAAGTGTCAATAGTCGCCAGATGCATTCCCATATTGCAGCAGTGAGCAAAGGCGTTCCAAAATTCTTTCTGCAACATAATTTTTAAGGATATGAGTACATTTTTATTTTCCCATTAGCATACCCTCTCCTTGCTGACAAAGTAAGTTCTACCTGATGCTTTAAAGACAACTCCAGTTTTAGCTATCATAATTAAAGTAAAATTAAATATGCTAACTTTAAATAATAAAAGCAACTGGCACAGCACCTATGCAGAGGCGGTTGCATACATTTACTTACTATCTGGATTCATCTCTTTGATAGACTTTAAAATAAAAGTTATAAAGGCGGCTAGACTGCTAAAACATAATACTTTAATGCACCGCGAGTTTTTCTCCCTGCATTCCTGCCTGTGTTCAAAGCGCAAAGTCCGAATTTGTAAGCTGTTGTATACGCTATGTTGGTTATTTCATAATTATCACACAATCTTTTTTGTAAGGGAACTTTATACTTCTGTGTTGTAGTGATCTCATCACTCTGTGTTAGATTGAATGATTTGCTTTTCGTTAATAATAAAATTTAAAAAAAGGGAGAATACCTCGCATATAAAAAGATATTTGAAATAGCAAGCGGCGTCTCTGAGTCCATTTCCTTCTTTTAAAAAGCTGAATACAAGACATGCTTCATTTGAAATATAATCGTCTGGGTCGTTATTTGCCCAAACATAATCAGTTCCTATAGGTCGCCGTTGCTTATCGCACCAAACATAGCTTTCGTCGCAAGCTTCATCCCTCGCGTTGACATACCATATCATGTTATTGTCATTCATGTCAAGCCCTAGAATAATTGTGTGAATTAGAAATTGATTTTTTTTACCATAAACTCCAACCCATATTTTGTAGGACAGAAACCATCTTTTCGCCTTCGTCATAAGATTTCCACGTCCAAAGATTCATTTGCATTTTGCAGCAATAAAGCGACGCTTCGTCGTACGACCGCTTTTTCAATTTGGATGAGCAACAATTTTTTAACGCAGGAATATACCTTATACCATAACAATGCTTGCGTAGTACTTTTTACCATTAAAAGTAAAAAATCTTCCGATCTTTTCAGGAAATTCATCTTGCGGCAAAAAGATGAAAAATTTATGAAAAGCAAATTAAATAAGCTTTTTATACCTTTGATTTTGTTTTTTTCATTTTTTAGTCTTTCCTGATTTAATAAAATAATTAGCGGAAAATATTATACTGCGCGCGATACATTTGATTGTTTAAGTACCTGACAAGTTATGCATTTTTGAGCGGCGCAGTTACTCATGAATTTTACCTCCTTGTCGAATGTCCGCATTTGGGATTTGGTTTTGCATTTTTGGAAATAACAAAGCTTTGGAACTTCGCAAAGAAAAGAAAACGGAACATCGCATCTGCTTTCCTTCCAAGCCACAGAATCATTTGAAGAGCTAAAAATAGAGTACTCTTGCTTTTAATTATTTTATGTGTTATTCTTTTTTGAAATACATTGATGCATAAATGCATTTTTGTGATTTATCAATAGATGCAAATCCGGATATAATGTCAGCGTCCACTGGCTGACCGGTATCGACCCAGAAATAGTTGTCGCGATTCGCGTTAGTGCCCCCAACCCATATCTCTAATGGGTTCCTGATGTTCAAATCAGGCAGCTTCTTTAACGACACTTGAAATTTCATTTCAATATATGTAAAAATCAAAATATCTAAATGCCGTGTGCAAGTTATTTTTATACCTTGTGATAACAAATATTGTGTAAGATGAGTAATTTTTTGTTTCGACTCAAATGAAGCTAAAACAAGTCCTTTTGATTGGCAATATTTTTGGGCGCTGAACCACGATTGCTAAAATTTTTTGTTTAATTAGACAATTGTTTTTTTTTGCTTTTATTTTATTATTATACCTTTTGACATGCAGTAGAAAAATATATGTGTACAACACCCATCCTTTCCAAGGTAGTTAGTGCCACTGAATTAAAATTATATCTTGAACATAGTACGGATTTAATTATCAAAATATTTACAGTTATTTTTGCATTCTCGGGTTAATTTCTTCAACTGTGTGGTAAGACTGGTAAGTTAGATGCAATATGTAAAAAGAATTGCTACTCTTAAGTTGCAGTTGATGATTTCTTTGGTAGGATCTGCGTCAAAAACTGGTAAAAACTCCTTTGGCCGTTTTAATTTTTGCCTGTTAAACGTGCATTCCGAGGGGCACTGTTTGTAATATTGTTGAGTTGCATTCACAATTAAAATTTTCGTTCCTAGAGATGTTTTGAATTAATTTAGTTGCTGATTTTTAATAAATATCCAAGAATTCTATAGTATTCACAATTTTGTAAAATAAATCTTTGTAAATTTTGAAAAACAGGGGGCAAAAATGAGCTATCAAGTGCCATGGTGCGTCCCCATTTAAAAAGTCACATGTTACCTGGCGATGACGTGCTAGCAGTTTGACATTTTGATTTCAAACATTCGTTACTATCTAATTTGGAAGCAAATAGTTTCAGCTTTTCAATCGCCACTTTCAAGATTTTATTTCGTTTCCCACTGGCTTCCACTATCTAGAAAAAATTACAAGATTTTTATATATTTTTTGTGAGCACATATTGAAATTGTAGCGACTGCATTAATTAACTTATGATTGTACTGGCAGAAATTAGATTACTCCTCTTTTCCTCTAATTTATGATAAACGACACAAAAAGCGTCTTGTACTTACATAGAGGGTGTAGAGAAGTGTCAAGACAAGAAACCTTTTTGAGATCATTTTGCAGCAATCAAACCTTTCATACTGCTATGTAAAAATTATTTTATAGAAAAAAAGCATGATATATTGACGTCACATTCCGACGTCAGTTTCAACCGGTCCACTTCCTGCTATGTCAATAAAGCTACAAAACAACACAATAAGAGGGGCGCGCATCCTACTTTTTAAAACATGGCATGGCAAATATTATGAGAAAGAATAATTTAGAGATATTTTTTTAATAACCTTTAACCATATTCTGTAGTTTAAAATTTCGGCAGTACAATAGAGTAGTAATTGATAAAGCTATATTTTTAAATAATTATTTTTCATGGATTGGATATTTTATTATTCTTATTCATAATTTTAAGATCATAATAAATAATGTAGAAAGTATCAATGCAATGCAATTCAAACTAAAAAGTATATTGACACATATGGAGGTTTGAACTACAAAGTTGCTTTACCAATTAATTTTTTTTTTAAGTTTTTTGCCGGATGGTACACATCAGGTCAACAAACCACTAAAAGAGCTTATGTGTTATGTGTCACAGCAATAACTCTCTCAAGGTAAACACAAAATTTAATTTAATCTTTATAGAAACTTATTTATTATTTTTTCTACTTGATTATGTTAAGTTAAATACTCTTTTTGTGAAATCCTGCATCGCGTTATTGCTAAAAATATTTATATTTGAGAATAAATATTTCGTGCCTAAAAATGAGGGTGGAATAAAAAAATAAAATCACCCAATTTGTCTGGTGCAATCAATTACTAAATATTTTGGTTTTTTTCCGTACGCAAAAATTATCAATATAACATAAAATTGATTTCAAAGCATAAACTTTATAGTATGAATTAGGATACGCTTAAATACATTCATTTGGAAGCTCCCCTCTTTCAAGTAATTTTTAACTAAGCCATGCATCAGCTTGTTGAATTACTCTTCATATGCTCTGCTATCAGAACCCCAAGAGATTAAAATTATGGCTGAACGCTTTATTCTAGCAATAAAAAAATCGCATACTTATTGGTAAGAAAATAATTAAAACACAATTTATAATTTTGAAGAATTTAAACATAAAACATATTTATTGAGCCAATTGCTGTTTTTGGATTTAATATTTTATTACAAGCTTAATAAGAGAAAAGGACTTGATATACAAGAATAATTACAAACAACAATCCTACGGATCTTTGTTAGGTGACTGACATATATATACCCAAGTCGCGTAAGGGTTAACGTCACCCAGACCCTTGCCAAAGGTTAAAAACATCGTTCCCATGACGATTTCTGGTGGATATGCGTTGTTTGGCTCTGTGAATATAAAGGGGATAGTGCTCATGTTAACTGGTTTGTTGTTAGAACACCAAAAAACAGCATCGTCTTTATAAAATAATGATGAGGTTAAATAATATCTAGCGTTTCTGTAATCACTCCACGTAAGATCTGAAATAAATAATTAATTTTACAACACAGAATAATTAAAAACTGAAACAACAAAACTGAAGTGGTAATTTTGAAAGATGCCATCAATTTCCTCGTAGGTGTCGAAAGTCGCCATATGCATTCCCATACTACAGCAATGAGTGAATGCGTTCCAATAATTCTTCTGCAGAAATAAATGTAGTGAACTGAATTTTAATCAAATTTACTAATTTAGCATACCGTGACCTTGCTCACAAAATAAGTTCTTCCAGATGCCTTGATCACAGCTCCCAATGTACCTGTCACAATTCCCTCATTAATTTCTTATTGCCAAAAAATCAAATCTCCTCTAATTAAGCAGAATAGCTAAATCTGCTTAAAAGCACACTTACTGTCTGGGCTCATCTCTTTAGTAGGCTATAAATGAATTCAATAACTTTTCAACTGGATTCATAAAATAATATTTTCCTACTATGATGCATCGACTTTTCTCTCTGCATTCCTGATTTTGATCGAAACGTAACGGCCGAATTTCAATTTCTTGATGCATACTGTGTAATTTAATAATGAGAAGTGAGATTTTTTTATTTTTTAACATTACTTTAGTATCGAACTGCTGTCGTCGCTCTTTTTAAAATATCAAGATTTTTAAGCAACAATACATCAATTTGAAATACCTCGCATATAAAAAGAATTTTGATATAGCAAGGTATATCTCTGAATCCCGTTTTCTCATTTGAAACACCTAACGCGATACACGTTTCGCTTGCAAGAAAATCGTCAGGGTCAGAATCTAGCCACATATAATCAGCTCCGATGGGTCGCCGTTGCTTGTCGCACCAAATATAACTTTCATCACAGGCTTCGTCCTTTGCGTTTACATGCCAAAGCATGTAGTCATAAATTTTAAATCCTTTTTATTAACAGATCATTCTCTCAAACAGTCAACTCTAGCTTAAACCCATACCGATTTCTTGAAGAACAGAAATCATCTTTTCTCCTTCGTCATAAGATTTCCACGTCCAAAGATTCATCTGCATTTTGCAGCAATAGAGCGACGCATCGTCGTACGACCGCTGATCCAAATATAATCTAAATTATTTTTTAAATGAATTAATTGGAACTTTAAACCTACCCTGACAGCACTTGCGTAATATTTTTTTTTCAGAAAAGTGAAATATCTGCCATTATTTTCAGGACCATCATCTTCAAGAAAATATAGCGAATAAATTTAAAAAAGGATTACACATAAATTAATGGCAAAAGTACCTTTGGTTCGGTTTTTATCTGCTTTTATTCGTTCCTAATTAAATTAAACAGTGAATTCAATCAAAATTGTCACACAATAAATCTCTTTCAATCTCTACCTGACAAGTCATGCACTTTTGTGTGGCACAGTTGCCTACGAGTTTTACTCCCTTTTCTGCTACTCTCATTTGAGACTTGGTTTTACATTTTTGGAAATAACAAAGTTTTGGGACTTCGCAAAGAAAAGAAAATGTAGAATTGCAGTTACTTTCTTTCCAATTCATAGAAGCATCGGAAGAGCTACAAAATTATATAATTTATTTTATAAATTATAATTTTTTTTCATTATATTATTTAAGCTTACTTTATGTATGCATAGATGCATTTTTGTGTCTTTTCTTGTGGCACAAAACCAGATGTAATTTCAGCGTCCACTGGTTGACCAGTATCGATCCAGAAATAGTTGTCGCGATTTGCGTTAGTGCCCCCAACCCATATCTCCAATGGGTTCCTGGAAAATTCAGGCAGTTTCCTTGATCTGCCTATATATTTGATTTTATGTTCCACTTTTCGATTATACGTGTTAAAATTTTATTTTACTTTGTGACGTCAAGTACAGAGCAAAGTGGCCAATTTTTTGTTTTGAATCAAAAGAAGCCAAAACTAATCCTTTTGATGAACAATATTTCTGGGCTCCAAACCAAGAATCCTACAGTGTAGTTAAAAAAATGCTATGTTATAAACGAATGGGTTTTGGTAATTTAAGTAAAATTAATAATTTTATGATTATGTACCCTTTGACATCCAGTGGAGAATAAAACTTGCACAACACCCATCTTCTCTAACGCTGTTGCCGCCACTTATTTTATTAATGAAGTTTCAGAATGAAGCTTAATTTTTAAATTATTTTTTTACAATTCCGCTGGCATTCTTGGCTCAATTTCTTTGTCTAAAATTTTATTTTTAGGAAGCTCAATAGCAATCTGAATGAGAAAAAAATTACTCTTAAATTGCAGTTGATGAGTTCTTTCAAATAGTCTGCTTCAAAAACCGGTGAAAAGTCTTTTGGCCGTTTTAGTATTTTCCCGTTTAGAGTGCAGTCCAAGATGCACTGCTTATACTTAGGTAACGTTGCTGTGTTTATAACGATGCTTTTACTAGATTTTCCTATAACGTTTTTCCATATTATTATCATACATTTATGCCATTTTCTATGACTGGAGGTGGAGGTATTAAAAATTATTTTTCCTTTCATAAATAAAGTAAAACAAATTATTTTGAATTTTCAAAAGTCAGTAATTTATAAGAACTTGGAGCAAACTTCAGGCTCTAAGCATATGTGGAGTAAATTGCGATCTCTTGGACTGGTTAAAGATAAATCGCGAGTAGCTGAACTCTCGCAAAATTTGGACGAGCTTGTGAATGACTTGACTGTGAAAAGATCGCCTAATGTATTAGATAAATTAGATTATAATTTTTCAATTCCTCGCAAGATAACGGGTGAAAATTTTTATTTTAAACATGTAACTCCATTGGAAGTTAAACTTGCTCTGAAAAGTATAAAGTCGCCAGCTGAAGGCACTGATAGTATTTGCAACAAAATGCTTTTGAATATTGTCGATATAATTCTGCCAACACTTACGTTTATTATAAACCTAGTGCTGCAAACTTCTCATTTCCCAGCTATCTGGAAAAAAGCAATTTTAATGCCACTGCCAAAGGTTCGCTGCCCTTCAAGTAGCTCTGATTTTAGGCCAATAAGTTTATTGTGTGTCACCTCGAAGGTCTTGGAAAAAATCGTTTTTGATCAGATGATGGATTTTTTATTAAAAAATGAAGTGCTTGATAAGCTTCAATCTGGCTTTCGTAAGTTACGCAGTACAACAACTGCTTTTTTAAAAATCGCAGAAGATCTAAGAGTTTCAATGTTTAAAGGTGAAGTTACTCTCATGGTTTTCTTAGACTATTCAAAAGCATTTGACCTTGTTGACCACCGTCTTTTGCTACATAAGCTAGACCAATTAAATTTCTCAACGCCAGTCCTTAAATTTTTTGAGAGTTATTTACTAGGCCGCCAACATGCAATTAAAAACAGTGATGGCAATTTTTCGCAGTGGTGTAAAATTGAATGCGGCGTGCCCCAGGGATCGGTTCTTGGACCCCTTCTGTTCTCTTTATATACTCATGATTTACCGGCAGTTTTAAATAATAGATGCAAATATCATGTTTATGCGGATGACACTCAGTTATATCTCAGCTGTAAATCTAATAACGTCAACGAGTGCATACTAATTATGAATGATGTTTTAAAAGACATTGTTTCCTGGTCTGAAGCCAATGGGCTACAACTCAACCCGACTAAATCTCAAGCGATGTTTGTTTGCTCAGAACGGAATAGTGCTTTAATCGCTGAGACCAGGACTGCGAAATTGTACCTTAAGGATGCGGAAGTAAATTTTGTACATGAAGCTAAAAATCTTGGAGTAATGTTTGATAAAAATTTGTCGTGGAATGCGCAAGTGTCGCGGATTTCGCAAAAAGTGTACGGCACATTAAAGAGCATAGAAAAATTTAGAAATGTAACTCCCGAAAAAGTACGCATTAATTTGGTCAAGAGCTTAATTTTACCTCACTTTGATTATTGTGACATTGTTTTTTGCAACTTGACATCTGCCCAGGTAAACAAATTGCAAGTGTTGCAGAACCATTTAATCCGCTATATTTATGATGTAAAAATCGGCCAAAATTTATCTCCGTTATATAAAAAATGTGAAATTTTAAAAATTGCTGATAGATATCAATTAAAAATTTTAGTGCAGACGCATAAAATTCTGTATAAAAATTGCCCGGAATACTTAAATGATTTTGTAACAACTATGTACGACGTTAACTTATTAGGGCGTACTAGAGCGCACCGTATGAAACTGCTCGCTCCTTTTGTAAGTGTTGATGTTCCCGAAAACTGTTTCCAAGTGCAAAGCTACAGGTATTGGAATTTGTTACCACCAAACTTGTGTCTTAATGAAAATGTAAATTTTTTCAAGTCAACGCTGAAAAAGCAATTCATTGAGAAATATTAATGTTGTCTTTCTCTCTTATTTTAAATTTTTATTTTGTCATTATTATGGATGAGTTCATGTATGGGGCATAGTTGCCCTCAGTTTTGAACCCAATAAACAAATTTCTGAAACTAAATATCTGCGCAACCATAATTAAATCAAACAATCACAATCAAATTAATTCTGATAATGCTTTAGCCCGTGTGCCGTCTTAAAGTCGAATCATATCTCAGTTCATAAATCACATTGTTTTGATTTTATTACTGTTTCATGTCACACCACTTCATGTCAAAACTACTGTGGAAAAATGATTAAAAAAAACCTGTGTTAATTGGTGCGGAGGTACTGGAAGTTTTTGTTGTTGATTTCATCGATAAACAACCACTTCTCTCTAATTTAGAGGCAAATAATTTCAGGTTGTTAATTGCATTCTTCAGTATTTTGCTTTGCTTTCCCTCGTTTCCAGGCTAAATTTGTTAAATGTTAGTTTAAATTGCGTTTTGGAAATAAATTATTGTTGGATTCTTTGTTGTTTGGAATAAATTATTGTTGGACTCACATAAAGTATAACAAGTAGTGCCGCGATAATGAAACATTTTGATCTGAAATGCCGCATCAGTGTTGCTGTTTTTACTGCAGCTGCGCTTGATCACCTAAAATGCGCTGCATTTCCAGTCCCTGCCATCGCACTTCCTGTTTATCATAAAAAGCAATCATAAAATGACGTTACTAGTTCGATGCATCGAAGGCAGCGCTCCATTATTATACGAACAAAGCTTTTAATTATTGATATTGGACAAAAAATATTACAATAATGACTAAATAATTTTTGGTCACAATTAAAAAAATATATAATTATTGCAAAAAATATACAAAAATATTATTAATTTTAAATATGAACATTTTTTATTACTTCCATAAAAAGTTATTTTCCCACAAACGTTGTACCTGATTTTTTAATCATAAAAATATCATGTCGCTAGCTGTGAGTTGCCAATTATAAAATGCCATATTAACATTTACTTTAATGTGGAGCTTAATGGTATAAAAAGTTAAAGAAGAATATATCTTACCCAGATAAAAGCTGATTGAAAGTCTGAAACGGGAACGAATTTTCCCAATCTTTAATGTAATTAAAAGAAAAAGCTTCAGTCATAACTCATAACCCATTTATTAAGCATGAGATTTAGATATTTAAAAACAACAGTCTCGCGTGAAATTATCCTGGGTTTGGCAAAGTAAATGTTTTCTTCCTTTGAACAAATAATTTAAAATATTTTTGAAAAAAAAAATCCAACCATCTTTTATGCATTAGAAAACTTTTGGTTAATTTTTACTTACTTTTTAAATATTTATTTTTTATTGTAATTTTTTCAATTAAACACTAGTATATTTAAAATTTAATTTTAAATTATAATAATTTTAAATAATTTATACACGGCTTATTTTTTACATTTTTTAAATATTTCGATGTAATTTAGTGTTGCCTGCGATTTGTAAGTACACAATTTTCATTTGAAATCAAATTTATAAGTTGTCCGACGATTGAAGTTCCTCGGATTATTAATCCCAATTTCAGGGAATGCTAACATTAAGTGACGGACTTGTGCTGAAAAGTAAAATTTGGAGCACAGTTGTTCAACTTTACGACACCCTTTGTGTTAAATTAACCAAGGTAAGTTTAATTTTCAGGAATTTCCATTTAATAAATTTCACGCAAATAAAACTCAGAAAGTGCCATATGTCGCATAAAATGTTCCTAAATAGGAGTTAAATTAAAAATAATAGTCATGGCAATTCATAATTTTATTATTAACTAAAAATATTTCAACATTACAGAAGAGTTGATTATATTGCAGAGCGGCTTTGCATTAAACATAAAACATTAATACAAATAATTTGAGCTTTTTTTTAATGTCACTTAATTTAAAAGCAAATGGTCTGAAACACATTATTAATGTATTTTTTCAAAAGAAGGGTGTTTTCCTCCAAGGGTGTGAAAATAAAATCTAGAAATCATTCAGCATAGTTTATTATTATTTTAGTATAATAAATTATATTTGAAGCTCTTGCATGTATAGATCGGAGATTTTTACTGCATGACTGAAAAGATTAGGGCACGCGGGGTATACATAAAAAAATAACAGAGGGCTTTAAAAATTTTCAGAGGGAATTCTAAAGGTATAAGGCTTAATTTACTCGAAGTTCTTAAACATTTCAATAAATTTAAAGAATGAAAACATAATTTATCATGCAGAATCATTTTTTTATGTAGACTGGCAAAGATAATGCCAAGGCACCATTTGGTTCCAGTCCATGAGTCCATTTGTGCTTCGATACATGAAAATTGACAAAGCATTTTCTGGAGAGTAGAAATTGTCTGGTTCACCAAATAACATAGGGATGGTGTTTATATCGACGGGCTTATCTGTTGAAAACCAGAAGTTCGCGTCGCCCTTAGAAATAAACGGTGAAATTGTTAGTATTCTATGAGATAACCTTTCCTTAAAAGTTAAATCTGAAAAAAAAAAAATAATGAAAAATCAGTTCAATTCGAGCGATAAAATTAAAAACTACTTTTGCTATAGAAATTGACGATTGCCTGAAATTCTTCATTTGTATCAATTGTTGCCATATGCATGCCCATGGAACAGCAGTGCTCAAATCCATCCCAGTTCTTTTTCTACCATAAATGTAAACAGTTAGCATTGAACTGCATAACAAGTACGCATAAAAGATTTTTAATAAATTTTTCTTTTTCTTAACAATAAAGGTATTTGTTTATTGCTTTTTTTTATCAAACACTGTCAAACACTTACCATGTCAAAACTCAAGAAGTAAGTTTTTCCTGATGCAGAGAAAACATATCCTTGGGTATCTGTGCAAGAAATTTAATTTCTCCCCCAGTTCATATCTTTAAAAACTCACTATCTGGTTTCATTTCTTTGTTGGGCTTATTATGAGAGGAAACGATCATATAAATCGTAGTTGAGTGCATGAGTTTTAAAATACCTTTATACACCGAAGTTTCTCTTTGACTTCCATTTTTTGGAACACTCGTGGGGGAAATTTATACTGTCGATAAGAGCTATAGTCAAAATTTACGAATAATTTTTTTTATAAATAAATTAATTCCAAAAAATACTTTGCAACATTGGTGGTCTCATTTCCCTAATAATCAGGAATATTATCGATTGTGGAGCTTAAAATTTATATACGAGCACCTTGCACACAAAAAACAATCTAGATCCGCAGTTACCGTCTCTTAGTCCTCTACTACCAATGTCGACGTCGGCAGATAAGGAAATGCAAACTTCGTTTCCAGTAAAATCATCGGGCTCGTTTTTGAACCAAGTGTACTCGGCCCCCACTGACCGCTTTTCCTTGGTGCACCAAACAAAATTTTCATCGCACTTTTCATCTCGTGCGTTCAAGTGAATATGTATAGCCGACATATTGTTTAAGCCTTTAAAAATATATTGTAAGAAGAGTTAAAATGTAAACATTTAATAAACAAAAAACCTATTGAATTGAGCACGTCCAGCATTTGTTCTGCTTCTTGTGGCGATTCCATACTCCACAGACTCATTTGCAGTTTGCAGCAGTGCGCAAAGGCTGCTTCGTTACTCATCTAAAATAATTTTGTATTGCTGCAAGTACAAAATTATCACGAAAAATTTACCAGGACTTCTCCCAAAAAATACTTCACTCCATTGAAATTGAAAAACCGTCCATTTTTTTCATCTTTAAAGTTTATTACTTATTAGAGCTTATATTGTAAAAATAGTCTCTGCTCTTACTATTTTTATCGTAGGCTGAAAGCTGTTTTTTTTTTTTTCATATTGTATAATTATGAAACGTTAACATATAAGCAATGAAGCTCACTTTTGGGCAGACGGGACATGGTTTTGGAGAGCAAGGCAAAACAAATCTTTCGCCTGCGTTGGAGGTGCGTAATTGAGTCTTTGTTTTACATTTTTGGAAGTAGCACAGCTTTGGTACTTCGCACACAAACGTATTTACGAAGTTGCATGAACTTGCTTTCCACTGAATTTTTTCGGTATTATTAGACGTTCTATTTAAATAAAAAAATGCATTACAATTGATTACACAAGCATGCTATAATTTTTTCCAATACTCACAACTCGGCATGGATGCAATATGCTGATTTCTTAGAAGTCACATTGTAGAGCAAAGAGGATATATCACTATCAATCGGCTGTCCTGTATCGGTCCAAAAAAAGTTATTTGTGTTTCCATTGGTCCCTCCTGTCCAAATTCTGAATGGCCTACGGTCGTTAAATTCAGCAACCCGTTTTGATAAAACTACCATTTTATAAATGAAATTTATGGTTTCCACATCTCGAATAACTTACCAAGTGAGTTGACGTAATAAATTAGCTGCGTGATTTTTGATTTTGAGTCGAAAGTGGCCAATGTGAGGCCCTTCAACCTACAAAACTGGGCGGCAGCGAACCAGGAAAGCTTAAAAAATTGTGGTATCAATATCTTTAATTTTGATATCCGATGAGTTTAAAGTGGTATATTCAATATTTTTCACTTAAACTTTATTTTCCTCTCACTTTATTGTACTCTCCTGGAAACAAAACCAAGTGCGTTCCCATGGAGTCCAACAAATTAATTGGAACTGAATGAACAAAATTATAAAAAAAATTTTAAAATTAAAATTTTAAATACTTCTTGTTCCGCATTCTTCTGAGAGTTCTTTTTTCTAAATAATAATTTTTTAATTGAAAGCACTCTGAAAATTAGCAATTGATTATTTTACCCTCAAATTACAATTAATCGGCTCTTTCCAAAAGTCCGCCTCAAAAACTGGTACGTAACTCTGAGGAAGTGTAACCCGTCGTCTGTTGAATAAGCATTTCAAAACGCACTGCTTGTATCTGGGTTGGGCTGAAGGGTTGATCAAGTCTGTACCTACAATTATGTCATATTATACGTTATTGCAATTTATTTAATTATGCTAAATAAAATTATCGACCCGTCGACGCAGCTGAAGAGATAGTTGCTGCGGCAGTGCCTCCCTTCAAACCACCCTGTCCTAGTTTCGAAGCGAAAAGTTTTAACTTTGCAATCGCCTCTGCCAAAACAGGGCTCTTCTCTGCAGCTTCAAAATTCTGTTTTATTAATTTTTATCAAAAAATTAATATTTATTCATAATGAAGAGAAAAGACAAACATCAAAAAAGAACAATCATTAAAAAATCCTACTTACATCTACTATGATTAAAATTATAATGCATATAATTTTTGGTGCCATCATGGTTCAAGAAAATGGCATAGTTGAAATAATTTATAATAGTTATTCTGTGATGCTCTGCATTGACCGCATTGGTGACAGAGTTCTAAAAATTTTTAGAATATGGATCGCTAGCAGAGCAGCATATTTCCGGCCAGGAAGCGCAGGATTGCTCATTTTATATAGTTTCACTCTTTTGCTTTTTTTGAATTGACGTACATAATATGGTCATCAAAAATATAATTATGTGACTTTTGTATATATTGTTCAACATTCACATTTCAATTACCCAGTTAACCTTATAAGATCTTGAAAATTTATTGCATTATAATTAAGGTCTTATAATGTAAAAGTATGCAATTAAGTGATTAATTATAAAAATTAAATTGCATAATTTTTCATTTCATTCTTTTCATTTTTAATTTTATGGTGTAGCAACTTCTTGTTTTCCAAATCTTTACCTTCTTAAATACATGCATTAAATATTTTTCCATTTTATCCTCTGTATCACACTTGTATCAGTGATTTAAAATAATGAAATTGCTAAAATTGTATCTCTCGTACTCATATATTTTTATCATACCATAAAAGTTTCCCTCGATCGCGCCCGCGCCGTATGTGGCTAAATTTGTTTGACATCACGTGGTTCTGGATCTTGTCAACAAAGCCACGCCCCCCAAGAGCATCGCTCGGCTCTCGGCAATAAGATGCTCTTGGATTTTTCTTTCTGATTACATATATTTGGATTTATGTACCCAAAAAACGTCAACAGACAGCTTAATTCTGAGGCCATTAAATGTTTTAAAGTACGTAGCTAAATACTGCATCTGCAAAATAATTTGGCACTTTGTAATTTGCTATTTTTTTTCCAGGAATTTTTAAGTTGTAAAAATGATGGGCTCACAAGACGTGGTCGAGGTTTTCGAGTATGACAACAGGATTTTTGAATCCCTGTTTAACACTCTTAATGAGCCATCAACGAGTTCTGAGAAAGGGTCTTCTCGAAAGACCAGGAGCGGCCTCAGAACAAGGGCCTCACAGAAGACCTATGACGAATCGAAGGCAGCCGCGCAAACCTGTGACTTGGATGAAGGGCCGGGCCGCAACAAAGTCGTGCCAAACGTGCCAGTTTTCAATCTGGCCGAGTACATCAGTTCCAGAACTTTCTGCGATGCCCCTCACCACACGTTTAGCAAAATCAACCGCAGCACCACAGGCCCTGAACTGAACATTCTTGAGGAGTCGCAAATTCTAGAAATTGGCGATTTCATGAATTTATTTAGCAAGTTTCCATTATCCTCAGACGTGCCTATTCCAATTTTGAAGCCCATGACGTGCACTCCTCAATTAGGTATGTATTATTCAATTTGTCGGAAAATGTTATCAAACCTACTTTTCAGTTTTACGAGGTGGAGACCCTTCATTTGATCTGCTTAAAAAGAAGAAAGCTGCCGTTCGAAAGTTTTCCTTCTTGAAGCCTTACATTGGTGTAAAAGATTTCTATGAAAAAGGTGCCAAAATGACATTAGATTTGCTCAAAAAAGAAAAAGGGTGTCCAAAGAAGTGTGTAAAAATCCCCAGCGAAATCGCAAATCTTGCAGAGGCTGTTCAAATGGACCCTGATCCCTCATTTTGTGCTGTAACTATGGAAATTTTAAAGATGTGCAGAAAATATTAATAACATTAATTTAGGAATACAATTGGTACTTTACTGGTGGTGCTTTGTCGTTGTCATCTGTAGCTGGAAGGAAGATAATTTTCCTTCCCGGAGGAAATGATCTCTCTGACTTAGGTAAAACACCCCTTTTATTCTATGCAATCAAACAAGTAAATTTAAATACAGTGGCTGTTCCCATGAAAAGAAGAAAAAATTCTCCAACTGGGTTTAGTGTGCAGGACGATAGCAAAATTAATGAAGTGTCCGAGGAAGGACAAATCTTTGAAATCAAGAGCCTCGAAGTTGGTGACCAAGGTATGGAATTTATATTCAAATAAATAATACGATTGAAAATTGTTACATTTGTATTTTTCCTTTAGCAGTGCTCACTGTTCGAAGGAAGAAGAACTGCCAGTTTTACACATGTGACCGTGAGAATGGTCTCTCTTTTTCGAAACTCCATGAATGCCCTGCACTTGGAACCGACGTCTTTACAAGTGTCGAACTCAATCCGTGGACCCCGTCCGAGTATATGGCCTCCACAAGACTGAGGGCTGTCAACATTTTTGATGTAAATACAGGGTAAGAGATACAAAAATGGAATTTTTATTTTTCATCTTGCTTATAAAACTCATTCAGAAAAGAGAAAAGTGTGCTTGTACCGAAAAAGTCGTGGATTGAAGACATGTTGAAGATAAAAGACATAGACAACTGGGCCCAATACGGGCGGCTGTTTCAATGGAACAAAGCATTTTTTAGTTTGGACTCCCAGGACACAATTCTATTTGCCGATGAATCTGCTGTAGTTTCGCTAGACAGACGAAATGAGGTCCTTTTAAATTCTGATTTCAATTAGAAATTGTATAATTTTTATTCACTAATTTCAGACTGAAGAAACTGTGATGCTTGACATTAGAAATAACCCAAGCTTAGTTAATGACCTGATGCCCTGTGAGGCCATCACCTACAGCTGCAGCAGTGTGGTTGACTCGAACATGCTTTACGTTGCTACAACGCACAATTTATTTAGCCTGGATCGCAGAAAACCAAACTGGCCTGTCCAAATTTGGAGTCACTGTCTGTCCTCACCTCCTGTGTTTGTCAGCCAGAGCTGCTTTGCTGAAAATGGAGAGTTAATTCTTTTAGCTTCGAGTTGGCAGAAGGAAATTGTCGGAATCACAAATGAGTGGAAATCTGCAGGAATGGAACCTATAAGCAGGTGAATTTTACTGAAAAATCAATATTAATTTGATAAAGTAATTTCTAAACTGATTTTAATGTTTCTATTGCCTTATCAGGGCTCAACCACTGCTCTTGCCAAGTTCAGTGCATACATTACTGGAAGCCAACAAACAGTTTCTGTGCTTGCAGCCTAGTTTGAAAAATAGAATGCAATCAAGTCGGATCGGACTGTACTGCACGGACTCCTCAAAACCTTCCATCTTCACTATCAATTCTTGTGGGGATGTTTTCTTCCAAAGATTAACCAGCATTGATTGCGACAAACAAGAAGACAGTGGATATTTTAAAAGCTCAGTAGAGTCATGGGCCAAATCTGTACAAAAACTTGACCTTGAGGCTCGGGATAGAAATTTTAAAGGCCATGTTACTGTGGATCCTTCTAATTTAGTGAAAAATGGTATTTCTTTATTTCATTAATGGAATTAAATTTTAAAATTAATGCTCATATTTTTTTCAGTTTTGTGCAGTGATAAACCTGTACCAAAAGAAGCACCTTCGATTGTTGAATCAACTGTACCCAACGTAAAACCAGAACTTCCATTCATGTTGAAACAATACGACTTATTCGAAGGTGAAGAAAATGCCCTGAGTTCAAAAATTTTAGAGTCCTGGTGCATTCAGTCGCCTGAGGATTGGGAGGCAAAGAAGATCGCTGCCCTTGGGGGTGAGGTGGAGTCGAGCACAAAATTGGATCGAGTGGAAGCATGGTTGGCCACTAATCCCCGTGAAAATCCAGAAACCCAATTTGGTTCATCGCAAGATAGTCAGCCTCTAACACAAGACTTGGTCGAGAACAGTCAACCAACTGTTGAAATTGGACAAGAGGCAGCCACTGATAAAGATGTTTTAAAATCAAAACTTTTTTCGAAGTACTCTATTGTTGGAAAGAAGAAAAAGAGACACGACGGATTTTAATCTGAACTTTTCATGAATAATTTATTTTAGTATTAAAGAAGAATTAAAACTTCACACAATTGTTTTAAGAGTAAAATTTTCCAAAAAAATTATTATAATAATTAATATAGGTTATGTCTGGATAGGTTAAAGCATTTTAACAGAAATTACAATATTTCTCAAAGTCAAACCAAAAATTATTAAAATTAAAATTGGAAAATTATTTATATGTTCAAATTTTGGAAGAAATTCTTATATTTTTAAACTTAACTCTTCTCTTATTGACTCATATTCTCTACAATTCTAATTAAAAGAAATCGAATTTGTCCACACGAATTTTAACTTACAATTAGCATATTATTATGAAAATTAAGGTGGCATGAACCAAAAATTTCAACTTTTAAATACACTGCAGAGGCGCTCGAACATGAGTAAAATAAAAGCGCTGTTTCTATTATACTTAAAAATTCTGGCCTCGTGCATTCGCGCTGGCGTGTGCTTGGATAGAAAAACCATGTGCCTTTCTTTTCATCCCACTCGACTGGTTTACAAATATATCAGAGTATACCCTGCGTTGATCGCATTTCCCCTAGAGGTTGAAAAGACAACTCGTGCGAAATCAACTTTCTCGGCCAGTCTGGAGCAATCATTCGGCAGGTTTTCCAAACTGCAGCTCAAAGTCCACTCCATTCGACGTGCACAGAATCCCGAAAGACTTTTTGTTATGTTAGACGCTCAGCCGTCCTTTATCAGCAAAAGCTGGAGCGCATCGAGAAACACAAAATTATATACAGCCCCTTTCTCTCTGGCTCGGTAGATTTTACAGAGCAATTTAACATCGATCGTTTTGCTACCTGATTTATTTTATTTTGAAAATCACGGAAACTGAACTCCATTTCATTAAAAAATATATCATACACGTGGCGCTGTAGATGAAAGGCAGCAGAGAACAACTTTGTCACAAAGCAAATTGCGAAATTTACTCTTTGTAGAAGAGCTGTGATAATATTTTAAAACATCTCGAGCCAACTCAATTAGCGTCCCACTCTCTCACACTTTTATCGAATCAGTCGACGAGTAATTGGCTGGCAAAATGCAATTACCAAACAGCCATCCCTCGGCATGCCCGATTATTTCCCTGCTGGTCGGCGCCGAGATGTATCTTGGCAACACAAGAGCGCAGAGGGTTGGAGGGCGAGAGTGAGTTGAACCCGCCGCACACCCAACAACTTTGCGCACAACATTTGTTCGTGCCGCTTCTTTGGTTGGCTTTGAAACTACAACTCGACTGCCTCTGCTGGTATATAATCTGATTTGCAGCACAACATGATCCGCAGGCACGCTACAGTATTATGTGTTCCAAGAAGAAGAGATGGAAAAAGTCCAGGGCCTGCCTATCTGATAAAGAGTCCTGCTGAAGCTCATTTTGCGCTTTTTCTCATTTTTGCTGAAAATCCAATATCATTACTTTCCGAATAATGCAATTTGCAATATTATTTTTATGAATAAAGCTCAAATTGATAATCTTCATTTAAGTAATAAACAAAATTTTAGGATTCACAAATTTTTTATTAATTTTTTTATATCAAACTTACTTAATATTTTTTTTTTTATCCAATTCTTATATTATTGTTTTTTAATCTATGTTTGACAAGTAATTTACCATATTATTATGCACTTAGAAAGCCTGAAAGAACGACGCGCCATTATTTATGGTATTATATACTGATTTTCTTAAAATTAATTAGGATATGTATATTCTGATTAAACACTGCCCTAAGAAATTAATCCAAGTTTTTATATAATTAATTTAGAATTTTTCTGCTCCTAATTGAAGTAAATAAAGTAAATTGTTTAAAAACAGACTCAATCTTTTCATTTTGAATACCTGAGCAGATAAAATAAATTATTCAAGCTTGGATTTTGAAGCAGTTCTTTTGCAGTTCTCTCACAAATAAGTATGAAACCCTTTTTGATCGCAACGCTCTTTCTCTTCAGCGAACGCGCACGTTTTCCTTTAATCCCCACATCTTAATGATATTGACGGGCCTAATTTCTCAAGGGATGGACTCAGTTGGCTAACTATACTGGACCTTAATTTGTTAGTAAGTGACGCAGAGAGAAGCAGCATGCCCCGCAGCAAAACCTCTTCTGCGCCTCCATCAAAACTTCTGACGCCACTCGGAAGCCCAAATTTTGTGCTCTGCGGACTTAGTTCCCGTTGTGGAAAAATCTTGCTTTTAGCTTTCGGGAGAATCGAATTTTAAAAACTTTTGAATAAATAAAATTTAGAAACCCTCTAACTAAATCCAGTGACATGAAGCGCGTTGGTTTTGTACTCATGCGTTTTGCACTCGTCAAACGCCACATAGAGAGGCAGTAATTTGCTGTCGTGTCCATTGAGAGATGACAAAAATGTTGTCAAATGGACTCGATAAAGTTGTAATTGACGTGTAATTGAAGCAGCACAGTCTTTCATGTGCAATTTGTACCTGGAAAAGCTCTTTCGATATAAAAACCGACTGCACGCTCAAAAGGGAGTAAAAAATATTAGCAGCGCAGCAGCAACAAAATAAAAATACACGGCCTGGAGAGTGCCAAAGCTCTTTCCACTGTAATTTTTTATTTCTAGCAGCGTGTGTTGGAAATTTCGTTGGTTTATTTTGGATTGAAATGGTTATTGATCGGGGTTAATACAATTTTCGTTGACCAAGAGAAATATTTAATAATAAGATTACTGATCAATGAGACTTAAATGCACAATACAGTTTAAATTTTGTTATATAATTCAAAACTTTAGTTTGAGAGCAAACAAAAAATAAAAATGAAATAAAAATTCTAATAAGTGGTATTGTTTGATTTGAACTATGTAACACCATTAACTTCAAAATGTCCAATTCAATAAATTTCATGCAAAAATTCGAAAAAAATATATTCTTGTCCTCAAGTAAAAAAGTTATTCATAGAAAAATAAAACAATTACAAAAAAGATAATTTTTGTTTTGATGTCAATTTTCTGTTCAATGATCTGTCATACAAATAATATGTTTATTTATTTAAAAAGGGCTAATCGAAATAACCATTGATGTCAATTTTCTGTTCAATGATCTGTCATACAAATAATATGTTTATTTATTTAAAAAGGGCTAATCGAAATAACCATTTTTCAAGAGAATTATTTCTTTATGTAAGAAACGTCTCCTCGATTGCCCAATTCTTTGTCAAAAATAAAAATTCAAAATTCAAAAAATATAGAATAAAATTTTACAGTTTATTAATTAAGATTTTATTTTATATCAGACTATATGATGAGAAGAATCTAAAACTATTTTTTAGACGTCTACATTTTACTCATGGAAAACACTTTTCTGAAATTTCACTCGGCTGATGTGCACTCTCTGGGCATTGGACACTATACAGGTCATATTTCCGCAAAGCGAGAAGTGCTGCTGTGCTATGGCTGGCAAAAAGAGAGCGCCGCTTTTCTCTTTGTGTGTCTGTGTTGAGCTATACATCACATATATACATTTTCACAGCAGCCACTGCAAAAAGGACGTTTTGACACAATTTGTGATGCGCGCTGCTCGAGTTAAAATCGAATTTCGCTCGTGCCGCCGCTTCATATTTGATCATATTTGGCCACGCCAACAAAGAGAGAGCCAACGTGCTTTTAGGGAGCAAAATAATAAATTTATGTACGTATACATTCGCGTGTATAGTCCGCCGCCGGTGGGCGACTCTCGACTGCAGAGTGCGTGTACATAAAATATAGAAGAGCGTGTTGATGGCGCGCGTCGCCAGCGTGAAAACGGCGCCGAATCAATTTTTGGCACTTTGAAGAGCGTAATCTAATCAAAACGGGTGCGCTGCACTTTTGCATTATAGATGAAAGGCGTGCGTAACAACTGAAGTTCACCTTTGAAAATGTTGATTTCCTTCCAAAGCTCCCTTAACTGAAGGTTTGTAATAAATTTTGAATCAAATTTAAAAAAAAAAACTGATCTCACTCAGTGAACAACTAAATTTTATAAAAAAATATAAATAATTTGTTATTTAATATTTTTTCCGTTCACCACTATAAATTATACAAGAGTAAAATTATTTGCAACCCATTTTTTTTAATTAGAAATTATTCTTGTCTGATGGCTCTACCTTCAGATCTTGTTCTTGATATACAAAGAATTTCTTTGTACTCCAATGTTTGTTCCTTTCCTTTAAAATATTTAATTATATATTTGACGATATTTGATATCAATATTTACTTTCCTTTAGGTCACTAAATTGTTTTTTACAAAAATAATCACTGTAATCACTTGAGTATAAAATTTGTATGTTGTACACACATGTGTTTAATAAATATTTTGATGATGATGAGTATAAAATTTGTGAAATTTTCGTTTTTTTTTTAATTTAATGAAAAATTAACGTTACATATTTTTGGGCACACCAGCGTGGAAAAAGTTTAGTCTACCAAATTGAATAAATTGACAGATGCTTAGACCTTTTTTGCGCCAACGCAAAAGTTTCGAGCGTTAATTTGACAGGAAAATGACGCGTCGCCCCAACTTCTAAATAGCCACTGTTTTATACATATGCGATGGAAAAAGAGGCTCTGACGTTTGGAAAAATCACGTCTTTCGCATCTGTCACATATGTCGGTTCTAACTTTGCTTAAACGAAATGTCAATTTGCTGGGATTTGCAAAATTGTAGTTGGTGGCTGTGCTCTTTATAGTGCACTGGAAACTGGACGGAAAACTGAATTGAAATCTAGGATTTTGTTCATGCATGAAAATATAGCCTCTTGCAATTTTTCATTAGGAACATTTATGCTGGAAAAAAGCATTTCCATAGAAAGAAATATAAATTTGAAAAATCATTTCAGAAATTTTTTCAGAATAATTTTTCGTTATACTCTGCAGAGTTTCGAAAACAAAATCTATTTACAAAAGCGCCTGTCAAAACTCGGGTTAGTCAACTCTCGCGGCACACGTGCTGTGCGTGCTGCATAAGCAGCAAAAACACGCCGCGACTTGGCGCTGTGTGGCGCACGAGAATATTATCTCGCTCAGTGGA